TTAAATTTGCAAGATAATCGTTCGGGAATACCGCCATAGTGATTAGAAGAAAGTTCTGAACAAAAAATGTATGGAGCACTTTTTGATTGGTCCAGCGGATGCTGAGCTACACTCAGATAAATTTTTTAAAAAATTTCGAAAATTTAAATTTGGGAAAAAATTGATCGGGAATACCGCCAAAGTCTTAACCCGGGAGTCTCGAACAAAAAATGTATGGCGCACTTTTTGATTGGTCCAGCGGATGCTGAGCTACACTCAGATAAATTTTTAAAAAAATTTCGAAAAATTAAATTTGCGAGATAATCGATCGGGAATACCGCCAAAGTCTTAACCCGGGAGTCTCGAACAAAAAATGTATGGCGCACTTTTTGATTGGTCCAGCGGATGCTGAGCTACACTCAGATAAATTTTTAAAAAAATTTCGAAAAATTAAATTTGCGAGATAATCGATCGGGAATACCGCCAAAGTCTTAACCCGGGAGTCTCGAACAAAAAATGTATGGCGCACTTTTTGATTGGTCCAGCGGATGCTGAGCTACACTCAGATAAATTTTTAAAAAAATTTCGAAAAATTAAATTTGCGAGATAATCGATCGGGAATACCGCCAAAGTCTTAACCCGGGAGTCTCGAACAAAAAATGTATGACGCACTTTTTGATTGGTCCAGCGGATGCTGAGCTACACTCAGATAAATTTTTTAAAAAATTTCGAAAAATTAAATTTGGGAGATAATTGATCGGGAATACCGCCAAAGTCTTAACCCGGGAGTCTCGAACAAAAAATGTATGGCGCACTTTTAGATTGGTCCAGCGGATGCTGAGCTACACTAGAAAACAAATTTGGAAAAAATTTAGAAAAATTAAATTTTCAAGATAATCGTTCGGGAATACCGCCAAAGTCTTTAGCAAAAAGTAGCGAACAAAAAATGTATGGCGCACTTTTTGATTGGTCCAGCGGATGCTGAGCTACACTAGAAAACAAATTTGGAAAAAATTTAGAAAAATTAAATTTTCAAGATAATCGTTCGGGAATACCGCCAAAGTCTTTAGCAAAAAGTAGCGAACAAAAAATGTATGGCGCACTTTTTGATTGGTCCAGCGGATGCTGAGCTACACTAGAAAACAAATTTGGAAAAAATTTAGAAAAATTAAATTTGCGAGATAATCGCTCCGGAATACCGCCAATAAAGTAGGGAAAAAGTTTCGAACAAAAGATGTATGGCGCACTTTTAGATTGGTCCAGCGGATGCTGAGCTACACTCAAATAAATTTATGAAAAATTTTCGAAATATTAAATTTTCGAGATAATCGTTCGGGAATACCGCCAAAGTCTTTAGCAAAAAGTAGCGAACAAAAAATGTATGGCGCACTTTTTGATTGGTCCAGCGGATGCTGAGCTACACTAGAAAACAAATTTGGAAAAAATTTAGAAAAATTAAATTTGCAAGATAATCGTTCGGGAATACCGCCATAGTGATTAGAAGAAAGTTCTGAACAAAAAATGTATGGAGCACTTTTTGATTGGTCCAGCGGATGCTGAGCTACACTCAGATAAATTTTTTAAAAAATTTCGAAAATTTAAATTTGGGAAAAAATTGATCGGGAATACCGCCAAAGTCTTAACCCGGGAGTCTCGAACAAAAAATGTATGGCGCACTTTTTGATTGGTCCAGCGGATGCTGAGCTACACTCAGATAAATTTTTAAAAAAATTTCGAAAAATTAAATTTGCGAGATAATCGATCGGGAATACCGCCAAAGTCTTAACCCGGGAGTCTCGAACAAAAAATGTATGGCGCACTTTTTGATTGGTCCAGCGGATGCTGAGCTACACTCAAATAAATTTATGAAAAATTTTCGAAATATTAAATTTTCGAGATAATCGTTCGGGAATACCGCCAAAGTCTTTAGCAAAAAGTAGCGAACAAAAAATGTATGGCGCACTTTTTGATTGGTCCAGCGGATGCTGAGCTACACTAGAAAACAAATTTGGAAAAAATTTAGAAAAATTAAATTTTCAAGATAATCGTTCGGGAATACCGCCAAAGTCTTTAGCAAAAAGTAGCGAACAAAAAATGTATGGCGCACTTTTTGATTGGTCCAGCGGATGCTGAGCTACACTAGAAAACATATTTGGAAAAAATCTAGAAAAATTAAATTTGCAATATAATCGTTCGGGAATACTGCCAATGAAATAAGAAAAAAAATCTGGAACAAAAAATGTTTGGTGCACTTTTTTATTGGTGCAGCGGATGATGAAATAGGTCAAAATAAATTTTAGTATTTTTTGAAGTTTCGAGATAATCGTTCCTTAATACTAGTCTGAAAAATTTAAATTCTTTTTAGAGTTCTGACTGTCTTCGTAGAATAGTTTTATAGATTTCCCTGACAGAATTTTGCAATTCCTGTGATTATTTTTCAATAAGAAATCAATATTTTAAAATTAAAACTAGCTCTAGCAGAATTTAGTGGAAAAATTTTAAATTCATCAATTCTATTTTCCCCTCTTTGTGGTCTACCATAAAGCAATAATAAATTCCTAAGCATGATTTTAATTCCTTTCAAAAAAATATTTCTCATATTGATTATATTAATAATCACATTAAACGATCTTAATCCGATAACGGTAAACAACAATTTAAATTTGTGAAAAATGGAGAAACATATTGTTTTCTCCCAAGAATACTGTGTCCCGAGGGTGATCATTTGGATTATGTGAATAGTGAATAGAAGCTGATATCAGGCAAATAATATCAGAAATATATATATATTGGCTTCTAAAGGTGCATATGCAGAATGCTTTATGAAACCGGTCAGTATACACGTTTGCATATAGCTATAGAAGTTGAGACTGACTCAAATGCAGCATGTATATAGTAGTACCTGACGGCAGGTAACTGCACATCGACGCGGAAGAGTTGCTTCCGGGTATCCTAGAGCTAGAGAGACTCACTCTATCCCTCGTTACTTTGCTGCATCTGCCATTGTCCAAGAAGCGAGTCGAATGAGACAATTTTCTGGGTGGCTCGACACGAAACCTTCTCGACGCTTACTTCAGCTTGCTTTTGCTGAGAAACGGAAATCGCGATCAAGTTAAATTGTTTGTTGCTGGCCTCTTTTATTATTGTCCTTCTTGGATTTTTCAATCCGCAAAAGAAGATCATTAAATCATTCAGAAAACAATTTTCTCAAACCTATAAACTTTTTCCTCTACTTTTCAAAAATCGATGAAAAAAAATTGTGATTGTATTAAAAAAAATTAATCTAAAATTAATTTCATAGAATTTCTTTCCAAATTCTTTTTTAGCAGAATTTCTAATTGTTCGAACAAATGAAAATTTGGCTAAAAGAAAATTCTATTAAATCCAATTTCTAACAAATTAATATAATAATTAAAAATCATGCTCAGCGAGTCTATGAATGATAAAACTCTGCAATAATTAAACTAACGTTCTGAATCCTATAATTATATATAAGAATTAATAATCAGATTATTGCAGTACAAAAAAAAATATACATAAAATTATTGCAATTCTGAATTAATATAAAAAAAACTTTTTCCCCCTGACCTAAATTATCTAATGACAATGTTCCGAATTATAAAGGAGAATAATTAAATTACAATTACATCAAAGTAATTCTCGGCAACGTCATTTTTGCCTTAAGAAGATAATTAAGTGACATTGCATTACTTATTATGGTCCTATATTTATAAAGAAAAACGGTTAATAATATAATTATTTGACTAACGATACTTTTAAAAAAATTGCACGGCAATTAGTTTTGAATCCACTCATTATAATTGTAATTTAATTGCACTTTACACATCGTTGATCTTCAGGTGAGTACATAATATACAGACCGTTTTCTTCTGTATTTTGCGCGCGCGCGCGATGATATCGTCAAAAATAATCCGCGCGATTTACAGTTAGTGTGGCAAGTGAGTGTGTTTTTTTTTCTCTCTCTTTCCCGGCATATAATAATAGTGCAAAAAAAAAGTAAGAAAATACACGCCTTGAAAATTCTGTTAGATGATTTCATGGTTCACAGACAAGATAAATCTCACTGAGAGACTCTTTAGTGTCCATAAAGTTCAGTCACGCTATGCATGCATTAAATTGGAAACTCCACTATGCACTTCTTTTTTTTTTTCGACGAATACTCGAAACTGTTGTGTACTTTCCTTATTTTTTTTTTTTTAAGTAAATGCAATTCTAATTTTTAAGAAAAATTATTTTAGAAACTGATTTAAAAATTAGAAATACTTGGAAATTAACAAGGTGAGAAAATTTCTCATCGGAAACTACAAATTTTATTATATGAAACAATTTTCAAGAAAACCTTTGAAAAATTCTACCCAGTAATTAAATTTCTGATTTTTATAATGATATTGAATTTTGATTTCTCTTAATACTGTAATCAACTTTCGAGAGAGATACAAAAGAGGCTTGTCAACTTGTTAGAATTTCAAAAGTAAAAGAGTGTCTTCTTTCCCATTTAGATTGAATCTACCATTGTTTAGGAGGACTTCCGCTGAGAATCGGAACGCGACTTGCGATTGATATTAGCGTTGAAAGTGTTGTGTGAGTAACGATTGCATAATTTTTAATGCGTACAACCTTATGTTGTTTCCAAAAGCAGTTAACTACGTACTCAACGTGATGGCATGAAAGAAAATATATTTGCAAAGAGCAGTGAATGCGCGGCAAGCACAAGATTTATACTGGACCCACATTCCATATCCTTTCACGCAACGCATTTTCCAATCGCTTGATTTTGACGAAATACTTTCAATTTCAAAACAATTATTCATCAAATCTCAACAAAAAATATATACATAAATCCGTAACTGTTTTTTGAGGGTATCAGAATTTTAAACATACAGTGGCATTTGAAAAAAAAAATTCATCCCTGACGTAAGCTAGAATCGATCGGTACATGAGGCAAAGTAAGAAATGATAAGAGAAAAGAGGAACAAAACAAAAAAAAAAAAAATGCTCACCCAACTGCTTCGACGCATATTGCTGCAGCAGACGCGTCCGTTTCTTCTCATAACCCTTTTGCGTTATGTCCCCTGAAACACATAAAGGCAAAAATGAAAACGTGTTTACACTCATAGAATCATCAAGAAACTTTGCATACTCAGCATCATGACAGAAATTAAAAAACTTTTCCATGTGTGAAATTAATGAGGTCGTGATAGAAAACAAGGCTACTTCTTTTACATATATATAAATAAGCTGCTATTTCAAGGCAATCAAGGAATTCACACCCAGAAATTAGTATTTCGATTTTAATTATTGAAATTAGAAAAATAAAAAGGAATTTATCAAAATATTTAAGAATTAAGATAACTCGGAGCTTAAAGTGTTGAAACTGTAATTTCATTTGATTTGATGAACAAGTATTAACAAGGAATGTTCCCTATAGGAGCGATAAATCCAATGAGAGAGGGTCACTTATCATTTTCTTTTTTTTTCACATATAGTTTGCCTTCCAATCTCACGATCGGTTCATCCTTATATACCCTCATACGTCGGTTTGTAAGATTGTAACAACCAGCATTGATTCGAGACACTGCCAGAGTTACCAACCATAACTCAAACACGCGATCATTTACAAGTTACAGTTACAGTTACCTACCTCTCATATATTTATCTATATATATACAAGCAGAGGAATATTCTAGCATATATATAGGGATTCATCGATCCATCTATTGATAAACTTTAAGTGGCAGTTACGTGCGCAAGTAGTAATGAATTCTAATCAAGGTTTGTCCAATCTCAAATTTCTTCTGAAAAACGTAATTCTAAATTTTATCTTATTTAAAAATAATTCCCGCATGAATTTTGTTTTAAACTACTTAAATTAATATACTTTTCTATTTTAATAATATTATATTCTAACTTAATAAAATGCATGCGGGAAATATGATTTCGTTTTTTTCAGGGTATAAATCATCGTACTGATAAAATTTAAACATTCGATATACTTTCCCGTCAATTGGAGGCATCAATCTTTGGGAGAGGCTTAAGTGAAATCTAGATTTTGCTCTACATTCAAGGCTATTCTTATTTTCCTTTTATTATGTTTCTAATACATATTTAATAAAATTAAGACGTCTGCAAGTGAAAACCACGGTTTTAAACAAAAAAAGAAAGATTTCTCTTTGATTATCAAATTCATCTTTATAAGGTAATGAAACATTGGAAAATGAATAATTTATACCGAATAGAAATCAATAGAGATCATAAATTATTTTTAAAATAAGACAATTGGTGTATGTAACAACAAAATCTAAGTGTTTGCTTCAAATATGTACCTTAGCTCCCAAAAAGTTGGTTATGTTTATAGTGATAGTTTTACCTCATAATATGTTTTTTAGGCAAAATCAAAAATAGATTTGGTAATTAAGTCTAAAATATTCAATAAAATATTTTGATTTTGCCAGAATTAAAAAAGAACTTTTTATTCAGGTAAAATTATCACTAAACATAACCTAAATTTTTTGGGATCTAAGGTGCCTTTTGTTTGTTGCATATAGAATTAAGAGAACTTAAAATATATGATTTTTAAAGGTCAATTTTGTTCGGTTTTTATATATTTAAAACATAATTATAAAATTACTGAACATATTGGCATTTTATAAAATATCGAGATGAATTACAAAAGTTTATAAATACGTTTAATATTGTTCATAGGGGGAACGATAGCAAAAATTCAATAAACCAATATACAGCACAAAAATAGAATTGATTTCTTTTTATAAATTATTATTTAAATTTCTAATAAGGCATAGCAGAACGTGTTTACCTATTCAACCTTCAAGAAATAAGATTTCTTTTTCACTATATATTTTTGTTATAAAAACAATATATAAAATTATTTTTATAAAAAGAATGTAAACTACTTTATATAAAATATTCATATTTTATATAGAAGTAGAACATTATTTAATAGTCATTATATATAGAATAAAAATTGGAGGACGAAACGAAATTGTATTTTAAAGACTGGTATTATATAAGCAATGCATTCAAAAGTTGAGCAATTATTTTTATTTGCTCCTTTTATATAGAGAAGGTTTGCTATCAAGGTCAAAAACTTTTTTTTTAATGTTCAATTTTGCAATAATTTCTGAATATATTTTATGACAAAGTTAATTCTATTTCTACTAAAGTATTATAGTAGAAAAAAAAATCAGCAGTAATTTAAAATTCGAGAAAAGTTTAAAAAAAATATTCTTACTACAAGGTCGTCTTCTAAGAGAAGAACGTTTTCTCGCCAGATAAACAGGTTGGCCTCTACAGTTGGCCCTTCTCAACTGGGATTTTCTTCTCAATGGTCGTCTCCTGGGTCCAGCAACTCCCTCCGACCTTCTAACACTCGACCTCTGTCCCTCCAATATCAAAACAACAGAACGACTCCTATCACTTTCGCTACTCTCACAATCCACATCCCTCGAGTTTTCTTTTTTATCCACAAAAAGCACCACTTCGGTTTCGCTCTCACTTGATGACAAACATCGATACCTTGAACCCGCACTATTTTTAAATGGAACTTCAACATTGGCAGCATCTTTTTTTGAAAGAAATCCCAAAAATTGACTACTCGCAAAATAATTCCCATCTCTAGTACCCTTTGCCACTGATAATTCACCACGAAATTCTTCGCAAAAAATTTTATCTTCATTAAAATCACTTATTTTCGGTGCAATTTTTTGACCCTCGTCAAATCTTGAACTTGCACTCGATATCAATGATGTTGTCGATGAATCAATTGTCAATGTATCAACATTTTTACTATTCAATTCATTTCTTTGATTTTCCTTTTGATAATTTGTTTTTCCACTATCTTCATTTCTTACACGCTCATCAAAATCACCGGACAGAAGTAACTTCCGGTCGTCGAACTCATCGGAAAGATTCGATGACCAGTCATTGGATCTCTCCTCGAGGTCACGTCTCTTGAGATCCTCCCCCTGTACGTGATCCTCGGGAAAATATCTGACCTCTCGCCAAACCCTGCCTTTCTGCCTCGCTGAGCGACGCCTCTCTGGAGGCACGAACCACACTGGACTCCCAGGAACTTTAGGCTTGGCGGGACTGGTTAAAATTTTTCTTCTTCTCGAGCAATAGGCCCGTCTTCTTGAACCATTCGTCTTACCAGAACGTCTCATTGACGATGCCGCAGCAGTGCGTTCAAAATAACCCTCAGCACTAACACTCGGCGATGGTTTTGATCCTTTTTTCCGTCTGAATAATCCATTCCTGGTAGTTACAGCAGCAGCTCGCAAGTCAGTTGTCAATCTCGAGATGGATAGAGAAAAACTAAAACCAGATCTACTACCATCTCGGGACGAATCGCTCTTTGATACTTGATTCTTCTCTGGAGCGGAAACAGTTCTGCTAATCGAATTTCGAGATTTCTCATCCCTTGAGGAAACCTCTGTTCCATGACCGGATGAAAATGATTGATTTGGTATGGCAGCATCCCTCCAAACACGTCCCAAAGTAACACTAACATTGCAATTATTATCATTCTCTGCAACAAGTATCACTTCTTCTTCTTCTTCTTCCTCCTCCTTCTCTTTTTGTTTTTGTCTCTGTGTCGTAGGCGAGTGGGGAAGATCTATCAACACAGGAGAGAGTTCAATATTTCTCGCTGGAGGAGGTGGGGCAGGAGCTTTTCTTCTCTCAACATTGTTTCTCTTCGGAAGCACTCGCTTTTTCCTTGGCTCCAATTGTTTCCTTGAATCAGATTCCTTCCTCGAATTAAATTCCTTTCTTGTATCGAATTCCCTCGACGAATGAATGGAATCTATTTTCTTCGAATAGGACGAGTCCTGATGAATCCAATCATCATAAACAATTGTCCCATCGGGGGAATCAATTCTTTTTTCATCTTCAGTGTTGTCAATTTCCTCACTGCAACGCAGAAGAATCTTAGGACTAGTGGAAATGTTCGATCTCAATCTTGGCTCAAGGGAATTATCCGGTTCGATCACCTTCTGAAGTCTATGTCGCCTTTTGCCACGATCCAAGTAACTCTTTCTAATTGAAATTCGCTTGAAGGACTCACTACGTTCAAAGGATGGCTCGTCGCGGTCCTTCCTCCGGCCGACGAGCCTCCTAAGGTTCTCGAACGAAAGGGCTCTCATACCTCGCAAATAATAATTCTCGTTTACCTCGGTTCTGTTTTTTTCTTTATTTCTTTCGAAACGGGAGCTTTGGGCGATTAAGACTCTTGAGACCTCTCTTGTCCTTCGATTCGCGACCCTGAAGACTCTCGCCTCAAATTATCCTCGTTCATCCTTAAACGCTTCGTGCCAGCTACTCGAACCAGCGCTCTCCTCCTCCTCTTCTTCTTCTTCTTCTTCAACGCAACTCTTCTTCCTCCTTTTCTCCCGCATATCTCGCACGACCTGCTCTTTTTCCAGGCAAGGTCTCTCGAGATTCAAATCGACTCCGGTTTCCGCGTCCTCAGCAGGAATCCAAGAATCTCTTCCCTTTCGTTTTATATTCCTTCTGCCTCTAAAAACTCTCTATGACAGTGGGTGGAGAAGAAATTTCACAATACCACATTCCAATATCACTTTGTTACATATTTACACTATAATTTTGGGGTGGGGAATATAAACAAGAGGACGCCTATGAATTTCGCGAACACGCACTGCAAGTTTCGTTCTGAGTTTATACGTAGCTACCAGGCAGGTTCGAAACACCGACTGCAACCAGGGCCGACTGTGCAGGTCGATCGCGGGTAAGGCGGCCTGCGGCAAATAAAAGTCGTGACACGGGAGTAAAGGAGCTCTCAAAGGAGTGGTGGCATGCCGTCCGTCCACTCTCGCTCGCGAGTCTCTTGGCTCCGCTCTCAGCATCCCACTCTCGCTCTCCTCGCGCCTCTCCTCGCCCCACCCTAGACCTCCTCATCGCACACGTCTACCTGTCCTTTTTACTCTTTTACGGGTTTATTATTTTCCTCTCCTACTTCAACTCGTTTGCTTGCATCGCTAACTCTTTTCTCTCCTGGCTATAAGGTTCTCGCTCGCGCGCTTCATTCGATGAGAAGTTGATTCTCAAATTCTTTAACAAACTCGAATTCAGGAAATGTTACCAGATTTTTGTCTCTATATCATTTTTACCACGATTTTTAATTTATCCTTTTTTTTCAATGTAAATTTAAACGAAATAGTAGGTTACTCTGGAAGTATAGTATTTTCTATTTTCGAAGCAGAAATTCCGAAAAATTTAGGTAAAGTAACTTTTACTACTTCGAAAGTAAATTAATTGTCCGAATTTCTAGCAATTTTTACTCCTGAAATAGTAAAAAGTTTATAGAGTAAGGATTTTCCCTTCCTTTTATGTTATTTTATTCCTTCCAAGGATCGAATTTTTCTCAACTTTTTAGTAAAAAGTTTACTTCCAGAGTAAACTTTACCATTTCAGAAGTAATTTTTCCTATTTTTGAAGCAAAAGTTGCCAGGTATAGTTTACTCTGAAAGTATAGTATTTTTTACTATTTCAGGAGCAAAAATTGCTACAAATTCCCGTATAGTTCAGAATTTACTTTCGAAGTAGTATTCCTTTTATTTAATTCTTTCTTAGCATCAAAAATTCAGCTTCACAATAATAACTTCGTGATAATTCAAAAAGAGATATTCTATTTTCGGATTTTATTTCTAGACTGAGTGTGCTTTCAAGTGAATCAATTTGATAGATTTTAAATTGAAAGATATTAAACCTCGTTTAAAATTTGCACTTAAATCATACTTGTGCGGAATTTCAAGCAGAAAGCGTAACGTATTTATTATGATTTAAATTTAAAAATGACAATTTTTATTATAATTTCCTTTTTTGAATTCTTGTATAAAAAAAAGCAAATTTTCTCAAAAATAAGCAAATTGATTTCATAATCTTTTTTACTTCACAATCATACTAAAATTTTTTAAGTGCTAAAAGCAGATTTCTAAAGAATATATACCACATTTACAAATATTTACCGAAAAAAAGATTTCAAAAGATATATAATAGTTAAAGATTATATTCAATAGATAAATAATTAATTTTTTTAAATCTTAAAATTTTTCACAAAAATGGTAATTATTATTTTTGTATAATAATAATAGCACCATAAATGGTAATAATTTTTTTTTGAATTTAGAAAAAGTGAATCAAAAAAAGGATTAGGCAATAATTGGTTGTAGTATATAAATTCTGGAAACTTTCTCGTTTCTCAGTGATGTTGCAGTGGTAATGTTACTTGTTTAAAAGTCGACAGGGACTTAACTATATACTCTCTCACTGAGAATCAGTATATAATCTTCCTTCTCACTCCGGTTCTTTTGCAACGAAGCAAATTCTCGCTTCATTATCTTTTATTCTCACAAAACTGATACGCTATATCAAAGGAATTGAGAAATTTGAACCCTCCAATCAAGAGGGGATTTCATTAAAATCATTCATTGATTTTTTAAATTAGGAGAAGAGTAAACATTTTTTTTTTTTTTCCCCCGCGGAAAAAGAAATAGGATTCAGTGTCCTTCTCTCTTTTGCCGGCAGACAGGGTCCCGTAAAGGTCATTCGTGAAGGCGTGCTCCGGATGAGAGGAATTCCACCATGGGAAACATCGACGGTTCGAGATTGGAGAGAGTACTGATGTTTAGTTTTCTTGTTTGATCCAGCGTTCATAATTCGTTTGTACGCTTTATACTCTCAACTAAATCTACAACACTGATTTCTTATATGTTCGCGCAAAACATCTTTATATATAATAAATAATTCAGTAATTAAAATTTTCATTTTAAAGAATTTTATTAGAAATAATTATTTTTTAAACGAATTTGCATTCCATTTTTATACGATTCTAATTTTTAAATGACAGAAATTTCAATTCACCGAATTTTAATTCGTCCGAATTCTTAAGACGCCGAATTTTCATTTGTCCAAAATTGCAAATGACCGAATCGTGATTGGTTAATTTTAAAAATTGCGCCCAAATCTTTTTTGTTTGTTCGGTGATTTGCAATTTCAGACAAATAAAAATTCGGCGTTTTATAAATTCTATCAATTAAAAATTCGGACGAATTGGAATTTCTGTTAAAATTTCAATTGACCGAATTCGGTCAAAGTTCGGACAAATAAAGAATTTTTTTTACAAATTAAAAAGAATAAAAAATTACTGATTTTTAAATAATAAAAAAAAAAAAAAGAAATTGATTTAAATTTTTCTCGGCAGCAAATTTTGTGTGTAAACATTAATATTTATACAATGGATTATCTATATCTATTTTAGCTACTCATGAAATGTATAAGAATAATGTTAAAGTAATTCCTTTCTCCAATTTCCTCTTCCTTAGTTAATTTTATTCGTTTCCTCAAGTTACTAAAGCGAAACCTAAGCTGAATTATTATCATCTTTGCAAACTTCATGATATGGATTTACAGTTATATATATATATATATATATATATTACAAATACGATTTTGCCACCTTTTTTTATAAATTTTCTTTTTTCATTAATTTAATTTTTCTAATCTAAAATGTAGATGTACTCACAATTGTCGCGATTTTTATAGACTTTTTTTTGAAATTAGAAAGCTTGACAGAAATAAGTTATTTATTTATAACTGATGAACCTTCTATTTTCCCTTCCTCAATATATTTTTTTTTTTTCAATTTTCTGCAGTTTCTAATTCTAAATTTCGTTTTCAAGATTATTTACACAAATTCTGAATTAAATGGAATTTAAATTATTTTCAAATTGAAACAAGTTTCAAATAATATGAGAAATAATGTCGTTTTCACAATAAATGTTTGTTTGGTCCATTAAAAAAAAAAAAAAAAAAAGACTTCGCATAAAAAAAAATGCTTCGTTGTGCTCTTTAAATATAAAATTGCATCGAAAGCATACTTGGAAAATTTTTCTTGAACAAGATTTTCGCCACAAAGTCGAAGGCAATATATATATATGTATATACAACCACAAAAGGTGGCAACTTGAGTTTATAGGAACCTCACACCTCAAGGTAACTCGAGGACGTTTGCTCACGAAACACGTGACCTTGATATTAATCTGTTCAACGTCAGAGTGGCTCGTGTCACGATGGTCATAGCCATTTCTAACTAGTTAGTCAATAGATGCCAATCGGCAGATTCAATATTCAAATTTACTGATTTCTAAAAATGTCCCGATAATTTTTTTAATAATTGCTATCTAAATTAAAAATTTTTTATTTATAAAATTTATTATTATTATTTATATTATTTTATATAATATTTATTATATTAATTAATAATAATAATATAATAATAATAATAATAATAATATAATAATAATAATAATAATCTAATTCAATTTAATAAACCGTTAAATATGTTAAAAGATAATTTCACAGTATTTTGAATTATGTAAAATTGATCTTCATATTATATAAAATATTTGGCAAAATTTCAAAAATGTTAAATGAAAACTCTCAATGTCCCTAGTGTTATTATTTTTAAGTTTTTGTTACATAAGAAAGGAAGACCGTTATACTTCCGGTCCACCTGGGACTTGAATGAAATCTATACACCTTCACAACCACGAGACCCTGAATTTTATGAACCCCATAAGAACTCATTTGTCTCGGATATAAATTGGGGTACAGATTTATTTTTTTTGTTATATGTTAATTAACGACATTATTTCCATGATCAATTAGCATGTAAACAGCAAAAAAACAACATTTTAAAATATTCAAGAAATTAACATTTCAGAATTCATAAAAATATATCTTTGGAATAATTAATAATTTTTATTTAATAAAAATGTAGTTTGAAAAAAAAACCGATATTGGAATTTATTCATCGACTATGCGGTATATAATATATTGTTTTATATAAACAGAATTAATGTTGTATTATATAATTTTTTTTTCATACCATACACCTACGATAATATATTTAAAATTTAAAAAAATATTTCTAATGAAATATTAAAATTTTTAGTTATAATCGAATGAAAGAATTATTTAGTAAGAAAATTTTAATATATGAGACTCAAATTTAACAACAATCAAGCAATAAAATAAGTTAAACAATTAATAATAAAAAAATACTTTAGGTAAACGGAATAATAAAATATTAAATTACAAAATATTAATATTAATAATTATAATAAATAAATAATAGCAGCAATAATAATAATAATAATAATAATAATAATAGTAATGAAATAATATTTAAATATTAATTAAAATAAATACTAAATAAATAATCGAGATACCAAATAAATTCCGTGCATTATGATAAAAAACCAAATATTTATTTTCACATTCAAAAATTTTTTTTTATTTTATCAAACAAAGTAGGTTAACTCAATTATTTGTTTAAGTTAAATAAACTTTTTCTCTGAGCGCATAAGAATAGATTGTATTATACTCTTCTCTTCGTGTTCTTAAAATAAACAAATTGAATTTTTAGAGATAAATTGAAATTGGACTTTTTAAATTGATATAAAAAAAAATTTAATTTAAAAAATTTGTTATTATAAATAAATAAATTCTCAGATTATTGCTTGATTGCATAAATTGTGTTACTTAACATTTTCCATTACATCAGAAGCATCGTGATCAAATGGAAAATAATAGACTCTGACAGAATATAATTGAAAAAAAAAAATGCAGTGGAACGAAAGAATGTCTTGGGATCGTTGAATATATTTTTACAAGATACAATAAAAGCGATTTAACATCTTTTTTGTCATGTTAACGAAACCATTCACTATTTACGATTGATCATTTATAAATGAACCCCAAAAAAAAAAAAAATGACTCAAACATCGTTCCATAATAATATATATATAGTGTAATTCTTTTTTAATACTTCTTTTCAAAAAAAAGAAATTAGATTTACATAATTTAATCTCGAAAAAAAATTCTATAATTCAAGGAAGATCAATTTTATTCCAATGAAGAATATTAATTTTAAAATATAGAAATAGATTTATGTGATCATCAATAAAATAACGTTATAACTTTAACACAAAGAACATTAATTTTATATCCATATGTAAAAAAAAATAATAATTTTTCTTTTCTATAATAAAATTTTTCTAATAATATAATTTAAGAGAAAATTTCAATTAATATTTTATAAAATCAAAAATTCGTTAATTTTTTTTAAACAAATAAAATATATTCAAATTGCAAACAATTTTTTTATTTGAGTATAATAATTATTTGAATCAAATAAATATTTATTTAAATACTTGGATTAATTAAATATTTATTTGGTTCAATTCAATATTTATTTATTTGTATAAATTAAATATTTATTTAATTATTCGGATCAATTAAATATTTACTTGGTTCAATTAAATATTTATTTAAATAGTTGGATAAATTAAATATTTATGTAATATTTATTTAGTTCAATTAAATATTTAACTAATTATTTGGATTAATTAAATATTTATTTAAAAATTATTTGGATCAATTAAATATTTAATTAATTATTTAATTAATTATTTGGATTAATTAAATATTTATTTAAAAATTATTTGGATCAATTAAATATTTAATTAATTATTTGGATTAATTAAATATTTATTTATTTGTATAAATTAAATATTTATTTAATTGTTCAGATCAATTATATATTTATTTGGTTCAATTAAATATTTATTTAAATAGTTGGATAAATTAAATATTTATGTAATATTATTTGGTTCAATTAAATATTTAATTAATTATTTGGATCAATTAAATATTTAATTAATTATTTGGATTAATTAAATATTTATTTAAAAATTATTTGATTCAATTAAATATTTATTTGTATAAATTAAATATTTATTTAATTATTCAGATCAATTAAATATTTATTTAAATTTTTGGATTAATTAAATATTTTATTTAATAAATAAATAGTATTTAGTCGATTATTTGTGATAAATAATTTTTTCAGTTTTTTTGTTTGACAATCTTGTTCAAGTCACTCTATTATGAAAACTTGTTCATTATTATATTTAGTTTACCGAGGGTGTGGACTTTTTCTTTTGTCGATCATTTCGATAAGAAGAAGATAATTTCTCTGTAATGCAGTATAAATGGCGCGAGAAAATTGGTTTTACTAAATGACGACATTTACAGATGCCTTATTAAGTAATTGCTCCAGTGACATCCAAGGGAATTAATGCCACGACCTGTACTTACAGTCAAGTGTCATTTCTCTCTTTGTAATATATATTATATTGCTAAAAGTCACATCACATCTTTATAGCAAATGACGTCATAACAACCGGTAACACTCATCTTTAAATTCAAATTAGCATAATCGATAATAATCTCTATTATTTTTTAAAAATAGTTTTCATTTAATTTAATTATTAGTTTTTTTTAATTGTCGAAAATATTACGTCAATCTTGATTCGAAATATTGATTGGGATTAATTCTATTGTAAACAAAAAACTATTTTTTTTTTTTTTTGAGGACGGAAATAAAATATTTAACGAAAGAAAGTTACTAAATATATATTGAACTAGATTGCAATATGTATTGAGTCGAAAAAGCGAGATTGATTATTTTCGTGGTCTAGAGAGAAGTTGCATTCCTTTCCTCCCACGACAAATTGAGGCAGTGACCGTCTGAGTCGATTATTTTTACTTAGCCACCTGCCAACCTAGTTCTGTCAACGCACAAAATAGTGCATTTAAATCCCCGGATATTTAACTTGACGTTGAGCATGAAAACGATCGACACCTCCAAAGAACTCGTCACTATTATTATATATATACATGTAGAAACTCGATTACAGCTTGAGAGACAGAATAGGGATATATATATATAGGGGGTAGGGAATCTACTGCAATCACGACATTTGTCTAATCCTTTCATAACCTCAAAATCAATACTGGGTAAAAAGCGCGTCGCTTTCGCAATAAACACTCGAGTTGAAATATGTTTAAAGGCAGGTGGTACATTTACTCAAAAGAATGACAGCAGGTGGATGTTGGAAAAGTAAAAGAAAAAAAAAAACAAGAAAGAAACAATCGTCTTGCAACAAAGGAGATGAGCCATTGACTTTACTTTTTGTCATGGTTTTCAGGAAAAACATTTTTCTCCACTTCCAAAGTGCAAATGCCCTGGAGGTGAGAAATCACGAAAAAGAGGTCTCCGGAACACTTTGGAATTGGTGACAAGAGAGGCATAGAGGCGCGGTCAAAGAGGACCTGTTAGGAGTTGAGAAAATCGGTATTGTTATACGTATGATAATGACAAAAGAAAATTTGCAATTGTCAATTATTGTCGCCCACGCGAAAGCGTGCCGGCGTCAATTCGCGCGAATTATAAAAACGGCAACAGTGAGAAATTATCGATTAACAACTGCCCGTGACAGGATTCGTTCAATGGGGTGAGTCAGAAAGGAGGTGAGTGAACACTAGGAACAAAAGTTTTTTTTTGACTAACCTTCGAAAAGCTCAAGAGCTAGCTCCGTAAGTTTCTCCCTCACGTCCTCCGGAAGCTTGTCGATGTCGATGTCGTTGAGCTCGGCCATCGCTAAGCCATCCGCGATGCACTAAAATCACAATTTTCACAGCCGGACATTCCACCACTAACCGTCACTGTCCAGCCATCTTGTCTGCCACTGTACTTATGGTTCCATAACTCGCCACCAGATGTCAGTAGCGAACTGTGAAAAAGAAACAAAGTGGGGGGGAAAAATCGACCGGAAGTTCTATACATAACCGGTTTTATATCCTGATGCGGGTTTTTTAAATACTATCCCTTTAACTTTGTTATGTATAAGGTTTCTCGAGAGACAAAGGACTGTTTTATCTTTTCACTTTTATTTTATATTTACACAACTCTTTTTATTTTAATTTTTCTTTATAATTACAGTTTTTATATTAGTTTCTTTTATTTTTAAATTAAAAATAGAATAATACAAATTAAAAAATTGTTTATAATTTTTTAAATACATGTCAGTAGTTCTTTTAAATTTTCGCGCAACTTAGTTGTTACCAACCGAATAAAAAAAATTCACTATTTCAAAAGAGAGGAACTTTTATTTTTATTTTACTAAATTTATTCAATTCAAGACAAAGTCTATTAAAAAAATAAATGTTTGAATACGTTTTATATTAATAAATTTTGTTCAATTGTTAATAATTATAAAGAAGAAAATTGTTTAGTCCAGGGTTTTTACTGTTAACACTAATAAACACTAATTTGACCATTGTGACAGATGCTGAGATAATTGCGCAAGCGTCTAAAAAGGAGCAAAAGAGAGAGAGAAAATATATTTTTATTTTCTTTTGCTCTTATACAAAAAGTATATATGTATATATACAAAATGACGTAAGTCGCATATGCGCAGTAAGGAATGTCAATTTTAGGCGGGATTTCATCTTAGCAGACGATGCGATCTCAGCGACTATACGATCAGTCTTAACGGGCATAAGGAAAGTAATTTGTTGTCAGATTTACTTTTCTGTTTATTTCTAATATTATGTTTTAATATTAGAAAATTTTTATTATTTATAATTAATTGTTTGACGTATTTAATACTTTGAAAGAAGTTTAAATTAATTTCAATCTAATAATGAAAAACTTGTGACTAGCGTGACGAATTATCTTCTGTAATCAATAATTATGGAGCTTTTTGATGATCCAAAAATTAAACGAACTTATCTTAAAAGTAAAATTCGAGTGAAACAATGGGAGAGTACTTTTATGGAAAAATATGGACGAAAACCAAATAAGGTATTTGTAAATTTTTTTTCATGTTTATATTCCTTGAATTTCTCATTATCAATTTTGACGCTTGTAACAAATGTTAATTTTTAAAACTTTTTTTTTTTTATTTTATCCACTTAGATAATTAAAGGTGTTTTTTTTTTAAATCTCTGCATTCTTCATTGTTACTGGAAACTTGCAAATTTCATTTCATTGTACTTATTGAATACGCATTGTTTTCACGAGTCGGTCAGAGTCAACTTACGCAATTGTTTATTATTTTTTAAGTTTATGAAATAAATTTATAAAATTGGTTTTATAAAATTAAATTTCTTTCAATAGAAATATGGGTTTATTTTAAACAAAATAAATAAAAATTTTTATTTAATGCATTTAATTTACACATAACCTAAATGTTGACAATCTTTGAAGAATGTCAAAAAAAAAATGATTTTTTGTGTTAAATCTTTGAAAAGCAATAAAAAAATAATTAACTTATATTTGAATAGATATGCTCTTGATTTAATTTTTTGTTTTAAACGGTCTCGTTCACATTGAGTAATATTTTATTTATTATCAAATTGCAATATTTCGATTTTATTATATATATTGTTGACTGATGAGGCAATTTAATTGAATTAAGAAATTGATAATCGTTATTAAACAATTCTTTATATTAAAACATTTTAGTGAAACGGCCATGACCTTATAAATTTATTATTGTGCTAAAAAACAAATATGAATATTAATTTTAAAAATCGTGAACATAAAATTTTTATTTAATTTTAATACATTTTTTACGATATATATTGTTAATAATTTTCTCATAAATTTAAGTTAGAAAATTATTAATTTGAAAATTTATTATCTAAAATATAAATTATAATTGTAATGTAATTTTTAGAAATTTTTCCAAATGTGTAACTTAATTTAAAAAAAAAATATATTTAGAAAAGAATCAATTTAATAAAAATGTAATTAAATAATAGTTAATTTATAAAAATTTTTGAAATGAGTTTTTTTAAATTTTAGAACGATATAAAGGAAGCGGATATTAAAATTCGACATGCTTACAAAACGTATTGGAATTTAAAAACTCAAGCTCTAGACGAAACTCTAACTGACATTACATTTGATGAGGAATCAAATACTTCAATGACTTCAGTTTTTAGTTCTCCAAATACAAGAGCAGTTGCCAATGATATAACAAATTTGACTCTTAATTCATCAACACAAGATGTAGAAAATACTATTTTAGAAAATTCCATTGCAGAAAGTACATTCTCTGAAATATCTCTTCCAGAAAAAATCGAAACAGAATCACCACCAGCTGATAATGTTAATGTCAAAGGAGTTTGGGGTGATCATCTTTCAAATAAAAATATTCCTAAACATGGCAAAGGTCTTGCAATTGGTAAATTTCCCTCATTTCAATTGTCACAAAAAATGTTTAAAAGTTCAAGTTTTTCAAAGAAAAATCCACGTAAATCATTGTCAATGTCAAAAATAAAATCAAAAACAGATTTAAATTCAAGTAATAATACAATAGTTGAACAAAACAATGGTTTTGAAACACCGGAAATAACAGAATCACTTTATGGTGAAAAAGTGAAAATTATTTATGAAGAAACAAAAACTACAACACAATCTTTAAATACAATTCAACAATTAATTGAGGGACGTACAATGACAAGTAGAACAATTAATCAAGGCTGGTTAGAGAGATGTGGAATGAAAAGTACACCAGATGTATCGCCAATTGAACCACGTCGATTATCTGGAGTAAGTGATTCGGGTGTAGAATCAATGGAAAGCAGTATTCATTCATTGAAAGAATCAATTCAAAGTAATTCAACGAATGTTGATAATAAATCAACACACGATTCCGATGAAGATTTTGTATTGAACAGTGATTCAGAGGAGGAGAGACGAAGTAAACGAATTCGAAATTTAAATAAACTTTCCTGTGATGTAGATAATTTAGCTAAACGACCGTGTTTCACAAATTTCAGTCTTTCATATAATCAACCTGCGTTATCGCAAACTCTTTTTGATTGTAATCCTCAAGAAATTAAAGTAAATGAAAAATTAAATCAACAGAATTTAATTGCTCAGGAAAAAATTGTCGATACTGTGATTGAGAATGAAGAGACTGATGAATTACCAAAAATGAAACGTACTCATACGAAACGAAAGGGACGTCGAAGAATGAAAAATGATGAAGATAGTGATGAAGAATATTCGGAAGATTCAAAGAAGAAAAAGCCTAAACGAATTGCAAAAGTTTCACGAGCAAAGAAAAATGAGAATTCATCGCCAAAGACTCGAACAACAAGACGATCAGTGAAACAAATTGAGAATATTGAAAAAGAAGCTGTAATCGATGAAAATGATATTAAATTTGGAATAGAATCATTGGATGTAATTCCACGTTTACCAATGAAAGGTTATGGTACAGGTGATTTAATTACCGATTTCACAAAAGTATTGTCAGGGGAAAAAGAAAGTGACTCGGGTGTAAATGATTTGAAATTGAAAAAGACGATGACTGCTAAAGAGAAACTTGAACAGAAAATGAAAAGAGGAGAATTGAATGATAATTATGTTCGTGTGAATTTAAAAAAGAAAGTATTTGTACGTGGAAAGAAAGCATTTAATTTTTCAAAATTCAAGAAAGGTCAGTGGAAACAGAGAAAAAAGGAATTATCATCGAGTGCAGCGAGTTTGGATGCTGCTGATTTTGCTGAGAAAACAGGAGGCGCTTGTCATCTTTGCGGTGAAATGGGACATTTTGCAAGATTTTGCAAAAATCGTAAAGGAGAGGAATTACTTCCTCTTGAAGATGTTAATGATTGTTCAGAATTTCCAACATTGGAGGAAGCTGAAGAAATGGCGAGAAAAAATGCTCTTCTCGCTCATTCATCAAGAATCGATCGTCTTCCAAAAACTTTGCCCAAAACGGAGGGAGAAATTGATGAAGAACTCGAATTTTCAGATTGGGAGGACGAAGCACCAGAAGATGAGGTTAATTTTTTTTTTAATCCATTTTTTCCTCTAAAGTAAATCTACTAATATTTATTTTGTTTCATTTTTCAGCAAATTCAAACTGGATGCAGAATTCCAAAGGAATTAATGGCAAAACTTTTGCCACCAGAAATTTGTGATGTCGAACCAGTTTATCATCTTGAATCAGACAATTCACTTATAAGTATGTTTAAAATATATTAATTATATTAAATGATAAAAAAAATTACTATTTTTAAATTTTTTTCAGAAACTCCGGATGAAGTATTTCGAGCATTAAAAGATTTCGGCTACGATTCATTTCGTCCGGGTCAAGAAAAAGCTGTGATGAGAATACTTTCTGGACAATCGACACTTGTGACATTATCAACAGGTTCGGGAAAATCACTTTGCTATCAACTTCCTGCCTATATTTATTCGAAAAAATCGAATTGTATAACATTGGTTATTTCACCACTTGTATCATTGATGGATGATCAAATCACTGGGATTCCATCGTTTTTGTCAGCGGCATGTTTACATACAAATCAATCGGAGAAAGTACGTGAAAAAATAATGGATTCAGTGAAAAATGGAAAATTAAGTATACTTCTTGTTTCACCGGAAGCTGTTGTGGCTGGTGAAAAATCAACTGGATTTGGTGCACTTTTTAGACAATTACCACCAATTGCATTTGCCTGTATCGATGAGGCTCATTGTATTTCACAATGGTCGCATAATTTTAGACCATCTTATCTTATGGTGTGTCGTGTATTAAAAGAAAAATTGGGAGTAAAAACAATTCTTGGTTTAACAGCAACAGCGACTAATTCAACAGCCGAGAGTATTGTAAATCATTTGAATATTCATGATAAATTAGAAGGAATTATTAGCGATATTCCAATGCCGTCAAATTTAATGTTGACTATATCGAAAGATGAAAATAGAGATTTAGCACTTGTTGATCTTGTGAAAAGTAAACGATTTGAAAAATGTAATTCAATTATTGTTTATTGTACAAGACGTGAGGAATGTGTGAGAATCGCTGGACTTTTGAGAGTTTCACTTCAGGTACATATTTTTGTTTTAAATTTTTCTCTTATCTTAATTTTCAAAAATTAGATAAGGTTTTTAATTTTTTTTTCTGTTCAGACCCCTGGAATTGGAAATCGAGAGAGTGGAAATGTAAAAGTATCAAAAATTGCCGAAGCTTATCATGCAGGTTTATCTGCTCATCGTCGAAAAGTCGTTCAAAAGGCCTTTATGAGTGGAGAAACACGAATAGTTGTTGCCACCGTCGCTTTTGGAATGGGAATCAATAAATCAAATTTGCGATCAGTAATTCATTACAATATGCCACCGAGTTTTGAGAATTATGTTCAAGAAATTGGAAGAGCTGGACGAGATGGACTTCCTGCTCATTGTCATCTCTTTATTGATCCAGGGGTAAAATTAATTCAATTTATTTAAAAATACATTTAAAAATTAAACTTTCAATTTTATAAAATTAAACAATTATCTTTTTTTTATCTACAGAATAATGCTGATAAATGGGAACTTCGACGACATGTATTTTCAAATGGTGTCGATAGACGAACGATAAGACTTTTGCTACAGAAAATATTTATCCCATGTTCTTGTGTAACAAAAAACGCCCGAGAAAATGGTCTACGATGTCCAGGACACGAAGTTGCGATTCCAATTGAGGAAACTGTTCAATCTCTTGATATTACCGAGGAAACAATTTCAACTCTATTGTGTTACTTGGAGCTACATCCGAAAAGATTTATTACAGTTTTATCCTCCGCTTATTGTACAGCTCGAGTTTCAAGTTACGGTGGTTCCAAAGATTTGAAAATTGCTGCTCAATCTGTAAGTTTTTTTTTAAAAAATAATATTGTTATTAGTATTTTTATACATTGTTTGAATTTTTTAGTCACCACCTCTTGCAATGGCAATAGCTAAAGATATGAAGAAAGGAAAAAATCACGAGAAGAGTGGATTTATTGAATTTCCTGTTATTGATGTAGCGGCAACAATTGGATGGGACAGTGGAGTTGTTAAGAATCATTTGAAAAATTTAGAATGGACAACAATTGAAGGAAAATCGAAACGTTCGTCAATATCTGTTCGATTCTCAACTCTGGGATTGAGAGTCAGAACACCAGGTGATTTAACTGATGAGGAACAAGATGCAGCACTCAATGCACTTGTTGAAAGAACTCAATCTCAGGAAACTATGTGTCTTAAGCAAATCGAAGCAATTTATACGGCTGTGCATAAATTTAGCGTTCAATCAATTAAAAAGTGTCTTGTACTTGATGAAGAAATTGAAAAGAAATCAGAGGATCTTAAAGAAATAATACGAGCATACTTTAAATCCGAATCGTCTTTAGATAATATTGACGTGAATCCTAAGGTATTTTTCTTTTTTCTTAACAACTTTCGTCTATTTTATTTATCAATATTGTTAATTGTAATCAAAATTTTTCAAATTTTTTCCAGACAAAATTGCCCAACGAAACGGAAATAATGAACGATATAAGAATATTGATTTCAAGTTATCGGGACACGAATTTTTCAGCGAGGGCAGTGGCAAGAATCTTTCATGGAATACAAAGTCCAAATTATCCAGCTATTGCTTGGGGTCGTTGTCGATTTTGGCGTTCGCATTTAAATTGTGATTTCAATTTAATTTGCCAATTAGCAGCTAAAGAAATTATCGCAATGCATGTGGGAAGTTAGCCACGGTAATATATATATTTTTTTTTCTTTTATTACAAAATGTTTCTTGAAACTATTTTTACCGGTATTCTCAGTGTTCATATTTTTATACTTAAAGAGAGATAAAATAGCGAATAAAAGTAATTTAGAAAATTTAATACGAGAGTTAAAATTCTCTAAATTAAATTTTTCATATTAAAATCGCTATTCAATATTTTTTATTAAAAAAAAAAAAAAAAAACGAAAAGAAAAATAATAGTTATTTTTTAATATTAATTATATGTGGTGTAACAAACAGATTTTAATAATAGTCAATTTATTTACACTCTGAAATAAGAAAAATTAACAAAAAAATTTTTTGACTTAAAATAATAATTTTGATTTGTCGTTTTTTAAAATATCTACGAAAATTAATTTTTATTTGTTGTTAATTTTTAATTGTCAACTTCTAATAATAGAGGAATTGTGATCACTACGATTGTAAATTTGAGCTTCGTTTCTTAAATTAAGTAGTTAATTTCATTTTTTTTGTGTCATCGTTGCTTCTAATATTTCAAGATTATAATATAAAATAAATCACAATGTTTTGTTAATTTGAAACCTTGTGAATAAAAAAAAAAAAAAATTAAAGATCTCGTGAAAAATAGTTTTTAATTAAAATAGAAAAGAAATTCAATAATTTTCGCATTAAATTTTACGAGATCTTTGAATTTATAAGAGAAATAAACGTGAAATTTTAATCACGTGACAATTCTTTTCATGTAATTGCATTGTTTTAAAAATCGATGCATTCTTGCTTGTTGCATTTTATCAACTCGATTCATGCATGTTTCACTTTGACAGAGAGCGCAAAATTCTGATGAAATTCCATGAAATGGAGATTGATAATAAACATTGGAATTCTTTAAAATTTTGTTTTTACGATGTGAATAAACGTGAAGAATCACTTCCATTAAAAACAATGCAGTAACAAACCATCTGAAGTAAATTATTGCTGGTAAAAAAAGACAAACAGGATTTATCCTGCAAAATGTTTCACCATCCGGAATTGAATCGATATCCATGAATTTATCATATTTTTTCTTCTTTGAAATTGATTTTTGAATATCTTTAGGAATCTGAAAAATTTCAATTTTTTTTTTTATCCTGAAAAATCAGCTTTTTGATTCTTTAAGCCGATAATATAATAATTATTTTTGCTTCACTTAAAAAGTAATAATAAATAAATGTAAATAAAGTAAAGGAGGTTAGGTACTTAAAAACAAAAGTTATAATTAACTTGAAAAAAAACAGATTTGAAAAATGAATTCTCAGGAAATTAAATAAATTTACTTGGAAAGGCACTTTTCGACGTATACGTCTTGTGTGAACGTCGATCTCAGGTTCACCAGTTTCCACGTTGTTTGACACCTGTAGATGACGTTCATCAATATCGAAGCATTCTCCAGTTTCTTCGTCAATGAAAATTGATCCCTTCATATTTGTTGAAAGACAACCACAATCGTCACTACTGACTGTTCGGGTCAGTTGGGTCACTTCCCGGATGCTAAAGTCCTGCACTTGAAAAAAAAAAAAAACATTAAATTAAATCAAAATGTAATTTTAAATTGTCAAAGGTTTGTAATTTTACTAATACACACTTAATAATTTAAAATACTAACAATATTCGTATTTTTGATATTCTGATAGTAATATTTTAACGTTATGTAAAAAGAAAAATTTCCAACGTTATTACGTTGTAAATTAACATTTGGGTTTTTTTTTGGTGTGTTTGACTTTAATGAGATGCAGCGGATGCAAGTAAAGTTAGAGGTTATATGCTAGAGAGAGAAACAGAGATAGTCACAATTTTTATTGTAATTCAAGTAACGACAAATTATTGACATCTATAGTGATCTCATTTTTTTTAAATTACAATTTTTATTATTAATTAAACATATATTATAAATCTGATTTTAAATTTTCCGCCATAAATTAAATTCTACTATATACATTAATTCTATTGGTTGACACACTAAATGTAAGAAAATTTTTTCATTGGCTGATTTGATTCATTCCCATCAGTTTATAACCTCAATTTTAGATAAGTGTCAATTTTAACGATGATAATGTTAACGTAAAACGTAATTTAATTTACCTGTCATTTTATTGTATATTTTACAACATTTTGTTGAAGAATCTAGAAGAAAAGTGTTAATTATTTAAAGTGTTTCATTATAATTGTCAAATATAAACGTTTTCACATTAAAGTCACCTTGATTTTTATACCGGTCACGTAGTTAGCAAAAATCTTGTTTTTCCATAAACAATTCATACCGGTAATATTATAAATTGCGCTTCAATGCAAAGAACTTACTGTAAAAGTTGATTTTTCTATAAAAAAAAAAAAAAAAAATGGGACAACATGTTTCGAGAAGTGATTTTGAATGGGTTTACACAGAGGAACCACACGCAAGTCGTCGAAAATTAATTCTAGGTAAAACACTTGAATTAGTCATTTTTCTTATCTTTATTGAGTACCTGGTTAGAATTTGTTAAAAGATAAGAGTAACATTATCAAACTATTTTTTAAACTTAGCATTTTTAGCTTCTTATTTCTCATTTTTATTTTTTATATTTATAATTTCTTATAAAATTATATTTTTTTATGACAGCGTTTAATTTAGAACAAATTTTTTTACAGAAAAATATCCACAAATTAAAAAATTATTTGGCTATGATCCTAATTTTAAATGGGTAGTCACAGGAATGGTTTTAGTGCAATTTGCTTCAATGTTTATAGTAAAAGATTTAAGTTATCCAATGCTTTTTTTAATGGCATATTGCTTTGGAGGAGTGATTAATCATTCATTAATGCTGGGTAATTATGAATTTAAAAAATATATATTAATTATGTTAAATTTTCAACTATAATAATTAATTTTAATTAAAAATAAGTTTTATTAATACAATTTTTTTTCAGCTGTTCATGAAATTGCACACAATCTTGCCTTTGGACACACAAGACCTATGGCAAATAAATTATTTGGTTTTTTCGCTAACTTGCCGATTGGAATTCCAATTTCTATTAGTTTTAAAAAATATCATTTAGAACACCATCGTGTATGTATTTTAATTAAAAATTTTAATTATTTCGAATATTATTCTATTATTATTTGTCAATATAATTTTTTTTTTTAATAGTATCAAGGTGATGAGAAATTAGACACGGATTTACCGACTTTAATTGAAGCGAAATTATTTTGTACAACTTTGGGTAAATTTTTCTGGATTTGTTTACAACCATTTTTCTATGCATTTCGTCCATTAGTCACTTATCCAAAAGTGCCAACAACATTAGAATATGTAAATTTGATTATTCAACTTATTTTTGATGCTCTCGTTTGGTATTTCTTAGGTAAGGGGAAAATATTTAAAATTTTTGTTAAAAATTAGATATTATAATTTCTTTTTTTTTTTTTGTTCAAGGTGGTAAAATTTTAGTTTATTTTATTTTTGGCTCGGTTATGGCAATGGGTGTTCATCCAGTTGCTGGTCATTTTATATCTGAACATTATATGTATAAAAAAGGATACGAAACATATAGTTATTATGGTCCTCTTAATTATATCACATTCAATGTTGGTTATCACAATGAACATCATGATTTTCCTGCTGTTCCAGGATCACGATTGCCAGAGGTAAAATTTTTAATTATACTTCATTTTTATCTATAAATATATTAATTTAATTTTCCATATTAGGTAAAGAGAATAGCTTCAGAATTTTATGACAATTTACCGCATCATGATTCTTGGGTTTCTGTTTTATACGATTTTGTAATGGACCCGGATATTGGACCATACGCTCGAATTAAACGAAAACATCGAGGTTTAAAATCATAGGGGATTTAAATTTTTTTGAAAATATTGACAAAAATTACAATAATTTATTTATAGCAGTGAAAAAAAATCGACATTGTCAGCCATTTAAATAATATTTTTCTACGACTCGTGCCTAATATGTGATCAATTAATTTTTGATCAGGTCACTTGAGCTCCAAATATAGAATATTTTAAGAAGCCTTCTGTAATTAGACGTACAATTTTGTGTATAAATAATTGTATTTTTATTACTTAAGATTGCAGTATATGAAATCACTTTACTATTCATAAGAAGCAATAGTGAGAGCATTTTTTGTAAATTATTATTTTTTAAACAGTATTCAGTGAGAGTTGTAAAATTGATTTTTTTTTCAACTTTTTGTTTATATTCATTAAAAGTATTTGATTTAATAATAATGATAAAATTTTGACCAACTTTAACTGAATATAAAATTTAGTGAAATAGAGGCTATAGTCAAATGTAAATACATTTTCATTACGAAATAATTTTTTTGACTTTTTTTTTTTTTACACAAACTAACATTTTTTAATGTCAGTCAATATGCAATTGTAAAAATTTATTTTAAAAAATGTATTATAATAAAATTAGTTATAAATAATTTTATAATAAATTTCTAGTCAATTTTTTTTTCTTATTGAAATTCAATTTTAAACTAAATTTAGGTAAAATTTTGCAAATTGGATTTTTTTTTTAAAAGAAAAACTCAAAATTTCGTGTCTTGGAAAACTATTTATTTGAAATTAAACAGTTTCATTTGGTCTTGATCCCTGAATAGGACGATGAGCTTTCGATAGATAGTCAGCGAATTCCTGATATGGTGGCTTTGACAATGCAACATCTTTCCAAAGATCTGGTGTTAAATATGCATAAGTTTTTGCAATTGCGGCATAAGTTGCTTTAGCAAAATTTCCAAGTGTACAAGTTGAACCTCTTGCTGATGTGTAACAATCTTCAATTCCAGCCATTTGCAAAAGTTTCTTGGGAACTGGTGCTGAAACAATTCCAGTACCACGTGGCGCTGGTATTAAACGCACCTGAACTGAACCACATTTTCCAGTTACTTTACATGGCACCGTGTGGGGTTTACCAATTTTATTACCCCAATAACCAAGACGCACTGGAACAACGGACAATTTAGCGAGAATAATTGCACCGCGAATTGCAGTTGCAACTTCCTTTGAGCATTTTACACCCAAGCCAATGTGACCGTTGCTGTCTCCAATAGCAACAAAAGCCTAAAATAAATTTCACAAAAACATTATGAGAACGAGAGAAACAAAACAGAAAATAAATTATTTTTTTTAAATTACAAAATAATATTCAATGAATTTGAAATTACATACCTTGAAACGGGTACGTTGACCGGCTCGTGTTTGCTTCTGAACGGGCATGATTTTTAAAACTTCATCCTTAAGAGATGGTCCAAGGAAGAAATCAATGATTTCGAATTCTTTGATTGGCAAAGAGAAATGATAGATTTCCTCGAGACTTCGGATTTTGCCATCTCTTACGAGACGACCCAATTTGGTAACTGGAATCCATTCCTTGGCGTCTTCTTTACCACGTCCACGACCACGGCCACGACCTCTTCCTCTACCTCCTCTACCTCTATCACCACGAGATCCAAAACCTCCACGAAAACCACCACGTGCGGCTGGAGCAGCGTCCGCCATTCTATTTTAATATATTTAATTTTTATCGACTCTAGTATACAAACATAACCTAAATCTGCACGTGGTTCAGATTTTCACAATATCCACGTCAGTTTTAAACTTTACAAAAAAAGATTAAATTTACGCCTACTGAACGGAATAGTTAAATTTTCAATATTTCCACTTTTTATCAATAAATTTTACACATAGAAATATAAAAAATAAGAAAAAGTTACTTACGCTAATTTTTCAGGGAGAAGAAAAAAAATTAACTGGACAAACGTCACTTCCGAATCTTCCGAAATAAAAAATGGCTCCACCGGATGTGAGTCAATGTGGCGCAAAAATTTAAAATCAATGAGATTTTGTCGTCTGTGAAAAAGTAATTAACATCTTTTGTTTTTTTCTGTTTACATTGTTAAAATATAACAAAGAAACAAGGATAAACAATTAAATTAAATTCTAATTAATAGAGTTGTAATTGTTTTGACATATGTGCCAATAGTACACATCACAGCATGAGAAATAACATAATGCGATTGGTCGGTTCTATTAAATCCACGTGTGACGTTTTATAGGTTAAAAATTTAATGGCGTTGAAACAGCTGGTGAAATAAAATTTATTTGTGGTGTGGCAAAAAAATTAAAATTCAGGATTAAAAAAAAGTTAATTATGGCTAGTCCACGAACACGTCGTGTTTTAGCTGAATTAAAACCAAGTGATGAAAATAATGTAAGTATCAAAATATTTCGTGAAATAATAATAACTTTCACCATACTACCAATTGTCAAACGTAAAATTAAAAATAAAATAAATTCTAATTATTTTTTTAATTTGTAGAATAATTTGTTAATTGTTAGAATTTAAAAAAAAAAATCTAATTTCCCTTTTTTACAGAGGTGCTTTGAATGTGGAGCACATAATCCACAATGGGTTTCTGTCACATATGGTATATGGATTTGTCTTGAATGCTCAGGAAAGCATCGAGGACTTGGAGTTCATTTATCATTTGTTCGTTCAATTTCAATGGACAGATGGAAAGATATTGAATTAGAAAAAATGAAAGTCGGTGGCAATAGAAAAGCACGTGAATTCTTTGAATTACAATCTGATTGGGATGATTCAATGACTATTTCTCAGAAATATAATACAAAAGCTGCTGCACTTTATAGAGATAAAGTATGTATACATTTATATATATATATATATTTAAAAAAGAATTGTAAATTAAAAAAAAAAAATTTGTAAAATTAGATTGCTACAACTGCCAAAGGTGAACAATGGAATTCATCTACATCGAGTGCAAAGGATTTTGTCAGCAGTACTGTTTATGAGAATAAAGAATATAATTCATACCAAAATGAACAAGGAGATTCTTATGAAAATTTCAATACACCAGCAATGAAATCACAAACAGAATCATTCTTTGCCAAAAAACAACATGAAAATTCTTTTCGTCCAGAGTAATTTTTTTTTTTTAATATTTATTTACTATTGAAAATTTTTTGCTTAGTACAAAATTTAAATTTTAAGAAATGTTTATTAATTGATATTAAATTTAATTGAATTAAAAATATAAATTATTTTCTAGAGGCAGTAATTATATTTTTTTTTTGGTAAATTATTAATCAAAGTGATTTATTAAATTACAGTAATCTACCACCAAATCAGGGGGGAAAATACGGAGGTTTTGGATATCAAATGGAAGCACCGCCAAAAAGTTCTTCTCAAGAATTTTTCGATACTGCAGTTTCTTCTCTAGCGAGCGTAAGAATTATAAAATTTTATTTTATAATTAGAAAAAAGAAAGAATTAATATTTAATATTTTTTTTATAGGGCTGGTCCGTTTTTTCTTCGTCAGCATCAAAAATTGCTACAAAAGCCACAGAAAATGCTATTAAAATTGGAGGATACGCCACTCAAAAGGTATCAGAGATTTCAGAAACTGTAGGTGATAAGGTATGTTTTATTTTTTTATTTTGCAAAATTTTTTATAATTTCCAATTTCTCGCTTCTTTGTTTTTTTTTAAACTATTTTCCTTTTTTTTTAATTATTCAATAATTATTAATTATTATTTTTCTTTTCGTTTTTAATTAAAATTTCTTATTAATTTTAAATTCAATCTGAATTAAAAAAACAAAAATTCCCTTTTATTTTTTATCATATTTCTTTTAATTAAAATTGATTTTCAGTTGTTTTTGTTTTATTTTTGGTTTATTATTTTTGATTTTGTTAGGTACGAGAAGGTACTCTATTGGGAGACGTTGGTTCTCAAGTTAATACTTTAGCTGCTAAGGTAGTTACGCTAGATTGTTTTTTTTTTAATTTTTTCCCTCTTCAAATTTTTATTACAACTAATTTCAAATTATTCACAGGTTGGAGATTTGGGTAGACGAGGATGGGGCGATATTAGCGGAACCAATTCCTCCGAACAGAGTCGCTATAATTCCCAAGGAAATTATCAAAATTCAAATAGCTATGAGGATAATTTGAATAGAAATGATTACACAAATGAGAAATCATCGCTGGTTTCTGATTCTAATCTCAAGTAATTTAATTTTTATAAAAGTTTTTAAAGAAATGAAATTATCGAAAAAAATATTCAAAAAAAAATTTTTTTTTTTCTAAAGATCGAGCGCATCAACGACAAATACATCTTCGCACGATTGGAATTGGGAATCAAAACCACGATCAATGTCGGAGGCATCGATGGAAAGTCGATCATCATCAACAACAACAACAACATCAACAAAACGAATTAAAGAAAAACAAACAAAACAAGAATCATTAATGAGCTTTGATAAAGAAACTCCTGGTTATAATTCAAAATTAGAAGATGACGCTTGGGAAATATTGAAGGATTAGTGAAAAATACATTTATTTCTCCACTGGGGGAAATTATTATTTCAGACTCTTCGTGTTTCAACGGGGGTTTAAAAAAAAAAAAATTTGCAATTATTTGCATTTATAACGTATTATTTAATAGAGAGAGAAAAGTAACAAAAATTAAAAAAAAAAAATGTACATAAAATTTGCCGAACATCGACTATAAATGATTTAATTTTCAAATGAAATCTCTAACTAAATGTTTAATGATGAAAAAACAAAGTAAAGGCTGACGTTATATTGGATGTTGTTAGATGTGAAAAATATCTTTAATGTTGGATTTTTAAAGTGACGAATATTTTTCCTCTATTGGAGGGGAATTTTGTTTTTATCATAAAAATGTGTTAGCAAATTTTATTATTATACTCGACCATGTATATGTTTATCTCATCCTTATTGTTTTCTTTTTTATTAATGAAATATTTAAATATCAACTACAAGTATTGCAGTTGAAAATATAAGAAGACAAATAAAACAAAAAAAAATATATATTACAAATATTGGATGATTTATAAAGTAATGCTTGAATATTGAAGTATTAAATTTTAGATAGAGAAGTAAAGAATGGTGTAGTGCATTAGTATAAATAAATTTAACTTGTATTTAGATATAAGTAGATAAAATTGTGTGTGAATGACAGTTTTATGTTAGAAACAAATTTTTAATTCATATAAAAAAATTTGACATTATTATTAATTTCATTCATACATATTATGGTATAGATAATTTTATTTCTGTATAATAATTGTTTAAGATTTTAATTCAAATACTCCAAGAAACTCGGTATACAATAGTTGACAATAGTTTCACGAGTTATTCCTATCAAGTTTTAAATAATTGTAAATTTAAAACTTTATTGTATAAAAAAAAAAAATAATTCTAAATATATAGTTCGAGAAGTTTTGTATTTATACAGTGCATTCCACATATAATTTTTTAAAATTTATTCTGTAAAGAAAAAAAAGGGAGAGGCACAAATAAATGTCAAGTACTATAGAATTACTTATTGTCTTATTTTTATTTAAAAATTTATTATATTAATATTATTAATATTATTTTAATTATATTTATTTATTATTTACGTATTTTTATATTTGTAATTACTTATTTTAAAAAAGGGAGTTAAATAAATAATATGCCTGTTTAAATGTAGGTAATAACATGAGAGTATGTGAGGTTGCATGCGTAAAGGGGCGTGAGAGCCAATCCCGTTTTTTTTATTGAATTTCTATTAAATGTTGACATGTGAAAGAAAATTTTGATAAAACTCGTGATAATTAAATTAATAATTAGTAAATTTAGTGAAATATTTATTCTCAGGAAATATGTGTTGTGAGTTGAAAATAATCCTTTGCCTAATGGAGATAATTCTGACAGTTTGACAGATTTGACAGTTCTTCAATTTTGAGGTTAGAATTTTATTATAATATTTTTAAATATAATTACAAACCTTGTATTTGTTCATAGATTTCGAATGATAAATTTAATTCTTTTTGTATTTTAACATTAACAAATCTATTTGTATGTTAATTAAATTTTCTTTAATTAAAATTCATTTAAATGACCTTATAGCACGTCAGATAGTGTAATTGAATTAATTATTTCTAGGCTTTTTGATTTACAAGAAAAACATAAATGTTGTTATTGTTTTTTTTTTTTACTTAAAACAATAATATATTAACAGTAGACGAAGTTTATAAATTCTTAGAATTGAATTTTTTTTTGTATTTGTTCACAGATTAAGTGATGACAATGAAATTAGTATCAATAATTACATTTAAATTATAATTTATTAAATAAACTAGATGTGCGTAAACGTTAAAGGACCATGGATTACGAATATATGCCCTTCAGGGAAAAGGATATCCATAATCGATGCTGTGGTGGAAAATTTTGGTGTATTAAGGTTTGATTTTTTTTTTCAATTTCAGTGAATTAAATTAATTGTTGATTTCAAATGAATTATCATTTGAATTAAATTAAATAAAAATTTTCTATGTTTCAGGATATATGTGGAATTATTTGCGCTGTACTTACATGGCTGTTAATAATTTACGCAGAATTTGTAGTTATGGCAGTTATTCTTATTCCTACGATAAATACATTTTACTCAAGTATCAATATGGCAATTTTTCAAGGCTTAGCATTTTTAGCATTTACTGCTCATCTTAGAACAATGTTTACAGATCCGGTAAGAATTTTATGATTTTATTTTTAGTATTTTATTTTTATTTTATAAATCTTCAATTTTATTGATTAGAAACTCTAAAATATTTGATTATTTTCAATTGTTTATTTATTTAATTTAATATTGATTATGATTTATTAAATAATAAATTTTTAATTTATTTTTGAATAAAAAAAAATGATTTAAATTGTCTATTCAGGGAGCAGTGCCAAAAGGAAATGCAACCAAGGAGATGATTCAGCAAATGGGCTTCAGGGAAGGACAAGTAATATTTAAATGTCCAAAATGTTGTTCCATTAAACCCGACAGAGCACATCATTGTTCTGTTTGCCAAAGATGTATTAAAAAAATGGATCATCATTGTCCATGGGTCAACAATTGCGTAGGAGAAAACAACCAAAAATATTTTGTACTTTTTACGGTAAGAGCGATTAATTTTCTATGTTTTTTTTTTCATTTTCTCTAATTTTCAAAATTAAATTTTATCTTTTATCTTTGTGAAAGATAAAATTTTTAATTTTCAAAACTGCAAATAATGAAATTTTTCAACTATATAAATTTAGTTTTATATTGCGGGAATCTCATTGCAATCGTTGCTTCTCTGTATTCATCAATTTACAACATGCGTGAGACAAGAATGGAGAGATTGCACGACATTCAGTCCTCCAGCAACAGTGGTGTTACTTTTATTTTTGTCAATTGAAGCTCTACTGTTTGCCATTTTTACTGCTGTAATGTTGGGAACTCAATTGCAAGCTATTTGGAATGACGAGACGGTAGTTATATAAATTTAAAAAAAAAATTGTGGAATTTTTTTTTCATGATCTATTTTTACAGGGCATAGAACAATTAAAAAAAGAAGAAGCACGATGGGTACGAAATAGTCGATGGAAATCGATACAAGCAGTTTTTGGAAGATTTTCAATAGCATGGTTCTCACCGTTTACATCGCCGCCAAATAAATCGAAAACGGATGCTTATTTGTATTCCGTTTAAATATATATATATATATTTAACGAAAATTCATGGAAACGAATATTTCAAATTCGCATAATATCGAAATAATGTGAGATTTTTTTATGAATGAGTGCAATAGATTTTCTTTTTCTTTATATAAAATGGCAAAGACTGTTTTTTTTTAAAGTTTCGATAGTTTTGTCTTCTTGAATGCGGTGATTTTTTTTTATTGTTTCTATCAAATGGGACAAAAACAACAACAAAAAAGTACAAAATAATTCGTAATTTGTTTTACGACTCCAAAAATTTTTGGGGGAATTTTACAGTTTATGATTCAATATAGTTGATGATATTCAAAGGCTCTCAATTTCCTTTTGGTTCGGAATTTTTAAATTCGAATTTTTTACATAATTCTAAACTAATATTTGAAAATCTAAACGGAATTTTTTAAATGTTATTTAAAAATTACATTGATATAATATTTAATAAAAAAGGAAAAATTTCGTTGGTGGAAAAAAAAATTCTTTTTTAAATTATAATAAATATATATGATAGTCAGTACTTAACTTTGTGAAATCGTAGAATTTTTATACAAAGAATTATGATAATTTACATAGTGCAGTAAAAGAAAGTGATAAAGGTACTGTAGCTTAAATAGTAGTAAGAAACTTTTCAGGAATAAAAAATACAAATTCAATAAAATATAATTCTAAAATATTTTTTAATTAAAAAAAAAAAAATGATTAAATACTTAAAAAATATTTTGGAGAATTTCATCAACATTTTCAAATCAAGTTAATAATACTAAATTAAAAAATATAAAAGTTATATGACGAATAATTATCTCCCAGTGTATTTGACGTATATTTTATTAAATGTAATTTATAATATAAATATTTGAACTAGTGCCGATTTTTATGAATGTGACGACGAATGTTTCTATTTCTGATAAACATGATCAAAGAAAAACTGTAATTACGCTAAATTAATTACAATCATTATTGTTTAATTAGTACTTTTATTAATTATGATATTAATTAATTTTAATTATTATTATAAATTACACAATTTATATTATATTTAAATTAATTATAATTTCTTAATTAATTAAAGGTACATCAATTGATGACAATAATAATTAATTAATTGCGAAAAAATGAAAAAAAAAAATTGTGTTTTTTGTATGAATCTATATATATAATAGAGAGTCTCACTTTTATAAAAAAAAAAAAATTGTCAAGTTTAATTAGTGCAGAAAAAAAATTATAATTTTCTATATATAAAAAAAGTTGTGATATTTTCTCAGTGAAATGGAGAAAAATTTAAATTCTCACATTTGTTTTAAGAAAATTTAGAATACGAATTTTTCTAATTATGAAAATTTTTTAAAATATACTCGCGAGTTTCTTTTCTTTTTTCTACTCATGTTAATTAACACAACGAGTTTGTAATGCATTTAAAAATGGATTATTTTTCATTTATTGAATCGATGTTTATTGCTCGTGTAAATACGAATAAATTCAACAACGACATATTTCATGAAATTTATATTATTTTTATTAAGATTAATTTGTAATATGATTTCTGAGTCTTAGCTAATTTTGCGTTTTGTGGTAAATTAATTTTGTAGTTCTAATTTTAATTTAATTGATAGTTTAAAAGAAAGCGAAAACTGTTGAGAAATTCAAGAATACTTTTAATTTATTAAAACTATTTTTAAGTTAATTATGATTTTAGATTTGAATTTATTATCGTAATTTATAAATCAATTATAATATTAACGAATATAAATTCACGTATAGGTAAGCTTCTTTCGTATTTATTAATTATTAAATTTGTTAATTAGTTCACTAATAGATTAGTTAACTATAATTGAATTTACAATATCTACATTCTTTTGCTACATTATTCTAACGTGACTTTTTTCATTCTTATAGCAATGCAGAATAACGGAACAAAGTTCATTAACATATTTCTTGGAGTTTTGCAAATAAGAAAAGAAAAGGAAAAATTGAAAAAGGGATTGGATATGCAATGATCCTTGGAATTGAAAAGTGAATATTGGAGAATTAAAACTTGCCCGTAGATATATATTTTTTTTTTTTGATCCAGGAAAAAAAAGAATTATTAAAGAGCTTTTGATTGTGAGAGCAATACTTTCATACTTGAAGTCTAAGCAAGACATATATGAATCTTGAAGAACGACTTAGGCAATGCCTTGTATAAAGGCAAAACGGCTCAGTAATTTATTGCGATTGGGCACACGAACGGCTTTCACTTTTACTTTGCTTCGCTCTTGGTAAGTTTTTAAGATATATTCATCACTTCGTTATCTTTTTCTCTTTTATTTTTTTGTCATTCCTTAAAAAGATCACGCACACATACATATACCTCAATATTATCCATGACATGCACGCAATGAATTCTTTATAATTTGTTTATATATATAAAATATTTTCCATTCGTTGCTTTTTTCCTCATATGACTTCCAAAGTTTTTTTTTTATGAATTTTTATAAAGAGCGGAAGTCATTTTCGAATAATTAAAAGATAAACTTGTTTTTCGAATTTTTATTTTAAAAAAATGTGATTTAAATAGAATAATTAAATAAAAAATTATTGTAATTATTTATTAAATTAATTATAGTAATTACTTTTATATTACACTTAATTATATTAATTTATTTTGATATCTATATGCCATTTTTCTATATGACGCTGAAGTTAACAACGTTGATTCAACGAAACAACGAACGAATTTTTCGCTTTCAGATTAGTTTAAAAGCCAAGAACCAATATTTTTTAATTGAAACTTCTTTATTTTGGTCCCAAATACATCCTTAAACACTAAAAATTCACAACCAAGGCGGGGAAATATTCAATCTTAGGAAAACAAAAATTCTTTTCGTCGATTCAACGTTGGTAACTTCAGTGTCATTTTTCTATTTTATGAAAGAAATTTTCCAATTTTTTTTCTATTTTTATTTGTCAAATAAAAAAAAAAAATTAATATTTGTTCTTTCTGTTTATAATTTATTTTCTTTTTAAAGGCATAAAAAAAACGAGAACTGAAAGGAAGAAACCTTCAACAATGTCTATAGTAAGTAAATAATGTAAATAAAATTCAATTGAATTTTATTTTGAAAATTTAGAAAAAATTAGAAATTAATTTGAATATTAATATTTTTCTTCTTTTAGATAATTTTGGTGTTGTGTTTGATTGCAACAACATTTGGATACGATCCAAATGATAAAACGCTAAAAGATATTTTATTGCCGGAAGGAAAATTCGAAGCATTTTATGTAAAAGGAGATGAACAAAATGTCGTGAGGCCACCACATCTTCATGGATCATTTCATACTTATAAAAATCCAGCTCTCGTTGGTGCTCCAAATAGTGCAGCTTATGGTTTTCGCTTCGATGGAAAACGAAGATTCAATTTTGATTAAAAATTGTAAGATATTTTAATAATTATTTTTATGATTTCTTAAATATTTAACGAAAATTCAAATTTCTTACTCAATTTTTTGCAAATTAAATTTCAATTTGATAAATTTACTCTTTCGTTACACAGCTATTTTAAATTTGCAAAACTCATAAATAAATAATAGATTAATAAAATAAAGATGCGGTATTGCGTGTTGAGACGCGGAAATGTATTTTTGTACCGTGTAATTTTTATCTTAAACAAACACGAAAGAATTGACTATTAATTTACTTGAAATTAAATTTATTTACTGAAGGGAAATCAAAATTTATTTTTATTGTCAGTAGTAATTAAAAAATGTTATTTATAATTTGTCTTTTATTAATAATTTATTTTTCTTTTTTTCATTAATCTCAATTAGTAATTTGGAGTGATTCTCAGTTATTGATAGTTTTTGAAATTTTGCTTTTATTTATTTATTTAAAGAACAGATTTTTATTCTAAAAAAAAAATATGTGATTTCATAAGCTATCTAAAAATTTTACAGAGACTACACATGATTTCATGCATGAAATTATCATTGCAATTAGAAATTTACAAATGAAGATATGTACCAATTTCGAAACTAATATACTTCTGTTTGTCTCATTTAATTAGTAAAAAAATTTATAATTTTTATATTTTAAATTAATGCAATAAAATTTAATAACTTTTTTTTATTAATTAGAATTTCTTTCTTTATTTTTATCATTATTACTTTTTATTTATTAATTTTTGTGATAAAGAAAATTAATTATATTTTTATTAATTGTCTAGAAAAATAAATTCTTTTTTAGACTAAATAAACATTTTAGATAAAAAAAATTCTTTTTTTTAAATAATTATATTACAGTAATGAAATTTTATCATGAAAAAAGTAGAGAAATATGAATAAATAATTTTAGTGAACGCGTGTTTTTAAAAATGTGAAAGGCCTTTAAACTTGATATTTATAAATCTAAATGTTGCTATTAACAATATATTTTAAATGTTGATATTGAGGCTTTCCATCTTTAACAAACACGCACAGATGTTACGTTTGCAGAATGCATCAAATCTGACAATTAACAAGAGAATCTATCAGGAAAGGGAAATTTACTTTCTTCGGGTTAATGATCTATTTAGTAGAAAATTTTTTTTTAATAATTTGCTGATAAATTTCAAATAAAATTCAAATTTTCAATACACTGACGAATTAATTTAAAAATTCTTTTCTATTTCGAATTAAAAAATTTCTAATTAAATAATATTGCAAATTTAAAATAACATTTGCTACTATTTTCCATTGCATTTTATTAACAATTTTCTATGATTGTCAAAAAAAATTGTTATTATAATTCTTTTTTTTATTTTGTTATTTAGAAAAATTTATCCAGAGCCAATTTCATCGAAATGATCGTCAAGGAAAATTATTTCCCTTCAAGAAGAAGTTGAAAACGACAAAGGAAAATAATACTTAAATCTTCAACTCATCTTACACAAAGTTAATAATTTTTTTCAATTTAATTTTAAATTAAAATTATTTAATTTTTTCAATGAGAAGAAATTAATTCTAATTAAAAAATTGAATTTTCAATTTAAATTATATTTTCAGATAAAAAAATTAAAAATTTTGATTTAAAATTTTTTTAATTGCAGAATTATATTAAGAAAATAGTATTTTATTTAGAATTGTTGTAAATTGTTTATAACGTTCGTTTTTTGTATTAATTTTAATAAAAAAAAAAAAATAAATTTTGAATTAAAAAAAATTTTTTCTACTATAAATCTAAAAATGAAAACTATTTAGAAAACATTTTTTTGAAAATCTAATTTGTAATCTAATAAGAATTGGCTTTTAAAAAGAAAATCTTCTAACAAATTGAAAAATTCCTTTTTATTATTATTAAAAAAAATATATATAAAAATAAGGAAAATGAGCAAATTAGGAAATAAATATTCGATCATGTCTGTAATGAAAGTGAAGATATACACCTCTCATGTTAGATTCATTTAACATTCATTATTATTCCGTAATGAAATCGCATCACTCATCAGCATTTGAGCAGAACGCATATAATAATAATTTATTCTTGATGAACAAGAGAATATATACTTTCTCATAACATGTTCGAGTATAATCTCACAAAAGAATCCGGTGAAGATTGAACAGTAATCATAGATTCCAAAGGAATTAAATAGAAAGGCCAAAGAAATAATTTCACGCTATTGTTATTTTCCACGCAAGTCGACAAACTCGTTCATTAACTTGAAATAGTCGCACCTCCATTGGAATCATCACAGTCAAAATGTAGACTTCACGATAACAACAGCATCATTTGTTTTTTTATTATTAAAAACTATAAACTCTGTGATTTGTGTTTCTATAATAATCAAGTGACTAAGACAATATTTATTTAAAAAAAAAAAATAGACAATTTGTGTCCGTTTTATTTTTTGTTACAAGAATTTTTTCTTTTTTATTCAGTGAAACGTAAAAACTTTTTTGACGTTACTTGAATCTCAAAATGAGATTTTGTAAAGTGTTTTTAGTGATTGTGATTTTTTAGTCAATTTCAGATCAAATATTCGACAAAATGAGGATCTCTTGGTTTATAGCGGTGAGTGATTAAAAAAAAATTAATTTAATTTCGATTGATTATAAAATATTGAATATAAATATTAAACATAAAAAATGGAATTTTGAATAAATTTTTATTTTTAAACTATTTTTAAAATTATGTTTATATTTTCCAATAGTTTAAAAATTTACAAATTTATATGACTATTTGTAATTTTATACTAATTCGAATGTAAAATTAAAATTTTTATTTCAGATCGAAGCCTTTCTGCTTTCCATTGTTTTTGCCAAAACTGAGGATCCAAATAGGTTCATATTTTTTAATATTAAATTTCTATTTTTCAAATTCATTTTTAAAAAAAAATTTCGTTTTAATTTTCAGACTCGAGGATTTAACAACTCAAGAATCGATTTCAATTGCAAATGTCAATTCCTCAGTGGAAGAAAATTTTCAACAATCCAAGGAGAAAGAAAAACCTCGAAATGTTCGACATACAGAAAATATTATCTCGCCAATTTTCACTGACAATCATTGGTCATCAATTGAAAATCCAATTTTTTTTGAACCCACACAACAGGATAAAGAAAAAACTAAACTCGTTCTCATTGAACCATTTTTTCGTGCAAAAAAAATGGAAAAAGGTTTTTGGGGTTGGTTAAAGAAAATTTTTGGTAACAACAATGATAAAAATGATAAAATTGGTCAAGGTCCTCTAATTGGTCCAGTTAAAGTACCAGGAATGAGTGATAATGTTTATATTCGTGCAGCTGATACAGAAAATGAAGCAAATCATGTTGTTATTCATTTAATGATGAAAAAACCATTGGAGAAAGAAATTAAATTTGAAAATCATTTGCCACTCGTTCAATTTGATACTGTTCATCAATTACCAGTGGAAAATTCAAATTTTCAAAGTGAAATTATTTCACCACATTTTTCACATGAGGGACTATTTGATAAATCAGCTCATTATCCAGTTGATAATTCATGGTCGTCCATTATTCCATCATCATCAATTCATATACCAACGGTGAAGGAAAATTTTTACGCTAATCCCAGTTTTTTTAGAAAACATTCAACTGATAATGAGGGAACTGAATTTTCTTCTACTTTAACGAAAGATATCGAAGAACCACAACAATTTACAGCCTGGGTGAGAGATTTTATTTTATTTTAATTTCAATTATTTTCTTTATAATTGTTAAATTTTCCAGATTTTAAAAATTTAATTTTTTAATAATTAATAATTAAAATTGAAATTTGAATTTAAATTTTAATACTTTTTTTTAGAAAATTTTTTCACGTTTCAGTCTCAACAATACGATCCGCCAGTGGAAAGTTATAATCAAGAAGATCCAGGACAATTGCTTTTCTATAGATCAGAAGAAAATCGTCAATTCTCATCAGCTCGAGAGGATATTAATAATCTTCAAAGATCGCAAACTTCAGAATTGGAAATATCGGAAAATAAAGAATCGTTACCACTTTATCCACCTCTTTTTAATTCTTCATTCGGTCAAAATATTTCAAATAACAGAAATAATCAAATTTACGTGACAAATGGAAATAATTTAAAATCATCATCTGGACCAAAAAGAGAATCACAACCATATCCAGGACTTGGTGCTTATAAAACAGAATTAAAAATTGTCAATTTACCATTAAACATTAGTCACGCAAATATTGAGGAAGAATATATTTCCAATGTAGGAATTCAAGAAGTCGAGGCACCAAATCTTTCACAAGCTGAAAATAGAGGAATTTATCAATTTTCCGAAATTGACAATATCGAGGAATCTAAAGGGAATAAAAAAATTGAAAATTCAAAAAAAATTCGCAACAGTCAAAATTATGATTCAATAGATTCTAATAAAAATTTTAATTCAAATGATTCAATTTCGAACGTAACGGAAATTGATGAATCATTAAAAACAATATCAGCATCCTATCCCTGGGATTATCGATCCACGAATAATAAATTCAATATTTCAATAGCTGAAGATGATAAAATAAAGGTTTCCGATTCGCAAAGTGTTTCCAAATCTGAATCCGAAGAGAAAAAAAATGTGCGAAATGAATCAAGACTGAGAACAAACAGAATAAGAACCCGAAATCGTGAGATTAAAAATAAAAATTTAAATCCAATCGTAGAGGAGAAAAATTCCCAACAGGAAAATAAATCAAAAGATATTACGGAGAATAAAAAAATCGAAGAACTTAAAGTTACAGAAGAAACAGAAGAAAAAGACAACAAAATGGAAAAACCATTGACAGCCGAGAAAGTTAAAGAATTTTTCCTAAAAGAATCGAAACGATTTGAACAAGTATTAAAAACAGTTGAAGAAGAATCAGAAGCTATCAAAGAAGAAACTGCGAAAGTAAATTCACAAAATAATGAAGACCTTTCATCTAAAGATACAAAAGAAGAATTGAAAATTAATCCCGAGGAAAAATTAAAAATTAACACCAAAGAAATTAAAGACAACGAAGAAAATTCAAAGAATCAAGAAACGAAAATTAAAAATCAAACAGAAGAATCAGAAAAATTAACTATCAAAAAAGAATTAAAACCCACTATAGAAATTCCGTCAAAAATTGAAAAAATAACAATTGAAGATAATTCAAAGGCCATTAAAGATGCTTTAGAAGCCGTAAAAGAAGACCTCAAGGCCGTCAAAGAAGAATTAAAAGTATCAAGAGAAAAATCAAAATTACAAAAAGAAATAAAATCTGAAGAAACGCCAAAATCCGAAGATTCGAAATTTATCAATGAAAATGCAAAGAAAGAAAGAATAATAAAACCTGTAAGAAAATTAACAAAATCACAAATTGAAGAAAAATTGAAAACAAAGGAAATAATATCTGATGAAAAATTAAAATCATTCGAAGATGATATACCATTAAAAATGTTATTTAACACAAGAGAAAATTCTCAAGAAAAATTAACAACAGAAATAAAAAATTCCGAGGAAAATGAAAAATTACAACCAAAAATTTCCATAGTTAGTGATAGTCGAATTATTAATAAATCAAGATCAAGAAAACCATTAAATAAAGAAATAAAAAAATCAAATTCAACTAGATTTGAATTAAAAAAACCAAAAATCTCCATTCTTGACGGACGTTTTAGAAGTAAATTAAAAAATACTACTTCTAATAATTTAAAATCAAATTCCACTGTAAAAAATGAAGCAACAACAATTATTACTACACCACCGTCGCATATTACAAGAATTTATGGAAAAAATCGTTCTGTCGATAAATTAAAATATAATGCAATTAAAGAGAAAATTGTCAAATCTGAGGAAAATAAGAAAATTGATCAAGCGTCCATGGAAAAACCAAAAGTAGTACGATTAAATAAATTTTCACCAAGAACAAGAAATTTCAAACCAAAATTTGATAAGAAAATTGTAAATGGTTCGGAAGAAATAAAATCTGATTAAAAAATTAATGAAAGAAGCGTAAAAAAATAGTTTAAAAATATTTTGTAAGAAAATAATGTTAAATATTAATAATTTTTTTTTTAATATTAAATTAAATTAAAATTAAGTTACAAAAATATAATGGAATATATTATAAATTATATATATAATAATATAAATATTATTCATTGATTGAAAATTACTATATAAGTAAATATTGATAAATATTAATTGTTCCGTTACGCGTAATAATAATTTATTATATATAAATATTGTATTTATCAAATTTTATTATTTTTAAATAAATTATATTGTTATTGTTATTATTGTTAAAGGAAAGAATTTATAAATAATGTTCTGTTAATACAAAATAATTTAAGAAAATATATTGTAAAAGTCATTAAAATAGATAAATAAAAAAATAAAAAACAGATTTTTTATTTATCCTATTATATATAAATTATATAAATACTAAATACTTTTTTGTGTTTTTAAAAATCAATTAAACGAAGTAACCGACAAATATTTACCTATAATTAAATTAATAGTTTCATCAAACCATAAATTATTTCATTAATTAATTTAACATTTTTATAACGTAAAATAATAATAAAAAAAACTGAAATTATAAAATTTAAAAATCCTAATAAATTAAATGAATAAAAAAAGAAAATAAAAATAATTACAATACCTCTAATTATCGGAGAAATACATTTTTTCTTTTCGTCGTTCAATATTGAAACTCGTGTTCTTTTTTTCAACAAATTTTTTTGATCTACAAAACTTGCGTCCTCCACATTAAAACTGAAATAAAAAAAAAAAATTTTTACTCAAATTTTACAATTAAATATATATTTATTGCTATTGGAAATTTGGAAGTAAAAATAATTTAACTACAATAATAAAACGTGGATGTATACAAAACAATACTTAATTTTATTAAATTTGTTTATACATTATACAAAAAGAAATTAATTACTTTTATGATTTAATAAGCGATGACATTATTTTACAATGAACAATGTGAATAAAAATTAACTTTAATATGGCTTAATCTTAACAGTAGAAAAATGATGCAATGAAACAATATATACAAATAATCTAAAAATACAAAAAAATCACGTTGACAATCTCAACACATAAGAGATGATCGCAGCCACTAAAATAAAAAAAAAAGAAATTTCAGTTAATTTAAAAAAAAAGTATTTTTTACAAAAAATGCAAAATCACTTACTTCTGACAAACTAAGTTTGATACTTCCATTTTGCAATGGATCTTTGCTTTCAAATATTCCTAAAATAGAGTAATTAATAAAAATTAGTCCTTAATTAGTTAGTTACTTGAAAATAATTTCAAGTATTTTTAAAGTTCCATTAATAAATATTGAAATATATTTTTTAAATAACACAAAATTTTTAACTTTTGATTAATTTTGGACTTTTTTAAAAAAAAAAATTTGTTGAATTGTTACCAAAAGCATCACTCAAGTGTAAAATTGTTGAAACAAAATCGCCAAATCTTAAAGTTCCATCCTTCCTCATATATCGAAGGATAAGAATTGACAGAACATCTGTATTTAATTGAAAACCAACTTCAAGTAAAGCGTCACGAAGCCTTTCCGCTTTTAAAATACCAGTTTTTTCTTTCGTATGATTCTTAAATGCAGTTTGCCAATATTTTAAACTGCACATTAAATCTTTAAAGTCGCTAAATTTTAATCTACCACTACTCGTGCTCTATTATTTTTCATATTAAGGAATTAATCCCCATTATAAAATTTACTTCAACAAAAATCATTTCAAAAAATTTCAAAAGGATACATCCATTGTTAGGACGACTTGTCGACAAACTTCCATGCAAGCACAACTTTTAATATAATCTAAAAAAAAAAGAAAAATATAGAAAAATTTTTAATTTTTCAATAATTAAAAAAAAAAACAGTACCATTTGGTAAACAAGCATCTAAAAGTTCTTGAAGCTCGAAAGCATTAACAGTTTTGTGTTCATCTGCAAGTTGAAGAAATACAGCTTCATATTGGGAAAATCCTTTGCCTTCAAGAATAGGAGCTTTGACAATCGCTGATTTCATCAAAGAGGGTGGCGTATCTAGTAATCTAAAAAAAAAATTTGTTTTAAAATACTAATTCGTAATTATTTTATTCCGAATAAAAATAAATTTATTTGCTTACTTCAATTTTAAGGGTTTACTACTGTAAACTCGTAGTGTAAAACTTGTTTCCTGAGTGGGCTCAAAAGTTGTTGGTACAAGTAAATAACCACCTTGCTCCAATTGACATCGATGACTGACTTGTCGACTATTTGTATACTGTGAATTTACGAGCGATTTATTTTTCTTGAAAAATTGCTTATTTATTGATTCGGTACTATTTTTTGGCAGCGTGTAAGCTGTAAATCCAATCACCTGAATAGAAAAAAAAATTCAGTTCAAATAAAAACGAAATAAAAAAACGGTTTACAATAATTAATATAAATAATCACTTTTGGCTCCATAATCGAATGTTGATTGAGAGATACAATGACTTCCTCCATTTCACTGAGAATGAGATGTAACTGAGGATTTATGTGAAATGTTTCTGGAAAAGGAAAAAATTTTTTTTCATAAAATAAAAATTCAATAGAAAAGTGTTTATCTTACTGAAAAAAAAAAAATACCTTGATTATTTCGACATCCCCCAGCGGTGACGCCTCTTCTCCAGCTTCCTTGATACAATTTCATCTGCCAAGTGTGCTTACTGTGCAAAGAAGGCTCGTCCCTTGAAGTTTCAGCGTCAAGATGCACGACTTCAAGATGAGTGAACGTTTTTACAAAATCCGAATACGATATCCTAATTGCCAAAGGAAAATTAGTTTCAAATTTTCCCTTTTTTCTTTAAACTTAAACATATTCGAAATATAAAAATAAAGAAATTCAAATATTTAAAAATTAATTCTATATTGCAAAATAAAATCTAAAATTCTGTTTTAAAAATAAAATAAAATACAAAACTCGAACGAACTCTTGGTACTTAAATTTAGTAAGAGATAAAATACTTTTAAAAAATTTTTTTTTCTCTTTTCCCTTATTATTAATTGGATAATATTTTAGAATTTTTTTTTGTTTTTGTTTCTGCACGCGAAAACGATGGGCGTGAAAAGTCATGACTTTAAATTTATTACCAGAATTCTCCTTCAGCCATATTTCGAACAGTCAGTCGTTCTCTTTCTGCAGGAGGAATTTCATCCCATTCGAGGCCTCCACGGGCCCAAGCACCAACATATTCTCCTCCAAGTCCAAGGGGATTTCTTAATTTTACTAACTGCACAGCCTCGCCACTAAATGTTTCTACCTGTTAACATAAATTATCGTAAAAAAAATATATTTTACAATATTATAAATCATTCATTTTTAAAATACTAATTTTTTTCAAATATTTTCTGTTAAAAATATCAATTTTTAATTTAGTTACATATTTATTTTTAAATTTATTTAACAAACCCTTTCGATAGCGTAGAGCCTGTAATTAATTCCCATTTGTATTCCATTTGCCAATTTTTCTGTACTTGTACGAATCTAGAAAAATTATTTATAATTAATATTTAAAAAATAATATCTTAAATTAAATTCATTATTATAAAATTAATTTTTCTTATTTTTAAATTATTTTCTAATTTTCCATTGGTTATACTTTGATTGTTAATTTTTTTTTTTTATCCTTACTTGTTGTTGTTGCTGATTATTATTAACAGTGCAGGTAATTAAGGAAGTCATATCTAAAAGTTTTGTTAAAGCACGACCACATGCCGTGGGATCTTGACGAATTGTAATACTTTCAGTAATTCCACCTGTCAAATCTGATAAACCATCCAATAAAGTTCCGTACTTTAAAGCTTCATATGAACCATGTAATCTGAAATTTCAAAAAAAAACCTTATTTTAATAATAATTTTATATTCCTTCAATTCAAATTTGAAAGAAAAAGAAATTTTGCAAACTTCTTTTTTTAAAATTATAGTTTCTTACGAAAAAAAAAATTGTCTTAAAAATTACTAATCATTATGAAAATCATAACACTGTATATAATAGAGGATTAGAAAGAAAATTTCCTCTGATGATAATGAAAGTATCAGTAATATGCACTTCCGTCTGATATTGAAGGAGTTTCCCACAGACATTCGAAATAAAAATATTAACTCGTACTTTCTTTAATGGATAAGCACAACTCAAGATCTTATATATATATATAAAGGGGGGAAAGCAAATCGGAATTTTCTCACCTTCAACCTTATGAGATTATATAGAATGCTTTATGAAGAACGCAACTCGCACTTTATATGCTCAGAGTCAATGCCAAACCTACACAACAATATTACAGACAATTGAAATTCCGTTACATTTTACACTTATAGTGAGAAAAAAATTTAATTCTAAACGATTTTCAAAATAAAAAAAAAAATCCTACCTAATTTTGTCATTAAAAAATTATTTTTTACCATATTAAAAGGTAAAATTACAATTTTTTGAAAATAATTTTCTGTATTTACATTTAGACGTTGAATAAATTGAGATTTATGGAGGCGACATATCTTCTTTATCGAAACAATGCATCATTTTGTAAGGCATGATACACGAGACTATATCTTAACGATACGATAGAGAACCCCCTTTATTTTCTCCTTCGTCTTCTTCTTCTTCGTTCTTCTTTCCATGGTCACTTTGCCTTCCTTTTCAATTTTGTTTACACTATCTTTGGCGATGTTAAGTGTATAATAATCATTTTCACAGATTCCTAACTTCAAATGTCCGCAATTTAAACGTGCGCGTTCACATTATAAATTATTCCAGAATTAATCTGATATGTTTTTATCTTTCAAGGAAGTTTATATGTTAATTTATTGTATTTCCTATTTATTTATTACTACGCCAAAAAAAAAATTGAATTATAAATAAAAAATTATGTAAATAAAATTAAAACAAAAAAATATTCTAAATTATAAAAATTGAATCAAATAGAAAATAAAAATAAGAGAAAATATAATTAAACTGAAATTAAAATTATTTTCAATGATTAATATTTAAAATTATAAATGAAAATAATTTCTGAATCGCAAAAAAATTCGGAGAATCTACAAGAAACTAAAATTCCGCGACTTGGTAATATTTTCACGAGTCAGACATTTATTATATAAATACCGTAACTATAATTTCCGTGTAATAATTTTTATTGCTGTGTAATAAATTTTGCATAATCATGATATTGTTATTTGCTCCATCGTATTTACAAAATTATTCCTTGTTTGATTGTATAAGAAAATCTGTCACACTTGTGCGTACGTCATTTATAATGTCATGAGATGAAAGGCATCTAAGGCGTGACCAACGCATTCTTCGTCTTGAAGAAAATTACATTTTAAACACCATTGTCCTTGATTATCCTCGAGTTCCAATTATTACATTTTTTTCCCCTCTTTCTAATTGTAACTTAAATTTTAATTTACAATTTCTGTTATACATTATAGAATTTTATAAATAAAATGAAATGATGAATTAAAATTTTTGAATGAATTTTAATCGTCATGTTTAATAATTTATCAAACGAGATTAAGAGTATGTTCATTCATCAAAAATTTTATTTCAATATACGAAACGACGAATATAATCTGGATAAATTATTATCCATGAGTGCATATTTTGTAAGAAGAAATTTTATAATCTCATTCTATCTTCATCTCAATGCGATATTATGTAAGATATTAAAAGAGAATTTCAAAAAAAAAAATTTCAAATTAAAATAATTATTAATATAAAAATAATTTTTCTTTTGAAAAAATTTAGAAACGATTTCAATTTCATGTAAAATAAATATTGTAAAATTAACAAATATTGTTTCAAATGAAATAAATATAGAAAATGTTTATTAAATACCGGTCTTTTGCGATTGGAATCAAATAGAAAGCTTGATAGCATGACACGCGCGCGCAATAGGATATGCGAAACGCACCACCGATTTCCATTAGAAACCAAGTATATATACACACATGTGGTTTTGATTCGTTCTTTCGGACTACAATATATTTATTCTTGATTCGCACATGTAGCTTCAAAGAAATTGTTTTCCATTTTCACCTTTATTAACGATGCGTCAAGAATTATGTGGACAATATAATTTTCTCTCAATTCTATTTTTATGTGTTCAAATTAATAAATTCTATTAGAATAATTTTTAAATTAACAAACGTGTTAGTCTTTTTTTTTGAAAAATTATTTTCGAATCAAAAAAAAATTGAATTATGATCGAGCTTAAAATTATTGTATTCAAACAAATATAAAACACACATGGGGGCAATACTTTCACTTGCTAAGTAGTCTTGCAATAAAGGATCGAAGGTCAGTGCTCCATTGGTTCCACAATTTCTTGTCTCCAAACATATCCATTTTCTATTCTCTCTTTCTCAAACTTCTGTTTCTTATAAGATCAAATAAAATTCTTTCCATTTTCATTTTAAAATCTTTTCCAAAAAATCCTGCCTTGAAGAAGAGTGTATTTATTTTTAATTTTTTTAGTTTCGTAAACAATTAATTTAAATACAATTTAATTATTTCAATTTCCTCACGAGTCATTTCTGCAATTTTATTTTCGCATATACAAGAAATATAATTGCAGTATTCTTTGTATAAATTTAATTGCCTCGGATTAGAAAGTTAAAATAAAATTAGAGATTTAGAAATATTAATTTAGATGAAAAAAATTAAATCAAATTCCCAAATTGCGTCTTGTTATTTATAGTTATTATAAAACGGAAGAAGATAATGAGCCTCATAGATAAATATTTTCACATGTTAAGTGGATGTTGAAGAAGTTTACATTTCTACGCCCTTGGAAAATACTCAAACAGTCACGATTTTATACGCTTCCTACTTGACATTTCACCTCTTTTAATGTCCATTGACTAAAGGTAAATCTTTTCTCGATAATATCTGCGTGTGTTTTAAAACATTTTGATGCTTATAATCTAAGCTTGATGATGATGATGATGACAACAACAAAGGTATTATATGACTACTAAATTGTTCCGTTATAATTTTTTTTTACTCCTCTATTAAGTTCCACTATTATAAAGTCGATTAGCTAAACTTTCTTCAAAGTCGGTGTTAATTTTCCTTTTTTTTTCATATAATTTTCTTGACAGAAAAGTTTTTACTTTTTTCATGAATTGGATCTGTATTTGTAAAATGCGAAGACTTTTTTTCAGTTCTGTTTGAATTGTTTTTCAATACACGATTTCACCATTAAAAAGTGCATTTGGGACAATGTTTCGAATATTCAATGTGTTTCAAGATTTTGTCTTGTCCGTCACAAAAGTTATGGACTTTCAACAAGAAGACATTATAAAAAATGTTGCCTTTGTGTTCGTTGGTATATCTTACATTCTTGATGTTCCACTTCCTGGTATGTCTCTGTTTTCATGAAAGTAGAGTATCTATGTGCATTCTGTACAACTTTATATGGAAGCTCCTTATTGCACTTATCGCTTTTCTTTTTTTTTTTTCGCCAATAAATGTCCACCATTTGCTACTTAAATAAAAATTCAGTCATTAATTATTTTTCTTTTTTTTATCAAATTAAATCTTTACAAATTCGAAAAAAAACAATATTGCTGAGTAAAATTATTTTTAATATAATTTCAAAAAAAATGATAAAATATTATTTGGAAAAGTCTATGAGGATCTTATGTCTTCCCTGAGAAAATACTCACGGTATAATCACTTTCGTGAGATTAAAAACGAATACTTCGAAAACTGGAAGTGCGTAAGTAATGGGGAGAGCATAAGCAAGCATTGCACATTTGGGAAATGTATTCCGTAAACTTTTACGAGAATCCTTATCTTTAGGGTTTTTTCTGTTCGCAGAAAAACTGTAACAATACCAATTCTTTACAAGATAACTGAATTTTTCCTTTGTGCGAATGTCTTTATAGATTTCCTTGCGAAACATAGAAAGTACAATTCCTTATTTATATTCATTACACAATGAAAATACGAAACTTTTATTTATCTTTGAAAATATAACAAAAAAATTATCTACAAAAATTTTTCCAACCAAATTTTCTACAAAGAATATATTTTTTTGGGGGGGATAAATTATCAAATCGAAAAATAAAAATAAGATGAATTATGAAGCAGTAATCGGAGGAATTACATATAGGAAAAAAATATTAATAAAAGAGTATTCGAGAAAGAAGAAGAAGAATTGCCTTTTTCTCTCGCCTTCTTTCTCTAGATGACCTCTTTCTCCTCCTCTCGACAAATTTTTTTTTTTTTCTCTCTTCACTTCTCATAATCCACCGTTACTTGTTCGGCAAGGACGTACACCGCATCTTACAGTGAGATGGCAACTGCGCGACTTTTCAGAATCAAAAGTAGATGAATAAAAGATGATAAATAACAAAAAGAGACTAAAAAAAGAAAAAAACACAGAATAAAATTATAATCACTAAAGAAAATCTAATATTCAAAAGAATTAAATGAAAATTCATTTAATTCGATTACACAACAAATGAAACAGAGAGTCAATTAACAAACCTGAGAAATTTTGAAGAGAAATCTCTATACTGAACAATATGTGAAAAAAAATGTAACTCTTTCACTCTTCATTTCTATGAACACATAGAAAATTAGAAGAATTACTCATTAATTTCAAGATATAATCAAAAAAGAATGAATATAAAATTCCACAACTAGGAAAATCTTTTTAGATTCGAATCATTGAAAATCAGTGATCACGTCTTTGTAAAAATTACAAAATTGTGATCAACCATCTGAAGAACGCCTTTGGTATATTTGATACAGTATTAAACTCGTTCGATTCATTGATTCTCGCGAGGATGTTTCCAATCAACACCTACGCTTTCTAAAGAAAAATCTTCTCGACTTTCAAAATATCTTGAATTTCGTTTACAGTCGAGTAATTTGAAAAATTAATTAACGGTTTTTTTTAAGGCAAAAATTAAATAACCTTGAGCTTGAAAAATTCAAACGTCACCTTGAATTAATAAAAGGAAAGGTATGTAGAAAAAAAAAAGGATGAAAATAATTGGCTCACTTTGCGTAAGCTTTCTCCAGAAGTGCTGGCCAGAATTGATCGCTGTGACGGCTTTGAACGAAGGCCAGACGTCCATGAACGGCAGGAAGTCGGTCATCGACGAGGACCTCGACCCAGGCGCCGCACCACCAAAGTCTAAAGCGAAATACACCAGCGTATTCCGATGTCGGTGATCCTGATGGTTCGCCAGTGTTACCAAAGCCTTGATCAGCAGGTACAACACGATAAAAAAGACCCTTACTCAAATGAAGAACACCAAGGCACGAGACCAACCATTTGTCACCTAAAAATAACAAAACATCGAATCAATTCTAAAAATAGAAAAATTAAATATTACATAAAGTTATAATAAAAAAGCTAAAATTGTGAATTACGATTAGACCTTCGAAATCGAAAGTATAGACTGTTTCGAATTACAAAACAGTTTTTTTTTTGCTTCCTCGTTTACCGTTTTTCTCACGGCCTATCACACACTGAAAAAAATGTATTTGATTCAAGTAATGTTATTTTATTATCAAATAAATATTTATTTGTAACAAATACATTTTTTTTCTTTTTTGCTATATCAGAACAAAAAAATAATTTTGAATTCGGGAGAATTTTTTAATTTTTTAAAAATTCTATTTTACTCTAATTAGAAATATTGAGAAATCAGAAATATACCAAAAAAATCAAATTTGAAAAAGTGTTTTTTTTTTAAAGAATTTTTTTTCTCCTCTTTTTTTGTGATCAATTATTCAGCAACAAACGAAAGTAGCAAAGTCATCATTTGATGAGTTTCCGGTCATCAGAGAATGGTTTAGATGAGATGAGATTTTAGATCATCAAATAGGTAGCTGTAATTTGTTCTCAAGTTCAATTTAATTAGTTTCAATATCCAGAAGCTGCGTGAAAACTGTTTTTTTGGAATAAAAAAAATAAGAACGATAATAAAATATATCATTATTGTATATAATATACCTTTCTTATATTCTTAACAGACTTTACAATTTTACTTTCACCATTTAATCCTTCTCCAAGGGATTAAATAAGATTGATTATTTTGAGGATTACTTACAAAACAATCAAATTTAATTACATTGTATTTTCATTCCAATATTGAAAATTAACTACCGAAAAAAAATTACTTTTTATTATATTACATAATGATGACTATTAATTATTAATATTGAAAAAATTAGTAATTAATAATATTTTGCAATTATCATTTACTTTCACTACAAAATTTCGACTATTTTTGAATAAAATGAAAAAAAACAAAGCTAATCAAGCATCACAAAACGTTCAGGATATTTAAAAATACACTGAAAAACGGCTCTGCTCATCCTGAACAGTGAAGAAATTTTTGCAATGCAAAATAAACGTCAAGGTCTTGATTTCATAAGAGTAGGAAAAAAAAACAAATTCTTTTTGCAAATAAGGAATGCAGAATTCCAAGAGTTTTGTTTACGCTTCAGAGAGATTCGTTTGAAATTCATATTTTGTAAAAAAAAATTGCTACATCAAATTTCTCCAGTAAAAACCAATTATAGATTAAATTAAGTAATTCAAACATTTTTTTTTGGCATGAAAATGTTTCTTTAAATTTATAAGATATACCATTGAGCGATCGAAAAAAAAAATAAAGAATTGAATACGCATATTTTTCGTATCATCCAGACATAGCCTCAGGTAAAAACAGAGAAGAATTTCGAGTTTCGAATGATGTTAATAAAGCAATTGGTTTTGATCTAGGTCAAATGAAATACAACAAAAGTAGTCGGGGAATATAATGTATTATTACGTGTCATCATTCTGGAAGTATGTGATTCACGTGTGATGATGATGATGATGATGGTGGTATCATTAAAGACACAGGAAAATTCCGTTATAAGAGCACACAGGTCCGGAATACATCCGTTTGTCGCACGTCACGCATTTAGGAATGTGACAACTATTCAACTTGAGTACCTCATCGCGACTTTCGTTTTACGATTGGCATTTTCATTAAAATCTTATGAGTCGAGTTTTCTCATTAATTCTAAATAAGAGAAAATTTTACTCTTCTTATATAATATTTTTAACTAAAAAAAATTTTCATTTTTTATTTCAATATTTGTTATTTAATTAGAATTTCTCCAAATCACATAATCAGCAAAAAAAAATAATTAATATTCAATGTGTTAAATTTTTTTTTATTTCTACTGATTATTTTATTTATTTGAATTTATTTATTAAAATTTATTTAACAGAATTTCTTTTTAAACAAATTTTTACTTTGCAAAATTTTTAAGTGTTGAATTTTTTATCAAAATTTTTATTTTACAAAATTTCTCTTCGCATAAATTTTTATTAAAAATAATTCTAATTTAAATCGAATTTTATATTTAGAATTCTCAGAATTTAATTAGAATTTTTAAATGTCAAAATTCACCAAATTTTCATTTGTTCGAATTTTTGTTTGTATATACGAATTTGTTATATGATTTTTTAAGACGTCGAATTTTCATTTGTCCGAAATTGCAAATTTGCCGAACAAAAAAATTGCGCCAAAATATTTCTGTCGATTTTTTTTTTATTTGTAATTTCGGAAAAAAGAAAATTCGTCAGAATTCGAATAAAAATTCGAACAATTGAAGATTTAGTAAATTTGATTCGAATTACAGAAAAAAAATTCGCAGTTGTATATATATATATATGAGAATTATAATAAATTAAAATTAAAAAATTTAAAAACAGCTAATAATTTCAATTGTTTATAATGAACAAACAATTTTTTTTGTTCTAATATTTTTAGAAATTTATTTAAAAAAAAAAAACCATTTAACATTAACTATAATAATTTCCGTATTCATTCATTCATTCCGTCTGTCCACACTTGAAGTTAGTCGTATTTTGTTCCTTTTGTTTTTCTAAAATTTTGACAATTCTTGATTTCGTAATATTTTATGGTTAACACGACGGATATTTTTAATATATTGTAAGTGACAGTTTAAAGTAAAAAAAAATATTGTTCATTGTGTGCAGCACCAGTATATTTCCTACTTGGTATTTATAGAAAAAAAAGTTTCAATTATAATATAATTTTTATTATTATTTATAAATTTATTATATTATATATACATTTTTTTAAATGTAATGATTATTACAGATAATTAGAACATTTTAACTTATAATTATTATTTATCTTTCATTATTTTTTCATTATTCATTATTATTTATTATAAATTATTATTCATAAATTTATTATTATTAATTTGTTTTTATTATTAATTATTAAATTGTTATATTTTTTTATCTATAAACAATATAAAAATAGTTTGCTTTTTTAAAAAATTTTCAATTTGATTTTAATTTTTAATTTAAGTTTAAAGTTTAAAACATTACAAATTTTTTTTAGGTTTTATTTTTTCAAAATTTTTAAATATTTTTTAATTGCTTAATACTTTTAAAAATATAATTAATAATTTTCTGTTAATTTAAATTTCTTTTTGATTATATAATTTTTTAATATTTATTAATTATCAGTTAATTAAATTTTTTTAATAAAAAACATTTTAAAATTTTCATTTGCAACGAAATATTTATAGAAAATACAAAAAAATATTTAGCATAACTAATTTTTTGTAATTTGAAAGATTATAAAAAATTCATCGAACATTGACTTTATCAAAAATATTTATTTCTAATATTTTAATATTTATATTTTAAAATTTTTACTTAAATTTATTTATTTATATAACATCAAACTCATTTTTTTCTGTGTATAAATAAATGATAACGTGAAAATTAGAAATATACCTATTATTAATTTATTACTCCATTGATGCAGAATTATTATTATTATTATTATTATTATTATTATTATTATTAATATTATTATTATTTTAAAATAACCATCGCAATGAAAGTTGGAGGCGCGCTTGCGCGCGTGTAATTTTGCTAGTTGAATATTAAATTTTGTAATTTTCTGTTTGAAAAATTATGATCCTATAACAATAATAATAATAATAATAAAAATTGCAATTGAAGAAATAATCGAATCATATTTGTTTCTAGATCACGTCTATATATATTGACATTGATTATGATCTTGACTCTCGTGCAATATCTCTTTGGGAAGATCGCTATTGGTCACTGAACATTTCTCTTGTATTTAAATTGAATGTCCTATAGGAAGAACAATGTTTCACGAACAAATATTCATGAAGAGATTGAGAATGGAAGTTTGAGAAAAGCTTTTATGGAACGCCAAGACAAAAGTGTATGAAAGATTCTAAAAGACCTTTTGCGCTTATATATATATATATATATATATATGCTTTCGTGTAGAGGAATATCCACAGAAGAGATTGGGAGCTCTCTCTCCCACGTTCTCGAAAGGTTGCAGGTCGATTTCAGAGTTCGGACAATTTTGAGGTCGCTCGACCGTAAAGAGAGTGTATAATATAAACACACTCTCTATATCGTTCGATTATCTTCTCGTCGACAATATATGTATATGAAAAGGATAAATGTATTTCATTCATTTACTAAAGTCCATAGTCACTATACCAAGATCACAATATTTTCTGTAAAAAAAAAAAAACACTGATATTATACACTCAATCAAGATTAACAGTGGATTTCTATATTCAATAGTCTCTAACGGGAAATATTTTGAATTATGCTTCATCAGATTAGAATCAAAAACCCAATCAAATAATGAACACACATTGCGGAAAAAAAATTTCACTATACATAGTGGGATAAAGATAAGAATATGAATTTCATTACAGGGATGAGTTGTTTTTATTATAAAGGAAACAAAAGAGAATTTGATTTTTTCTTTTTTGAAAAGAAGAAGAAGAAGAACTTAATTTTGTCCAAGCAGAAAATATATTTGATCCTCATAAAATAGTTAATAGAAATAACTATTGTTTGTATAAAAAAGCTTCTCACGATCTACATTAATTTCCATTATAAGGAAAAAATTATAAAAGACATTTTTTTCACGCTTTTAATTCTCTATAAATTTATTTCGAATAAAGTAAATTTTTTTAAAATTCTTTTTCAACTTTCATTGATAGAATTTTCTTTTTCTGTGCAAATTTGGAAATTCTTTTCAAATTGTCGAAAAATATTCTAATTTTTTTTTTTGCTATTTTTTAATGGTAATTAAATGGAAAAAAAATGATATAGAAAATTATTGTTGTTTCGAATTGAAAAAAATCACATACATGCGGTTCATAATTAACATTGTAATGCGTGACGCGAGACGTAAATGGATGTTTATGGTTAGCGTTTCCGGTGGCCATACAATACACTTGTATACTGATATCTAAATAATTTCATAAATATAATTTTTAAACTCAATCATTCAATAAATTTAATTTTTATTTGCAAATTATTCTTCCTATTATTTATTTAAAAAATACAGGAAAATCAATTTATTTGGAATGATAATTTTAGTTTAAAATAAAAAAAAAAAATATTTAACAGAATAAAATAACTTTTTGCACATATAAAAATAAGATCCCAAAATTTTTAAAATAAATCTCACAAGGATCAATTTAGAATTTAAAAATAAAAAATTACAATCCATAATAGGATTTTACATTAAATAATTTAAAATTCTTTGACGCGATTCTTTTTTAAATAAAAAGAGAACATAAAGAATTTTACATTAAATAATAAATTAAAATTCTTTGACGCGATTCTTTTTGAAATAAAAAGAGAAATTGAAAAAAAAAAATTCAAAAATTCTGCTTGCAATTGAAAATGTAGTAAAAAATAAATTGATGATATTTAAAAGGATATTTTTAACACTTTCCTGTTGGGGGGGTTTTTTTCTAATTTATTTTTGTTTTTTTTTTTTTTTTTTTTGGCTTAATCATGGGTCGTTGTACGAACGATGAGTATCTACTGAGGAAAGAGCTGAAGGCTAGTTTCCAACTCGTATCATTACGCACTATCGCTGGCATTTTGCGAAGCACGCTTGCTTCAATGCTCCCGCGTGTAAAAAAGAGGAAACCGGAACGACCCGTTCTGCAGCCATCTTATACTTTTTCCCCTCTCTTTTATGTTTTCTCCTTGATAACATGTATAGTAAAAGTTCATAATTTCACCATAAAATTCAATGATAAAATGATATGAAATTATTAAAGACTCGATTTCGTATAATATTGAGAATATTTAATTCCTACGCGGTATAGAATAAGAAAATTGCAGTCTCCTCAAATATGCTCCTTTCCGACAAAATTATTATTATTATTTATATTATTATTATTATAAAATAGTACTAGCTACTTATATAGCAGTAATAATTTATTTTTCGTTTTATGATTAGCAAATAGTTGCATTTTTCCCACATGGAACAAACCGCATATGGATATCAAGATGCTCTGAATACGTTTTATATATATATGCGGGCTGGTCATAATAGATCAATTCAAAGAACATGTATCAAGTTCTATATATCGAGATCGTGTTACGTATGAAAAAATTTATCATTCAAGTAAATTCAAAAGATTACCCATTTTCCCAGGAATGACGTCGAATTGCGTTGGTGCATCGCTGACAAAAATTGGTCGATTGCATAATTCCTGAAAAAAAAAGAAAACAAAATTAATAAATTATTTAAATTAGAAATAAAATTATTTATAACAAAAAAATATTTATACAGATTTTATAATCACTTTTATTTTATTTTTTACCGAGAAATATGAAAACTATAATATATTCTGACACATATTTGTAGAGAAATTCTTTTTTCTCTTCCAATTAAAATATTTTAAAAATTAGTTAACGATCTACTTTCCTTAATTTCATGTACAAAATTTTTAAATATTTGCACGCGATGTGTTCGCAAAAAAAAAAATCATAATATCGTAACATTTTAATTGTCATTAATTAATTTTACATATCTTCTCAATTTAAATGGGTTTTTATAAATTTTTTGAATTACGGAAATGTTAATATATTTTTTTTTTTCTAATCTTACTTTCCATTTTTAAAAAGTTGTTTGTTATATCAAACTGTCGATTTGAAAACTCACCAACCGTATCATTACCATGTTCACTTTTATTCGAGCAATAAAATTTTTATCATTAAAAACCAGAATTACGATTTGATAATAAAAAAAAAAACTACGAATTAGATTTAAATGTTTCATTTTTCGAAAATTTTTCCGCAAATCTTCAATTTAATCAAAAGCATTTTTTTTTGATGGGGAAAAGATAAAAAAAAAAAAAAAAGTGAAATAGGTGGCGATTGTGATGAAAAACAATCTTTTGTAAGATTTTTTATGTGAATTAGCACTCGTAGGCGTTGGAATATTGTTTCCGGCCCCAGGAATATTTCACAAAAATCAGTTTGCAAGATATATAATGACAATAGACAAAAGTACACATATATTAAATAAAATATATATTACGTTCGCAAAACTGATTATGAAATCAAGAACAATGTGTAATGCTGTAAATTGCGAGATTTCAGGGTGACTGCAATCATTGGCATCTCAGTTAATTTGTTATACTTGTTGTAAACTCGTAACATAAGCCTATAAAGTACAATAATGCAAAGGGAATGCAATGATGCAGTCACTCTGCTGTTTGTATGACCTTGCGAAATGCATTGAGTTCATTGCAATTATTATTGTATATCGTCCACACTCTTAATATACGACCAACCGCAAGAGAAGATCCAGTTACGAGACTGATTATTGTTCCTTAACCGATTTGTCATCACGTACAATGAATCTTGTATATATATAATAATAAATGAGATTCTTGAACTTTTACGCGTAATGTGACATTTTATTTCCTGTTGCCACTTTTTTTTTTATTTTATTTACAAAAAAAAATTATCAACAAAAAAAAAATTCTTTAAATAATTTTTGTAAAGAAATTAAATTGATTTTTTCAATTATAAAACGAAATTAATAAATCGATAAAAATGAATGAAAAGAAAATTTATAGGCGAAAGGAAGTTTTAGTAAAAAATGATAATTTAAAAATATTTCTTCCTTCACAATTTGTAAATTGAAAAGTTACAGTTCATATAATTCTGAATTAGAGACAAAATTTTTTTATTTCAAAAAATAATAATTTTCTTTTTAAGTTTTATAACTTCCTTGTTAAAACCGTTTTTACTTTCTTCTATTAAACTCTATTGTCATAGTATAATTGTTTATAAATAGAATTAGTAATTTTTTTTGTTTCTATTTTTACCTTCGGTCTCTTCCACTGAAATTGAAATGGTGGTGTTTGATGATAAAATACTGAAGTCTGGGTAGCTGGAAATTCAGGATCCTCCCAGAGTTCACCACGTTTTAAGCACGAACGCTTGATTCGTTCGTACTCGCTCATCACGTCCTGAAAAAAAAAAATTCTGATTTAGTTTCTCCTTGTTGCTTTGAATTTTAAGAGGAAATTAATTCCAAAAATCGCTCTTTTTGTTAAACATTCCAGAATATAGTGAAATTTCTTTTTTTATAAAAAAAATTATTATTTTATCTAATAGTAAATAAAAAATTAAATTAATAGATAAAAATAATAAATTTCCCTAAATTAAAAAAAAAATGAGGACAAAGACCTCCAGGTTATTTTAGCACGAAAAAAAAAATTATTTTCAGCGTCGGCGTTATATTACGCAACTGTGATTAGTATCGTTTGTATTATTAACTGTTTAATATATATTGCCCACGCAGGAGAATCGTCAATTGACAGGACATCGACACCCTCTCAGGGTGGGCGTCGACGAGGTGTTTTGACGATGTCGTCATTTTTTTTTTCTATTTACGAAACCTATTGCAAAAAAAAAAAAATTTCAATTTTGTCTTAATTGTTTACAATTCTATATATGTTTGCGTGAGATAGGCGCGGCCATATAACCATGACATATTTATTGAACCATTATACTAATCCCAGGGATAGAGAAATTAAGATCTCAATTATGTATCTAATTTAAAATTTCCGTTTTTTTAATTATATACAAAGAAAAACAAAAATAAAAATGAAAATATTCTAATAAAGGAAGAGTAAAGAATAAAAAAGAGATTAAATTTAAAAAATATTGAAACTAAATTCAAAAAAAAAACGGTGATTTGATTTCTGATTCAGTAATAGAATTGAAAGAAAGTGGAACGTGAAATGGGACGATATTGCGAATGTTTTACGAATAATTAGGCGACTAATAAGTCATTGCCTCCTCTCGTTGCTAATTAGAGTTCCAGTTAATTCAGCTATCTTCTTCCTGCCAGTCAAGCCTACGTAATATGAACTCGTTATTGGCATACCAAGTCAAGGCGTGTTATAATAAATAATTTCCATGGCAATTAAAAAAAATTCCCTCTCAAGAAAGACCTGAAATCATTTTTATCATAACTTATTAAAATATTTGAACGAAAGAAGAAAATTGAAATCAAAAATAAAGAAAATAGAATTATCAATTGAGATATTGTTTTACACAAACAAAAAAAAAAAAAAGTATATGTAGAATGAATCAATCATGTGTCCTCATTCTGCCTCTCCAAACTGTCAACAAAGTCAGCGAATAAGTTGAATACAATGTCGACTTTTACCAGCAATTTGCAAAGCCTATTTATTTTGAGTTCTAGTTTCCAAGATGACCGCACAGTTTAAAACCAATTTGAAATTGGTTTCGGTGAAACAATAACGAAAATGAGCCCAAATGAGGGACGCAAACAAAACTTGGTGGCTTGCACCATTTCCTGCGATAAACGAACTATCTTCTTTTCTTTTCTTTTTTTTTTTCCAATGCATTTCATGGAAATACATCTTCTTTGCCCTCCTTCTTTGCTTTAACTCTTCTATATTCGCAGAAAAACTTTCCACATTTTCCTTTAATTACTAATTAGAATAAAAAATAATTTTACTATATTTGAAATTATTCAGAAAAATTATAATACAAAATAACAAGAATTACTTGAGGTAACAATTTTGCAAAAGAGAATAAAAATCTGCAAAAAAAAAAAAGCTGCTTATTTTGTAACGCAATGAATCAATTTTGCAATTTTAAATTCCACTTAAAGGGATTCTTTTTTAAGAATTTCATCTTTTGCAACTAATAGTTAATCTTCACTTGTTTATAAACGACAAAATATATAGAACTTGTCGGACTAGTTTTACGCTTGGTTTGTCAACGTCCTTGGGAATTGTACGGGCACTTATAAACACACAAAACCGGTAGCATAAGAGAGAACTATGCCACCTTGTCATTGTCGGTTAAAATGGTAACGAACTGTCGACAATACATATAAAAATACACAATTCACCTACTACACAACTTTCAAGCAACATTGAAATCATTTAACTTACATTTTAAAGAGACACCAGAAGGAATATTTTTTTTTTTTTTTTCAAGTAGAAAGTGACGAGACTTGACTTACATTGAGAAATTATTTAATTTTGCATTTTACTATAATATTAAATTTTCAACTCACATGATTTTAGAAACCGAAATTAAAGTGAAACTGCGCCAATGAACGAGAAAGTAAAAGTAATCGAAAAAAAAAAAACAAATTCACTTTTACCAGAATTATCTTTTTGTGTAAGTTAATTAGGAGCTAATATATAAATAATTAATGAGTATTTAAATGACTAATTTTGAAATTACTTTCTTATTTAAATATTAAAATAAAATAATTCCATTAGAAATTTATATTTTCATTTAATTTTCATAAAAAAATATATTTTTATTTAATAAAAAATTATCATTTCATTTTGAGAAAAATTTACTTATTTTTTTTAAATAATTAAAAAAAATGAAAATTAGTTGAAAAAAAATATATTTTGTATTAATTAAATTTCGATTCATAAAATTGAAGAGAATCTTGAACACTTTATGTGTAGGAAGTAAGTTCGCGGTACATCACCGTTCGACCTGAAGGCAAAGTTTATATCATGTCTAAAAGGATGCTGCAGGCGATTTACGAAATGGCTTTAAACTACAACGTTTTCAGCAAAATTCATCTTAAAGAAAGTAATATTTTTTCTTAACAGAAAAATAATAAATTAAACAAAAAAATTAATTTCATTATTAGAAAAATTAATATTAAAATTAAATGACAAAGAATTTCTCTTATTTCCTAATTTTTTCGAAATAATAAAAATTTTAATATTTAAAAAAAATTTTATGAAAGTTAATTACAAATCTTGAATTTCAATGAAAATAATTGAAAGTTTGAGACAATATATATTCATCATCACAATTCCACTTTTATAGATGAGAATTAAAAGTTTTCACTTATTCTCATTGTTCATCATGGGAAAATGTTTTTTGAATATATTCTGAAAATTGTTTCTTTTATCTATATGTTCTAAATTTTCAAACGTTAATTATTTATTTAAAAAAAAAAAATTCGACGATACGATAGAAAATTACGAAAAATTAAATAATATAGATATACTTTCAAGGAACTGAATACCGTTTCATAGAAAATAATTCCTTTAAATATATATATATATGAAACGCTGAAAGGAAGTCTGAAATAAAATGCGAATTATTTTCTCATACAATTTGCATTTTATGCTTCTTCTTTATCACTGCTACAGAATAGAAATAACAGCAACAAATATTGAGATAATAAATTATGAAGTGAATGTTAATTTTTTCTTTTAAAATTAATTTTACAAAATGAAAAAAAAAAATTTATTCAGCAAAAAAATTGATAACTGATCGGAATAAAATAAAGATGACAGGAAATGAAGAGATCAAAAAGTTGAGAATTTTTTAAAAAAAATAAGAAGCCAAAGAGCGCGACGAGAAAATGAGGGTAATTTGGATTTATAAATTATTCGCGAACTCAGGCGCGTTCCACTCGTTAACGACACTTTCTCTCCCTACTATAAATAATTCTCCTCAACCGTCTATATTCCAAAACCTTTTTTTTTATAACTATTATAAAATAAAAAATTTTTTTCATCTTCTATTATCTAAGAATTATTTTGATTCTCTTCCGCTATTGTATTTTACCAAGAATCAGGGCACATTAACGAATAACATGAAAAAATGAGAATAGAATTATGTAATTTTTCGAGCACCTTTCTAAATGTATATATGGCATTGAGTAATCTTATTACCGTTAAAATTTTTGCCGTAAATTGTAAATAAAAACTACATTCTTTGAATTGTTTTTCATAGAATAAATTCGATAATTCGCAAAAATACGTTTTGGTATAAAAAAAAAAAAATTTATTTATTTACTTCATTTAATATTAATTATTAAAATTTAATTTATAATTTCTTAAAATTCAAATTCAAATTCAAATTTCATTATCATTGATTTAATTTAAAATTTACTATATATTTAACATAGTATATATAATGAATGCCATATTGTAAATCAGATCAGCATATTGTGCTCGTTATGATTTGTTGCATTCGTCTACAAAGGCCTTGAATAGTGATATTAATGAATAATGAAACACCTCCTAAACTGTTTCAACGTTATCCTGAAGGCAATCACAAAACGTGACTCTCAAATGCTTCCGTATGCTTTTATAAACATTTCAAGCAAGAGAGGAAAACAATTTTCCAATTTTCTGCCTTTTTCATGAAATAATTCTTAAAAAAACCGATAACGGAAATTTAATTTTTAAACAAACTAAATTCTTCGATAATTTGTATTCAATTAATTTTAATTATCAAAAATTATTTTTTCAATTAGTTTCTTTAAATTAAAAATTATGTTTAAATAACGAAAAGCAGAATTCGAGTTTTTGTTACAATTTAACATCCCAGTGGAAAAAAAAAATGAAAAGGGTGTAACTGGTGGCAATAAACCTAATGAACGTTAATGATTTTATTACAGAGAAAATTATCATAAAATTAAATAAATTACTCTTTTTCAAGAAAATAACCGCACCCACTGTGTAAAAGAGCTTGCCTTCGGGAAGGAAGAATATAAACTTTAAACGTCCTTGAACCTGTACACATCCCTACCCTGAAGACATCTCAAACCACTATACGTAGTTCTTCAGAGTTCTTATTCTCGTTATATATTTATAGTTTCTCTTCAAGCAAGTGCACTTTAGAATGCAAGACTACTTTTCCACGTCATCAACTTATGAATTTATTTTTTCTCAATCCATCAATCATCAAAATCGAAAAAAAAACTAAATTTTTCAAATTGTAAAATAAATTTTTTTTTTTTTTGAAATATTTTCCGAAAAGTCTAATTTCTTAACAAATCAGAATCAAATTGGAAAAAATAATTCGAAGAAATTGAATTTTCTTTTCTAAAATATTTTCGAATTCAAGCTTCTCTATAAGGAACAAAACCTCAACTCCGATCCTGACGAGGATATTGAACTCCTTCAACCGACATTAATTTCACCCTGAAGCTATCCTGGCCTTGCTCACCAAGACTGCCGAGCAAAACCAGGTATTTCCTTGAAAGGGAATCCTTAAGGGTCTTTTTAGGTAGGTATTTTATAAACGATGTACGTTTACACTTTGGTACATTATAGGCGTGTAGTCGCCTCCACGTTCAAGCTAAGGTACTAAAGTTACTCATCGAAATTGCTTCCTTCATCCGCGAACTACTTGTAAGAACTGTGTTCAGAATTCATGTAAAAATTACAATATACGAGTTGTAAAGAGACAAAAAAAAACAACGACCCCGACCTTGAATACAACATTTCTTAGAAACTATCAACAATTTTTTTTTACAAAAATATTTTACAAAAATAAATTTTTTTTTTTAGAAAAAAATTAATTTTCTAAATTTTTATTTTAGAAAAAATATTTTCGAAAGTAATTTCTACTTTCCAATTATAGAAATTTTTTTTTATACTTTTCAACCAAAAAAAGAATTAAAATGAAAAAATACATGTTGCAACTGAAAATTTAAAAAAAAAACCACAGACTTTCTAAAATGATTCGAAACAAAAATATTGTGGAATGTAAAGTGTAAAGATTGATGAATTCTTATTAGTTTCTACTAGTTTAAAATTTTCTCCACATACTTTGAGGTCATTGAATGTTAAGAAATGCCAAGCAAATGACAAATGTAAACCGAAAAAAGAATGCTTAAATTATACTTTCGTCTTCTATTTTTCTCCCCCCGAAAAAATATATCTTTTTTTTCTAAACACATTTCCTTAACGTGAAGAAATTAGTTTATTTTTTATTTTATGCTCACGAAGCAACTTCCGTTATAGTAATTATTACGTTTTCATTTATCAGATCTATATATCTGCATATATGCCGTCGACACCGGAATGAAACCGGTTTTACACTGATTTATTCAACTTCCCTGTTCGTTGAATCTATCTTACTAATAAAATATATTTTTTTTTTCTTAATATGTTGACCGATTCCATCAACTTTTCACAATGGAATGTCGAGAAAAAAAAATAAATAATGTGATAATCACACTTGATAATAAAAATTAATTTTCATCGAAATGACAAAATTATTGTGCATCGAGGGAAGTTGCAAGATCCAAAGTCAATGCCACATATAAAAGAAACGATTAATCGTTAATGATATATCGAGAAAATTGTACATTTTCCACTTTCTTAGTCATCGTATTTGCAAAAAATAAAAAATAATGACTTTCGCAAGAAAATATGCATTCGCAAACAATGAGACAACGTGGGCGAAACCCTATCGAAAGTAAAAATACCGTCCATGGCCATACATCATATTGTCTTTATATAGTAAAACCCGCCTATCGAAATTGCTATTAACATAATGATTTACCGAGTTGCGTCAATTACTAAACATCATAAAAAGTACTTTTCAATCATACAATTCAAAGATGACAAATTATTGAATATTGAAAATCAATTTTCAATTAAAAATTAGATAATTTTTAAATTGTTCCTAAAAACTCGATCTATTTAGAAAATAATTGTAATTAAAGGTAATAAACGATAAATAGAAGATAATTTTCAAGATCAAAAATCAAATTTTCAAATTCAAATATTGTAAATTGTCTCTACCTTCTTTTATAACTAAATTCTTTTACAACTGTCCTGATTTTCACTTTTCAAATAATAAATACTTCGTTAATTAAATGTATATATATTTTTATAATAATACAAATATTCATCATCACTTTCCATTCTCGATAAGGTGAAAATTATCATCGAATTCTTTTAAATTTAATAATCAAAATTCATGACCATATATTATTTAGAGTGTAAAAATTAGAAAGCCGAAACAAAAGTTTAATTGTTTTATAAAAGGATAATTAACTACTGCCAATTATAATCAACCAATTATTATTAATAAGAAAAGAAATAGAAACTTATGAACTAATTTTTTTTTCTTATAAAACGAAATTTCAGTTTATTAAAATCAAAGACAAAAGTTATTAAAAATTTAATCCTTGACATATATTCTAATGTGCATATTTGTCAGCAAAAATTTTAAAAGCAATGTCACTCTATCGCGTGTAATATGAACAGTATTTTAAAATAAGTCAGCATTATTATTTTTGTACGAAAAAAAAAGTGAAAGTGATACGAAATAAAAATAAAAATTATTTTACTATTTAAAATTTGTTTCAAATTAGGAGAAAGAAACGTTTTTTTTTTGCCGTTTCGAAAAAAAAAACATCGTTATTACCTTTAAATACATAGAAATAGATAATTGTGTATTGAACTCACTTTGACCATCCGTCAGAACTAAAATATCTGCAAAAATGCTTTAAAAAAAACCACTATTTTTTTTTCCTTATTTGTACCACCAAATTGTAAAAAATTTCACTCTTTTTCTCAACACTATTTTGAAGTATTATTTTTTGAATTGGAAAATAAATCACTATAATCACAATTTGAAAAAGTTGACTAACCAAAATAATAAAGAATTTTTTTTCAAATTCAATAGTTAAAAGAAATTTAAAACACACACACACACATATTGCAGTTGAAACGTCGCGGAAACGCGACGATTTTCTTGCGCACCAAACTGTCTTACTGAATACGAGACTGACTACTACTACACACTACCAGGTAAATCCTGTTGGTACCCGCGGTTACCACTATCCTCTAGCCTTCCTACTCCTTCTTTAACACTCACCATTACAACGACGATTCTCTCTCATATTGGTCGTGTTGTCCCTTCTCTCCCAGGTCCAGCTACAGATATAGATACAGTTCTCTTCTCTCAGCATTAAATGTCTCTCTCTCTCCCTTGATATCACAAGTCTCTCAGCTTTGACCTATCGAATTAAAATGTCATAAATAAATTGTTTTCATGGGTATATTTTTATAATTACAAATTCGACTTCTTAATATTAAAAAAGATTAGAAAAAAATTTTCGTCCTTGAAATAAAAGAATAAAATTAAATTTTACAAAATTTTTTAGTACAAAAATAAAAGTATATTTAATTATTGAGAAATTATTTTTGAAAATAATAAAAATTTAGAGATAAAAATAAATATATCTACATACTAGAGGGCAGAATCAGGCATCATCGATAACTAAGATTTCTATAGCAGTTTTTTTTTAAAATTACAATAAACTTTTGATTGAATTTCTTATAATTTACAAAATATATTTTTTGACGAACAAAATTACCTTGTATAATTAATAATCTTCGAAGTCCTCTTGGTTCAACATTGTAAAATTAAAATTGGACGATGATCGACTTGAAGTAAACGAAACTAATTTTTTCCATTTGCCAAAATAATAGGTCCATTTTTATTTTTTTCAGTTGTCGACTTGAAGTAAACGAAACTAATTTTTTCCATTTGCCAAAATAATAGGTCCATTTTTATTTTTTTCAGTTACCGGCTTGAAGTAAACGAAACTAATTTTTTCCATTTGCCAAAATAATAGATCCATTTTTATTTTTCTCAGCGAAAATGATATTCCTCAATTTCCTTTTTTTACAAACGTGATTTAATTTTCCAATTGTCTTCATAAAAGTCAAAAATAATCCTTACCTGACAAAAAAACGACTACTTAGTAAGGAAATAATTGAAAATCAATTTAATTAACAAAAATTAAAAACTTACCTAGAAAACTTCTCTTCTTTATTATGAAAATAGATTAACAATCCTGTCTTGCGATAGAAAATTAACACAACACAAACACAATAAAAATAGCGTGTTTAAAAAAAAATAATTGAAAAAATATATTTTTAAAACCGCGAAAAAGAAAAAAAAAGACTTGCTCATTATTTTCAATTTAAAAATTAAAAATTTCTGTATTAATTTCAATTGTGTATAATAAAATTCCGATTTTTTGAGGTTAGGTAAAATTGGAGCAAGTCTAACATTCCTGTTTTATATTAAAATTAAAGAAAAAAAAACCGGATAAAATAGGAAAAATAATAAAAAAAAATTAGAAATTGTCAATTAGGAATATAACCTCAAAATTACTTTTGACAGCTTTTGACAATAAGCGAATTAAACATACCTGTTTTATATTAAAATTAAAGAAAAAAACCCGGATAAAATATATAAAAATAATTTTAAAAAATAGAAATTGTCAATTAGGAATATAACCTCAAAATTACTTTTGACAGCTTTTGACAATAAGCGAATTAAACATACCTGTTTTATATTAAAATTAAAGAAAAAAAACCCGGATAAAATATATAAAATTAAAAAAAAAAATAGAAATTATCAATTAGGAATATAACCTCAAAATTACTTTTGACAGCTTTTGACAAGCAAATTAAACATGTAATAAAAATCAGATCAAAAGATGGTCCAAACATAATTATACACAACTTTTTAATTTATGCAAACTTACCAATTAACAGCAAATTTCCTCCAGTGCAGATACAGTTTCAATAGCCCATTAGCTTTCAGAGATCCCTCTTCTGGATTAGGAACCAATTTTGAGAAATTTGGCACCTAACCTTACAAAGAGACCGAAAACTAAAAGGCCCGAAACAAAACTTCCCTTTGTTTCACTAATTAACACCATTTAAGCTGCAAAACAAATACGTTCTATTATTTAGCAATTATCACCAAGTGTGGCGACAAGACGCCATTTTGGAAAAATGTCGCAAATTGTTGTTGATTGGCTAAATATGTCGTCAATTGTCTCGACAAACAACTTTAAACAAAAAAAATTATAATGTTATATTTACCTGTATTTCTTTAAAAAAAATTCCTGTAAATAAGAGAAATGTGCAAGGAAAATTATTCAAAGGTACAAACAAGTACCAACAGCAGCGACGTGAGTACGCAATGGCGAACGAACAGGAAATGACCTCGGTGGTTGGAGGGGGATACACAATTAATTTTCTTGACGATTTATATACAAATAATTTACTAATAAATATCATTAAAAATTACATAAATATGATAAAAATCTAATTAAATAATTATCTTCTTTTAAAACTTCTCTAAAATAATTAAAATTGACAATAAATAAAAGCGGAAGTTCATCCATTGCATGATGGGAAATTTCTCTATGTTCTTTTGAGACTTTCTATTGGTCGATTATTCAACCAATAGAAATTTAGTATTCAAATTCAAATTTTCTAATTATTACATACAAAAAACTTATATTCATAAAAAATTAGTGAAAAAGAATAATTATTAATAAAATAATTAAATAATTATTTTTCAGAAAAAACATTTTATATCGTATTTATTATTAAACAAAAAACTAACACAATTAACAAAGAAATGTCAAAAAAAAACTGAATAAAAACAACCTATAAATATGTTTAATTAAAATATCTAATTAAATTAATAAAATCAAAAATAGAAGAATGTAAAAACTAATAAATTAGAAAGTTTTTTTTAAAAAAGGCAAATAAAAATGGGACAGAAAAATATTTGTGATTGTCAGCAAATTGTTCAATATCAGAGAATTTCAGGAAGACTTCAACGAATAGAAGGAATTTCAATTAAAAGAAAAATTAAAAAATATAATTTATTAAAATTTTGTCACCTATATTTTATTCTTAGTTTGATTATAATTCCTCCTTGTATATTCTTTGCTTATTCTATTTTTCCCTATCCACTTCCTGCCTCTTGTACCGTAAAATGGTAGTATAATTTATCACCCTTTTATAAATTTTAATAAATAAATAATAATTTTAAAAAAAAGATAATAATTTATAATTATTCTAAAAATTGTTTTCAAATAAAAATTTAATCAAAATTTTTTTAATTTATTTAATCTGAAAATTAAAATAAAAAAAAACCCTTTTACAATTGATTTTGAATATATAATTTTTATTTGAAATCATTTTATTTGAAAATAAATTTTTTAGGATATTTAAAGAACCTTGTATTCATGTGATTCAACGATTAAGATGGCAGATACTGAAAAAATCATCTCACGATTGTGGTACAAATGGACGAAGATGTTCATATTCTGTAATAATATAAAATTTTATCAAAAAAAAAAAAATTATAATTAATTTTGTTATTTAATAATCTTATTACATTAATGTTTATCAAATAAAACAATTTTAGTTGAAAAAATCCGATGACAATGTAATAATAGCAAATAGAATTTCACCTATTTATACAATTAATATAATTAAAATATTATTTGAAGAAGGAACCGATAAAAGTTGTACAGCCATCGTGAGTCTTATTTTATTTAACAAAAAAAAAAATTTTAATTTAAATTTAAAAAAAAATTTTTTTATATCTTTAGGGAAAATCTGAATCAAATGAATTTTTACTGTTTGATCACGGTGATAATTATTGTAATCTTCGAACTTTAATCAAGGAAGCAAATTTTGTCAGAGATCGTGAATTTAAAGAAATAACAACTAATTCAATTTGTACTCAAGTTAATATGGTTGTTTGTCAATTATTATAATTAATAATTAGATAAATAAAATTAATTTCAAACTAGAAATCCTTTACTTTTAGTTTACTTAATAAAATTTCTTTAAAAATACTATTTAGAAAAAAAATTACAAAATAGTAAATTTAAATTCAATTTAAGGCGTAAAAAAATAAAAAAAAAATTTCTTAATTATTTTTTGTAGAAAAATATTAATTTTTCTAAATTTATCAATTCTTTCGTTCTTAAATTTCTTGTTATATCCTTTCGAATATTGTGATCACACTTTCCCTTCCAAGCAATGCTTTTTTTTTTTCTTTCCTTATTTGCATAAGAAACACATACTCCAGTCAAGAATTTCCAGTATCGTCCGAGGCATTCTGAAATAAGAAACATCTCATGTTAAGTAAATGTAATTAATTAAAAAGTACATTTAAATAAAAAGATAACATCTTCTAAATATTTGTTTAATTTAATTTTTGTAATTTATAAATTAAAAAATTTTTAAGATTTTTATTTATAAAAAATGAAAAATCATTTGAATATTCATTAATTAAAGAATACTTTTAAAATAATTGTGCAAATTTTCTAAAACATTTAAATTTAAAACAAAGAACTAGTGTTAAAAAAAAATATGTGTGATCCTGACAATGCTGATAAAAAACAATCATCAAATGGAGGGACATTACTTCAATATACAGCTGCAATTAGTGGTAATTTATTTAATTATCAATTAAATCTATATTAAATTAAAAAATAATTTAATGGAAATTCATAAAAAAAAAAAATTTTATTTTTATAAAAAAAAAATTGTGACTTATTAAATATTTTTATTTTACAAAACTTTCACATGGAACAAGTGTTTTCCGATTGATAATGAGAAAGCGAAATACTCAGGAAACGGGTACAATTTTATAAATAGAAACAAAGTGAAAACTCAATATTTTTTAATCATTTTAACTTCAATGTTATTTTCATTGAATTAATTTGTTAGATAATAATAATTAAAAATTAACTGAATTAGAAAGAAATTTTTTTTTATTTTTCAAAATAAAACCTTTTTTTTTATTAGTTTTCAAAAAAATTTAAATTAAAAATAAATTTTCTCTTAATTATTAATTTTAGTCAAATTTATTCCTGATGTTGAAAAAAAAAGATACGAAAAAAAGAACTAGAATTCTAATTTTAAAAATGAAAAGGTCACAACTATTCGAGTTTAAAATCGTACGATTATTCTTATTGTTAGTTCAATTGTATATAAAATTTAAAAAAAAAATTGTATATTTACAGTAATAAAAATTAATTTTCTTCTTAGCATCATTGACAATGGCGGGTACTGCAACGTGTATAGCATGGTCAACATCAGCAATTCCACATCTCAAGAGTGAAAATTCCAAAATACAAATCACCGAAATGCAAGGATCTTTAATTGCATCATTAAATTATATTGGAATGATTGTTGGCTTTGCATCAAGTCCATTTTTGATGGATCGTCTTGGTCGTAAATTGAGTCTTATTTTAGTTGGCCTCTCACAAATAGTTGGTTGGCTATTAATTAATCAATCACAATCGGTTCATGCTCTCTATATTGCTCGTATAATATCGGGAATTAGTGATTTTAGTTTTATAGTTTCAATGATTTATGCTGGCGAGATAGCTGATAAAAAAATTCGTGGAACACTTTCGTCAATACAAATACTTTCATTTTCCCTTGGTATTTTTTATATGATCACAATTGGCGCTTTTCTTTCATATGAAACAGTTAATAAATTAGGTTTTTTAATTCCAATTATTTTTCTCATTACATTTGCATTTATGCCTGAAACACCATATTATTTATTGATTCGTGGACGTGATGATGAGGCAATAAATACATTGATGAAATTAAAAAATACTGACAATAAAGATGATATAAAACTTGATTTAGAAAGAATGAAAGCGGCAATTGTTGAGAGTCGAGAAAATTGTAAAAGTAGTTTTCATGAACTTTACAGTACAAGTGGATGTCGACGAAGTTTTCTTGCTTTATTATTTCTCAAAGTGACAAAACAACTTTCGGGAATAACTGCAATTGTTGTTTATGGTCAAGAAATATTGAATCAATCGGGATTTTCTTTGGAATCAAAATATTTAATAGTTATTCTCTGTGCGGGAAAAGTATTTTCCGGAATTATAACAACAAGTCTTATCGATATATTGGGAAGGAAAATAATTCTTTTGATCTCAGCTTTTGGAACTTGTTTAGCATTAACTGTGGTTGGTTTCTTTTTTTTTCTTCAAAATTATCTGAAAATTGATTGCACTACATTTAATTGGTTGCCATTTGTTGGTCTAATGATTCATGTAATTACATTTAATATTGGACTTGCTCACGTACCTGCTGTATTTGTTGGTGAAGTATTTTCAATTAAAGTCAAAGTTCTCGCTGCTTCATTTGCATTAACAGCTGAGGCATTCGTTGGTTTTCTCATCATTGTCAATTTTATACCAATGACCGAAACTATTGGAATTTATGGAACTTTTTGGTTCTTTGCTGTTATGTGTCTTATTGGTCCAATTATCAGTAATTTAATTGTTCCAGAAACAAAAGGAAAATATTTGGAGGATATTCAAATTCAAATTCAAAGAAGAAGCTCGCGACTTGCCATGAAACCATTGTTGTTCAAGTGAATTATCTGAAATAAATATAAATTTTAGTGTCTTAAAATTTTTAATATAATTACAATTTTTATTTACCTGGAAAATATATTTTCAATGTTTTATAAACTTTTTATTTGTAGTAAAGTATATAAAATAATTTTCCTAAACGCTAGGAATTATCACAGTCATCAGGTACTGGTTTTCTCATTGTCTGAAAATATAAAAACAAAATTGTATTATTTCATGAAAAATTAATTTAATAAAAAAAAAAAATAAATAGAAAAAATTTGTTTGAAAATTCTTTTATACCAAATAAGTAAGTAAAAGTCCTTGTTAAATTTTGAGTTCATAATTGTGTATATATTTGAATGCAGTGTCTGTTACAGTCACCTGAGACCACTCGCTGTATACAGTCACAAAAAAGTAAATGTCTATATCGCATTTTTTTTTTTTTTTTATTTTTTTTATTAATATATAGCAAAAATGGGTCCATCACAGATTGTTGACATCGCAAATATATTTCGAAATTTTTTTTCGTAAATTAACACAATACAAACTATATCATACTTCAGATTGTGTCGAAAACAAAAATTGTACATTTTTTTTTTTCAAGTGTAAAATAACGTTCATTGATGTACCTATATATGTGAATGAATATCATATCAATAATGTATATTGATCGCGTTTTATCCGAAATAAAAGCAAAATTATAATATATATTTATACAGATATTTTTGGAAATATATATATATATATTTTTTTTTTAATATGTCGCTTGCATTTAATTATCTTATTTGTTTCTTCGCGAAATATACTTGACAAGTACAAAGAAACGAATCTATTTACAAATTAAACATTAAAAAAAGTGTGCGGATCTCAAGAGCATGATATATTTCCAAAAAAAAAAAAAAAAATAAATAAAATTTCCTGTGGAAAATATGATGCAATCAAGAGGAGGTATAAATGTGTAAATCAATTCATTTTGTTAATTCAAATCCTTCGCAATATTATTGAAAAATAAACAAAAAAAATTTTGCCCAAAAATTGTCGATTCAATAAAATAATTTTGATCATATTTCGATACAATAGTATGTGATTCTTTTTTTTAAAGATCAAAATTCACATCAAGTTTGAAATATTCAAAAAAAAGAAGTATTAATAAAATTGCCAATCACATAATAACGTATCTGCGTGGGATGAAATTTTATAATGTCATCAATTTGAATTTGAAATTTGAACAGTGAGTCACTGTGGATTTTTTTAAAATAAATCCTTGCTTTCATAATATTAAGAAAAAAACTAATTCTAAAGGTATATTTTATTTCTTAAAAGTTTGTGCTAAAAAATTTTTTGTTTTAAAACAAAAATTAAAAATAAGAAAACAATTTCCTTTATTTTCAAAATGATAATTTACCATTAAAATTATGATTTTGTAAATATTTAATTTAATAATTTACATTTTATAAATGTAGAATTATATCGCACACACTTTTGAGAATTATACCATTTAAAAAAAAAAAAGAAAAAAAAAGTGGGGGGGTCCAGTGAAGAGTGTAAAAAGACAAGGTTTAAAGTAATGTAACGTAAAGGTTTTCAGTGATGGAGATGTAACAAACTATGAATGACTGTTAAATTAGGTAGTTGGAGTAGTTTTCCTTGGTTCCAGGCCCAACGAAGTCAAGTGTCTTTATAATTCGTCTCAATTATTTTTTGTTGCGTGCGTCCAGCTTGTGTATACCAGTCAGTCTGTGAAGACAAATAGAAAAATTACATTTTTCCTTAATTTCCATTGAGAAAAAAGAAACAAACGTCGAAGATATTAAAAAAAAAAAAATAGTCTTGACATAAATATTAATTTTTTTTTTCAGTTTTCGTTCGTCATCTCTCGGAATTTACTTACGTTACATGAAAAAAAATAGCAAGACATTTAGTGTTCATCCTCATCCATTCTCAATCGCTTCCTTCGATCCTCGCCCACATTTCTCTCCTCGGCCTCCAATACTTTCCATCTAGAGCCACATATTTCCTGTCCATGAAGATTCTGAAAATAGTTAAATTTTAAGAAATAATTTTTATTTATTAAATTTTTTTAAGGGGTTAGGGGTAGTCAGAATTTTCAAAAAATCAAATTTTTTTTTTTTGCATTTTCGTTAAGTAAAATATCTTAAAAATAATCTCTGAAAATTTCAAGTTAATCCGATAATTCGTTTTTAAGTTATTCGACAAATAACAAAGAGAGCTCGGGCCTTTTAAAGCGCTCGGGAGCGCTTGCAGCTAGTGTCAGCTGCAAGAAATCGGCTTTTAGGGTTCTATTGTCATCGATGAACTTAGACTTGGGTATATGTAGTAGTACCTAAATTAATATGGCCCAGGAATAGATGACTCGGTGTAAGTAATTTAATAATTCGTTTTTTTGTACGTAAATCTAGTGTGAAACTAAACGCGTTTTTCTCAAAACTATGTTTTTTGAACTGGTGACAACTATAACTCGAAAACCGCTCAGTCGATTTTAATGAAATTTATACAGCTTTTAGAATACATAATAAACTCGGGCCTGATCGAAGGATTTTTTTTTTTTTGAAAAATTTCGATTTTTTAAGACCAATTAACTGTTGATTTTTTCCCAAAAATCTAGACAAAAATTTCCTGAGGCCGCCATTTTGTTAATTTTTGAAAAAAAAAAAAATCCTTCGATCAGGCCCAGGATTATTTATTTATAAAACTAATTTTTTTTATCCGATTGATTTCTGATTAATCTCCAAGGACTTATGATTGTCACCGCAAGGACCTTTTTTTGGAACTGGGTTAACACAAACAGCTGTAACTTCGGAAATAAAAATTTTTTTTTTTTTAAATTTTCGTGACTTCAAGTCAAAACATTGTTTAATAATACCATATTACTACTTTTGTAAAATAAAATTATTTAATAGCAAAAAAAAATACTGAAAATTCTCATTTTTTCGTGCCTCTGACTACCCCTAACCCCTTAAACCAAAATAATAGATATACCTCTATTGCTTTATTAGCACTTTCAACGCTTGCATATTTTGCATAGCCACAATTTTTTCCCGGCAACATATAAACATCGATTAGATTTCCAAATCTACAGAATGCATCTTTCATTGCATGAATCGGAGGAATTGGTGGACCACAAACGATGAAACATCTTTTTGCCACATCAGCATCGATACTTGCCATTGCTTGCGGAGGAGGCAATTTCAATAGCGATGAATCGAAAGCTGTAAAAAATTTAATACTTTAAATATTTATTAAAATAAAATGTTTATTAAAAGAAATAATACATACAAGGAGCAGTTAATCCAGCTGCTTGAATTAATGAGGTAGCTTGTGCAATTGTTTCTGCCAAATGAACTAAATCTGTTCTTGCATTTGCGAGACCACCAAGATTTGAGCCACCGGGTTTTAATTGATTTTTTGACGATGGAGCACTACTCATATCGGGTTTAACAATCATTCTATGTCCCGGTGGATATTCGAAACCATGAAACTTTTCTCGCGCATATGCCGCCGCGTTGGGATTTAAATAGGCAACAGTTACTTGACCCCTTGGCATTCTATACCTCATGTCTGTTTTCAAGCTACAATAATCTAAACCCGGTACAATGTCAAATAATTTCCACAATTGATCTTGATTTAATGCCGGATGTGCAATTACTTGTAATCTTGTGTAACCTTCATTATTTGGATAATTGGCAGCAATTTCAAGGCTAATGCTACTTTTACCAAAATTTGATGAACCATAACCACCACCACCACCACCTCCACCCATATTATCATATGATACTGAGAGACCATTACTATATTTTGAATCGTTATGATCGGGTTTTGGTTTTTTTGGCTCAGCAAAAACAGCTTTATATTTTCGATCACATTCCTCAAATGCTTTAGCGGCACTCGATACCTTTCTAAATTTCACGTAACCAAAACCTTTTGATTCATTTGTATTTCTATCCTTTACCACTGTTGCATATTCAATTGCTCCAAATTTTGAAAATTCTTGCTGTAATTCAGTGTCGGTCATTGATTTCGGTAAAACACAAAATAATCGTACCCATCGTTCCTCTTCGTTTGTCTCACGTACCGATCCTTGATCTCGACTGAAAGAAAGAAAATTAATTTTTTTCTACGAAACAAATATTCGTAAAAATATATTTTTTTTTTGTAAACCTACTTGGAGGCAATCATGACTTTTATTGGACGTCCCACGGAACCCAACATTTTACCGTTCATCTCCTCAAGGGCACAGGCAGCTTCCGATGTTTTCGAAAATTTAATATAAGTCACGCCTGTAAAAAAAAAAATTATCAGATCATATAATTTATTCCTTTTTCGCAAATTATAAATAAAATTCATTTTTCCAATAGGGAAAAAAATCAACTAAAATATAATAAAAAAAAGGAATAAAAAAATTTTAATTATTTTTTTATCAAATAAAGCCTAAAAATGTTTGTTATGACTTAAGGATATATTTATAGAAACCAAAGATGATTTTAGCACAAGTACCAAACACGTGGAAGTTGAAAATCATGTGTAGAGACACGATATATATTAATAGCTTTTTTGAAGAAAGTTCAAATCAAAGCATGTGGTACGTATTCAGTTTTCAAACTTTAAAATATTAATTTTTAAAATCAATTGCAAAATTTTGAAAATAAAATTTTACTTTTAAGTTAAATAATAATTTTTTAAACACAAAAAAGTAACTAAATAGATTAGTACTAGAAAAAAAAATCTATCCGGATAATAAATTATTCCATTCTAATACAGTTAAACTAATAAGATTATATCTCTATAATATTTCAGCTCGCGATTTGTTATTTTTGAAAATATTATTTCAGATCTAAATAAATTAACAGAAGAATAAAATTACCTCTACCTAAAAATAATGAAACATTAATTTATAATTAATAATGCCTCACAGAAATTAGAAATCGTGCAAAATTTTCGATCTTTTTTATTTAAATCGCTAAAAAAGAGAAATCTCAATATTCAAAAGATTAAAATTCTTCACTTTAAAAAAATAGGGTAAAAATTTATGCGAACGTGATCAGTAATAATAATTCTTTTTTCTTCACAATCAGCCGGTGAAACTTTTGTTATCTTCAATTTTATCTACCATACTAAAAAAAAAAAAAAAAAACACGAATACAATTGTGAGAGTTATCGAATATATGATTAAAAAGAGAAGCGCGTAACAGCAACAATCAATTATGTAATGAGAAAGAAGTAATTAATTATTTACAATAGAATGAAAATGAATAAAACGAAGAGAAAATATTTATCGATTAGGAGTTTAAGGGTAAAGACAAGTTTTTTTTTTTATATGTTGTATATATATATACCTTTATTTTCTCCTGTATTCCGATCCTTAACCACCCAAATATCTTCAATTTTGCCAAATTTCTCAAATGCCTTTCGAAGATCATCTTCCTCGAGACTTTTATGGCAAATAACAAATAAACGTGAATTAGGTGGATCATCATTTTTTGATCTTGGATCAGACGAATAATATGAATCTCTTTCCCTGTGATCGGCCATTTTGCAACTGAAGACGAGAAACCGAAAAGAGGCACACTGCGCCGGCGACTATATGTGGGAAACTTGAAGCGAAAACTACAATCTTATTTAACAGGACCGTATGAATATTTTCTCCTTTCTTTTTATTATTGAACTTCTTTTGCGTAATGTAAAACACACTTTATCTGATAAGATTGCGTATACCAACTTCTTTTTTTTTTTTTCGGAACAATTTCTAGGTTATGTTATATTTCTAATCCTTAAAACAAATGCATTTCTAAGTCATTCTCTTCATTATTATTGTTTTTTTCATTTGTTTAAATTATCTACACTAATTTCCAACTTTCTGTGATGCAAATTTTTCTCTTTATATTGTATATAAATTAAATAAACACCATTAAACACGAGAGTAAACAATCTGATTATTATTTTTGTGTAAAAAAAAATCAATAGAATGAGTATAGATACCGAATAGCATTTATGTAGAAAAAATAGCCTATAAACAGGGGCTAAATTTTAAAAAAAGGGGTGGAAAAATTTTTTTGAATTTTTTAAAATAAATATAATTGCAATTTAAATAGGAGGGAAATATTTGTAAAATTATATTCTATTTATTGCATCTTAAAAAAATATAGCGTTAATAAATTATTAAAATTTATAATATATAAAATGGTTTTTTTCAATAAAAATTTTATTTTCAATTAAAGATTTATGAAATACTAGTTTATAAAAATGTCATGCTCCAATATACGTCTTATGGTTCTGTGACTTTTCCTGTTACTTGAAAGAGAAAATGTGAATTTAATAATATGTTATAACAATATAATGATACTTTTCATATTCATCCATGTAAATCGTTTATTTTAGTTTCATTTTTTTTTTTATTAGGTATATTGTGACACAATTATTTTTCTACATAAAACATTTTTCAATTATATTAATTAATTTTTAAATTTATATATTATTAATTAATATTTTTTATTGATATGAATAATTTTTCATTGTTATTATTATTAAATTCTAATAATTTATAAAAAAAAAGAAAGCGTACGTAACTATAACAAAAAATTTTTAAAAGTAATTTTCCAGCACTTACCTGAAATAATGGTATCACAATTAAACACCGTTAGATTTAAGATCTCGACATTATTTGCCTCCAACCTTAATAAACAATAATCTCTAAAGTAAGAGGAGAAAAAGTTGTTCTACTTTTTTAAGATGACTGTAATTTTCATTAAAAAAAATATATAAAAATAAATTAACTATATAATTTCATACTTTTGTTAAAATTAACAATTTTTTCACCTAAAAAAAAGAGATTCAGGTGTGTCCGTTCCTGAAGAATATTTAATAATACCACAAAACAGGTTTCCACGTAACACGAATACCGTTTAATTTTTAAAAATATTATATTCATCATATATCCGCTCGCGATTTCCTAAACAAATCAAAAAACTAGAGAATTAAAATTAAATTAAATTAAAAACTTGTTTGAAAAAAAAAAATGTATCTCTTTTTGAATTCAATCAGTTACAGTTATTCATCTGTGAAGTAAACTTTCTCTTTTGCTTTTACTTTCAACGAAATATTCAAATAAACAGGAATTATAATTGAAAAATATTTTCAAAAATAATTTTATAAATTATTTCCATATAGTTCTTTTTTTTGAATTTTGTTTATTTTTAGTAAAAAATGAAATTTACCGAAAAACGAACAAAATCTTTGTACATTGCATAATATCTACATCTTATTCTATGTCATATCTTAATGAACGAATGGGATATGAAAATATTTTCTAGTTTTTTGAAAATTAAAATAGAATTTCCCTTGGGAATGTGGTAGAAAAAAAAAAACAAATTTCTCTCTATTGCAAATTTCATGCATCATATGTAGATGCAGAAACATTACCCCCATGACCTGTCCAATTGGTGTGAACAAATTTACCTTCCTCACCGAGAAGTTCATAAGTGTGCGCTCCAAAATAGTCACGTTGTGCTTGCAATAAATTTGCCGGAAGTTGAGCTGTTCGAAAACCATCATAGAAGGCTAAAGCAGTCGACAATGCAGGAGTTGGAATTCCAAGAGCGACGGCATTCGAGACAATAACTCTAACACTTCCTTGACAACGTTTCATGGCCTTTGCAAAGAAATCATCCAACAGCAAATTCGTTAATTTTGGATTTTTGTCAAAGGCTTGTTTAATATTTCCAAGAAAGGCACTGGAAAATAAAAAAAAAAACAATATAACAATGTAAAATTTAATATGAGAAAAAAAAAATAAATTACCTTCTGATGATACAACCACCTCGCCACATAAGAGCAATTCCACCGTAATTAAGATTCCAATTATGAATTTTCGCTGCCTCTCTGAGAAGCATAAAACCTTGAGCGTAGGAAATAATTTTCGCCGCATAAAGAGCATTTCCCAAATGTTCGAGAAAAACTTTTTTATCACCCTCATAGACATTATTTGGTCCAGCCAATACTGAACTTGCTTCAACTCTCTCGCTCTTTAATGCCGAAAGACATCTTCCAAATACTGATTCACCAATTAGAGTTACTGGAATTCCATAATCCAATGCAGCAATTGCTGTCCATTTTCCCGTTCCTTTTTGTCCAGCAGTATCACGAATTCTCTCCAAAAGATAACCTTTATCATCTTTATATTTAAGTATATCCCTTGTTATTTCAATGAGAAATGAATCCAAATCGCCTTTATTCCATTCGTCGAATGTTTTACTCATTTCCGCAGGTGTTAAACGAAGTCCATTTCTCATAATATGATAAGCCTCACAAATTATTTGCATATCACCATATTCAATTCCATTGTGTACCATTTTAACAAAATGTCCAGCACCAGTTTCTCCAACCCAATCACAACAAGGCTCCCCATCAGCTTTTGCACAAATTGCCTGAAAAAAAAGAAGATCGTTTCAAATTTTCCAAAAAAATTCTCCATTCTTTTGCGAGATTTTCTTACTTGAAAAATTGGTTTAATATGTGGCCATGCTTTTGGATTTCCTCCAGGCATCAATGATGGTCCATAACGTGCTCCATCTTCTCCGCCACTAACTCCACTTCCAACAAATAAAATACCCTTTTTTTCCAAATCCTGAGTTCGTCTCTGTGTGTCCTGATATTCGGAATTACCTCCATCGATTATAATATCTCCTTTAGATAAAAGTGGCACCAATTTCCCAATGAAATCATCAACAGCTGAACCGGCTGAAAATAAAATTTACAATTAATATATGAAATTGTTATAAAATCTTTAATTTTATAGAAAATAAAATTACCTTTAACAAGTAACATTACTCGTCGGGGTTTTTTCAATTTGCTGACCATTTCCTCTAAACTATAAGCGCCAACAATTTTTGTTCCCTTGGCTTCATTTTGAAGAAACGATGTAACTTTTTCTGTTGTACGATTGTAGGCACAAACAACAAATCCATGATCGTTCATGTTTAGAATTAAATTCTGGCCCATGACAGCCAAACCAATTAAGGCGATATCTGCTACTCTGAAAAGATATCATTTTTAATATTCAAATATAAAAATTTCTTTAAATAATTTAAATATTAATATAAATATTAATTAATATTAATATCAAACAAAATATCATATTTGAAAAATGTATTTAAAAAAAAGGGACGGAATTTTTTTAAAATTAAGTAATTTAAATGTTAGGATATAAAAAGATGATTAAAAAACAATTTTTCTTAGATTAGAACTAAAATTACTTTGAAATATTAAAATTTTCAATTACATAATAATAATAGCTTATAATGTATAAAATTCTTGAAAAGGCAGTAATAATAAAAAAAATGAATGTTTTTCATTATTACAAAGTGTTGAGATAAACTCTTTTGACGTCACTGTTTTAATAAATATATATATTAAACAAATCTAACTTGTTATAAAAAAATAAGTAGATAACTGTTTTCAATTCGTTTAAAATTGTCTTCAGAATTTTCTTTTTTAGAAATTATAAAAATCATCAAGAATTTTTTTAAAAAAAAACTATTCCTGAATATTATTGTCTATTGCTAATATTATTAAATCATTAATTAATACTATTAGATAAATTTATTATTAATAAATTAATTAAAATAATTAATAATAATAATTAACAATAATTAACAATAATAAATTTTACAGTAACATTAAATACAAAAATGTTATTTAAAAAAAAAAATCTAAAGGATTTAAAGTTTATAGGTTATATTAAAAAATTTATTTAAATTTTGAAAATTACTTATAGTCAACAAAAATATCAATTATTATGTAAATTTAAAAGTAAGAATGACTTGACATTTGATGAAAAGTTTGTTTCTTGGAGTAAGAAAATTTTTTGAATTATAACCTAAAAATTAATATTGAAATATTATTAATACAATTTGTTTATTTATTACTCACGGTTCTGTCATGATATTAAATAATTTGTGATAAATTTATAAATAAAATTTTCAAGTGACTTCCACAATATCAGAGCAACAAGTGTCCAACAACTTTAAATTGATGTTCACGTTCAAATGAATTTCGTCATTGTAATGAAGTTCCGTCATTAAATGTCTTCGGTCAGCAGACCTCAAATCAACCAATCGGAAACTATGCAAGGTCATTATTGCTTTCCATTTTCCGTTATATTTCATTATCTAGTCATGTTATCATACATACTATATACAAATTGATAACATCAAAGATTTTTTTTTGTTGTTTATCACTTCCTAACCTATTATAATGCAATATATGCATCATTTATTTTTTTTTGGCTTGCCTTCACTTCTTTTGAGTCAATATGTTTTAAATCTATTCTTGTTTTATCTATAAAATAAAAAGAAGTTATTGTACTTATTTATTTTATATATTTTAAAGAACTTGATTTATAAATAATAAATAAAAATATATATTGTTTAAAAATGGTAGAAATTGTTTATTAAAATTTCCATGTACACATTCGAAGGAAATGTAAACTAAACTAAAATACTGAGATTAATTATTATTATTATTAATTATTTATTTTATTTTTTAATTAATTTTTTATTTAATATCAAATTTTTTAATTTCAAAATGACGCGCCAATGCGCAAAAGATCTTTGCGCATGTGGAAGAAGAAATCAGAATTGACCAATGAGGTGAAGGGAATAAAAGAAAGTGATGTATGTGATCTAATTGGTTGCTGGGGTATTTAATAAGAAAAGTGCAACATGTCGCGATTCACTTCATTAAATTAGAGCAAAACTGCATATTTTTTCTTGTTTATCATTGTCTTAGTGCATTTTTTGTTTATCTAATCAGTCAGTTCATTTCCAGCATCCATTGTGTGATTACGTAAATCTTTGAAAATTGTATATTATTTTGACAGTATTGTATATATAAATGGATCGTTGAACATAACCCTTTGATTACGAGATGTTCCAAATCGAAAGTCAAGTACAATTTGCTGTCGCAAGCAAAATTGCGCTGTGATAGTTTTTTTAAAGTAAACAATTAGTAATCATTTACGTTCTCAGCATTGACGTCAAGTATGGGACTTTTATTTTCTAAACTTTGGAGCCTCTTTGGAAATGAAGGTATTATTATGATTTCATTGTTCAATGATTAACATTTTTATCAAAGAATTTCAAATTTCCTTAATTATTTTTCTTTTTTTCTTTGTAAAATAGACATATGGCTTTTAATTTAAATAATTCGAAAATTTTCATTTCTATTACAAAATATGAATTTAAAATCTTTTATGTAATTCAGGTACTGATACCCTTGACTATAGTAGAAAGTTATTTTTTTTTCGATAGAAAAGTATCGCAATCTTGTAGAATTCATATAGGTGAAAGTTTCTCTACGATTTCATTTTTTGTTATACAATTAACAGTAAAATTTAACAAATAACTAATTAAATATTTGTTAAAAGAATTTTTTTTTTTTATTATAAGTAGATAAAGAAAAAATGTTAATTTATAGAGCATAAGATTGTGATGGTGGGATTGGACAATGCGGGAAAAACAACAATTCTTTATCAATTTTTAATGAATGAAGTTGTACACACGTCTCCAACAATTGGATCAAATGTTGAGGAGGTTGTGTGGAAAAATATTCATTTTATAATGTGGGACTTGGGTGGACAACAAAGTTTACGAGCTGCATGGTCGACATATTATACAAATACTGAATTTATTATAATGGTAATTGACAGTACTGATAGAGAAAGATTGAATGTAATAAAAGAAGAATTACATTCAATGTTAAATCATGAGGAACTAAGTAAAGCAAAAGTTCTAGTCTATGCAAATAAGCAGGATTTAAAAGGTAGCATGACAGCTGCTGAAATTTCCAAGGAACTTGGTTTAACATCTATCAAAAGGCATCCTTGGCATATACAAAGTTGTTGTGCCTTAACTGGCGAAGGGTAAATTTATTAAATTAATTAAAAAAAAAAAAAGAAATTTTTTCAAATTAAAAATTTTTATAATTTAATTACAGATTGTATCAGGGATTAGAGTGGATTGCGGGAAAATTGAAAAAAACATGACGTACAATATGAAAACAAGAACTTTTGTGAAACATTGAAAAGAGAGAAAAAAAAAGATGTAAAATAGTGAGTTACGAAGATGGTGTCACTTTCATGATTGTACAAATAATTTGGTAACATTTCACGAGATAAGATTATTCTCAGTTGAAGTTTTATCTTCAATATCAATGTAATTAATTTCTTTAAGCTGGAAAATAATCAGCTGTGGATGGGAAATTCATTTTTTTTTCTACCCTCCTTTCATAACGTTCATAAAATTCATATTTTTTTTTTCTTAAAATCATTTGTTTTTTTTTTTTTGCTTAGTGTTTACATAATAAGTGTTTTTGTGTGTTTTGTAAATTCCCATCCACTTTCAACGTGATTAGGAAAATTAAAACAAAACGATTGTATTCGGTTGATGTTACAATCAAGTGAATTGTTTGGCTTGTAGCGGGGAAACGATATATTTTTTATACTGCCCTCAATAATTCAAAAAAAAAGAAAAATTCCGTGAAAAATATGAATACACCGATGAAAATATTATTGTATATTTTCAAACGTCCCTGGTTAAAAATAGGAAAAGATTTGTGTAAATGCTTATAAGACTTCATAACAAGGTTACTCTCAACAAGCCAAACAAAGAAACTTGAAATCAGTATACTCTGAATACTTTGTGATAAGAGGCTCTAAAAAATGAGACAGTTGTCCGTTGGAGCTTAAATCAAAAAAAAAGAAAACAATGATATTTTTTTATTTTTAATAGTAAAATTAATATTTTTCCATAGAGCACAAATCCAATAAGTGTTCATTTAATAATATTTTAGTTTTTAAATCGTAGAATTTATTTAAAATCTAATTTCTTTGAATTAGTTTTAGTTTTACATGACGCTAATGTAAAGGAATTTTTATAACTTTAAACTTATGGCAGCTTTTTTTTACGAAAATGGATTTTTTCCTTTTTGAATTAATAATGCATGAATTAAAAAAATAATCCGACTGACAGCTGTCTTTAATTCCTTTTTTTTTTATTAAACGTAATCAATTTTTAATTATGTATGTAATTTTTAAAAAAAATACTCCCTCTATTTAGATTAATTTAATTATATATATATTATATTATATAAACAATTTAGTTATTGTACCAATGGTGACACAATTAACCATCGAAGACTAATTATATAAAAATTGTTGATTGTACTGTATGAAAGGTTGGATTGACAGACATACATTTATAATATTCTATGGAAAAAGAAAAAATGATAATAGTTTTTTCTCATATTGAGAAATTTTCTCAGAACGAGTGATAGTTCAAAAAAGTATTCTTTTTTTTTTTTTTTTTGTTCTTTTTACAGCAATTATTTTTTATTCCTTTTTTTCAAATCTACATCACATATCGCGAACAGGGAGAAAAAATAATTTTATTTTAAACAATTTTTTGTGGGTCTGATGTAAGAATATATTCTTTAATGGCACAGAGACATCGATATTGAGAGAAAAAGTTAGATAAAATGAAAAAAAAACAAAATTTAGTGATTTATTCTATAGTTTAGAATATTTTTATAATTATCTGGTGGAAAATAAATAATTATTGCTATAAATAAAAAATTATTCTCTACCGGAAATTGAATTGTTTATTGTAGAAATTAGTTAATTTTTCAATTCAATTTTTTTTTTATTGCAGTTTTCGATAAAAAAAAAAAATTATTGCAATAATCGATTCAATTTTAAATAAATTGATCAACGTTTTTACGTAATTAGAAAAATTTGTTTTATGTATTAAGTTCTAAAAAAAATGCAAATTTATAAGAAGAAAACGAGCGCAAAGATTTGTTGTCCAATTGGAGTATTAAAATCTGAAAAAAAGAGAAATAAAAATCTTAATATACAATAAATGGTTATTTTTTTTTATACCTAAAATTTGTTAATCAAATTTCTTTTTAGAGTGAATAAATTTTTAGAAAACAAATGGTAAAAATAAGCGAAAAAATTGAATTCTGATTTCTATTTATTTTCGATTTTCATTATAAATAAAGCGCAGCACACACACATTCATACTCGCAGCCGTGGATCTACCACGGCTCATTCTCCCTAATTAACAATAAACGTGTTGAGCCGACTTGTCACATCGAATTGCTTCGTTAGTTATTTATCGGGTTTATTTTTTTTTATCTAAAAACATGTGCATCAGGCACTTTCTAATATTTTGTCAATTTATATTTCTAAATAAAAAAAAAAAAGACGCTTTGACACAATTTTAATGATTACAGGCTTTCAGTGGATGAAGAGGAATTAATAAGGGTAGGATTTTTTTTTTTTTCAATTTCAGTGCTATTAGCACCAAAATATTATTCAATTTGGCTTCAGTGCTGATCACTGTCTTCCTTTTGTTTCACCAAAAAGACAAGAGCCTTTTTCTTTTTTGAAATCTATAATATTTATTCTAGACAACAAGTGTTAGGGTTTTTTTTTTTTTTTTGCATCAACGGATTAAGTTCTCACTAATACTTATATGCAATATATTGTCTATCTGTTCTCTCTTTTCATCACATGCTAAATAACATTTCGTTAAATAATTTATAATTTTATACGATTTTGTCGTATTTTTCGTACTACATAAAAAGTTTAGCAGTGTTGAAGAGAAAAATTTTTTTTTTTTTTTTCTTTAATTACTGATACGAATGAATACTCGTCTTGTGAGCAATGTTTGTTTTTGAACACAAACAATGCTTTTTGTGTGTTTTTTTTTTTCTAGTTTCGCTATTTTTTTCGAACACGTGGTGATACAATAATTTCTACTATGCCAGGTGTTTCAATTTTTCTACATTTTTTTTTTTTTCGTCTAGGTTTTTGTTTTCTTTTCTTCGGCAAAAAGAATCCTTCCGATGACGTGATCTTCGATGATTTACAATGACTTCGAGTGGAGATAAATTATTTTTTTTTTTTTTTCTTGGAGGGGGATGATGATATTTGCTGTTGTTGTTGTTTTTTTTTTTTTTAAGCCTTAACGGCCTTCATGAGGAGATCAGTGCTAAGAGATTTTGGCCTTTCAATTGGTAGACCGAGAGCTCGGGACCAAACAAGAGAGGCAAGTACACCTAGAGCGCGGGATACACCAAAGAGAACAGTGTAATAATTCATTTCCTTCATTCCGTAGTATTGCAAAAGTACTCCTGAATGAGCATCAACATTTGGCCAGGGATTCTTTACTTTTCCGGTTTCCAATAGAATTGGAGGTACAACCTTGTAGACTTGCGATACCAACTAAAAAAGAAAAAAGAAAAGAATAATTAAATTTAAAATCAAATTATATAAAAATAATTATTTATTGAAAAAAATAAAATACCTTGAATAAACTATCGTTGGGTAAATGTTTCAAGGCGAATTCCCTCTGGCAGGTATATCTTGGATCGGTTTTTCTAAGTACAGCATGTCCATAACCAGGAACAACTTGTCCACTCTTTAATGTATTCCAAATAAATTCCTTGAGTTTCTCGTCACTTGGATTTTCGCCTACCTGGCCACGAAGTTTTTGTAGCCAAACAAGTACCTCCTGATTGGCAAGTCCATGAAGTGGTCCAGCCAAACCATTCATACCGGCAGCAAACGATAAATAAGGATCCGATAATGCCGAACCCACCAAATGTGTTGTATGCGCCGAAACATTGCCACCCTCATGATCCGAATGAATTGTCAAATAAAGACGCATCAATTCAATGAATTCGGGATTATCGAAACCCAACATTGTCGAGAAATTCCATGACCAATCACGACTCGAATCAACTGAGCCAATACCCTTTCCACCCTTGTACATATTACGATAAATTGTTGCCGCTACAACTGGCAATTTAGCAATTAAATTCATTGAATCCTCAAGTACAGTTTCCCAATATTTACTTTTATGTACACCATTCGTATAGGCTTTGACAAATTCACTTTCGCTATTTAATAAAGTGATTGCCGCTGAAAATTGTGTCATTGGATGAAGGGATTTTGGAAAATCATTGAGTGCTTTTGTCACATGACTTGGTAATGCACTTCTTGTTGCCCATTCTTTTGACAGTGCTTTAACTTGAGCATCAGTTGGTATATCGCCTGTAATTAATAGCCAAAATAGACCCTCGGGCAGTGGTTCTGCACCATTAGCAGCTTTTGGTAATAATTTTTGACATTCAGGAATTGATTTGCCACGGAAACGAATTCCTTCATCGGCGTCCAATACCGATGGCTCCCAAACTAGACCTTTGATTCCTCTCATTCCACCATACATCTATTGTGAAAATTAAAAAAAATTTTAATATTATACACAAAAAGGAAAATTATTAAAAATTAAAAAATACTCGAAAAAAGAACAAAAAAAAATCCAAAAGGCAGGATTAAAAAAAAATTTTTAAATGAGATTTTAGATAAGAAATGAGACACATTTACGATAAATAAATATCGCAAATCAGTCATCATTGCATGAAGACGCAATTTATCGGCTGCGTAAAAAAAAAGCTCGAGATCATCACACGTGTGTGTTCAAAGAAAAAAAAAATTTTTTTTAAGAGGAAATAAATTGTAAACATTGTTAGTGGAAAATTTTAACATTCTTTTTCTTTTTATATTAAAAAAAAAAAGTTATTTATATACGAAATAGAAAAAATTTCGAAAATTTAATTAAAATATACAAAATAAAATAAAAAAATTAATAATGAGAAAATTTACCATATCGACAGTAACTTCGCCAACTTTTGTCGCACCAAATTGTTTACGGAAGGATTTAATTCGTTCTTGTTCGACAGGAATTTTTTCAGCCATCACTTTTCTTAAATCCGTTGATTCTGCAGATAATGAACGCAGAGCTATCGCAGTGGACAATTTCTGAAAAACAACAGAAAAATACAATTAATAATTACACGCTATATTTTTCTTTTTTTTTCAAATGCAAAAATGACGGAAAAATTTATGTAACTGTTACAAAAGAGATAATTTTGTAATTAAAATTTTGTCACGTTATTCTTTAAAATTAAAAGAAAATTTTAAAAACAATAAATATAAAATAACAGAAATAAATGCGAAACTAAAAATTTTTTTTTTGTTATGTAAAGTTAACTCATTTTATTACTCATTAAATGATCATTAGGAAATTACGTTCATCTCGTGCCTAAGATTATTTTAACCACTTCCGCAAAAAAAAAAAATAGTCCTTGATTTTCATTGACTTACAAACATTAGTTTCACACATTTATAGTGAAAGTGGAATTTTTTTAATTTGATTCAAAAATAAGGAATTTTTTTTTTTTTTTATTAATTTTCAAACAAAAACAACTTTATTAGCACTCAAATACAATAAAGAAATGCAAATAGATAAGGAATTTAAAATTAGAATTAAACAATTATATTTTGTAAAATAGAAAAATAATTTTTTAATTAATTCTTTTTTAATTTTTGTAAAAATTGGATAATATTTTAATTTTCTTGTAATTATAAGTTACAAGAAAATTAATTAGATGTTTGAAAAAAAATAAATAAAGTTATTGATAAATTAAATCATAATATGGCAATATTTATGTATTTGAAATTAAATTTACTTTAGAAAAAAAAGAGATGATATCACTCGTCACTTTTGACAAATTAATATATCACATTGCAACTGTAAAGGGAATCCAATACAATCAGACAAACAATGATAAAGTTAATAAGGATTCTTGCTATATAAAGAGAAGATCAAAAGAAGATCAGACACTAAAGTTCATTATCATTTTGCGCTTTAAGAAAATCTATTTTTCTTTTTATTTTATTTTGGGGCTGTTTCACAATAAATACAAAAATTTTCAATTCATTTTCTTTTTTTTTTTTTTTTGAAATAAATTTTTTGATTCAAAATAAAAAATAGATTTTTATAGTCAAACTTTCAATTTGCAATTGGTATTTTAAATTAATATTTCAGGTTCCCTTGTTGACTGGTTACAAATGTCAATTCAATAATTCAATTGTCAAAGTAGACTTTATCGATTGATATATCATTTATCGATTAGCGAATTTAGTAGCAGCAGCAGCGGACATGACTAAACGATATTTAAAAGCGAATTTTAATTTTTATGAACAGGAAATAACATCTGCTAAATTTTTTTCAAAAAAAAGAAATTTAAATTTTTAAAATCAAGAAAAATCAAAATTGAAGGTAAAAAACTAAAATTAGTGAGGAAAAATATTAAAATTAATTAACAAAAAGTAAATTAAAATATATAATTATGGTAAAATTAATTTTATTGTATGGTGAGAAAAAGAAAATTGAAAACTCGTTTTTTTTTACCCAAAAAAAAAAATAAAAACATGAATGTTAATAAAATAATCAAATTGTGTTATATAGAACCAATCTATCTTTTAAACTTTAGATCCAATTAACACTGCACTAAATTTGCAAAGCAGAGTCCGAAGGTTACTTACACGATTGTCTTTAACAATGTTATCGCTCTTATCGTCTGTCTCGCTTAGCCATGTTACGTCTTATATTATTTATATATCTAACAAAAGTTTATATCCGTCATAATTACAATTAATTTTCATCTTAATTAATTAGTGACAATTTTTCATCTAATTTCAAAATTAAAAATTAAATTTTCAAAATTGAATATAAAGAAAAAAATTATCATTACTCCGCGATTTTTAAAAAGTGAAAAAAAACGAAATATATCGTTTATTTTCTAATTAATTGTTTATTAATTATGTATGTATTTTTAAAAATAGATTCTATTATTAATATTAGAATAGAAAGTTCTGCAATTCTCAACAGAAACCTGATTCTAATTGGCATATAGAAATTCTTTTTTTTTTTTTTTTTTTTCTCACCAGATTTAATTACAACCGACTTGTATATTAACATTGACGGTCACTAGACTTATCAAGTGGTCAGTATAATATTGTATCATTTGCATACTAGGAATTATGTAACGCTATTCAGTAACGTTAGATTCAACGACCCCTTCATAATAATTTGACCTTTACAAAAAGGGTCGTCGAAGGTGAATAAGAAAAGTAGAAAAATTGCAATTTATTTCCCGCGCAGTGAATATATAAATTCTTTAATAAGAAAAACGAAAAATTTATCATTTTTCAATGCTAAATATTTCCAAATTTTTTTATTGTCACCAAATCATGAGAAAAATTCCAAAACAGAAGAATCACTAGAATTTGAAAAAAAAAATTAATAATTAGACAAAAATAATAATTGAATATCCTAAACAAAATCACAAAAAAAAAATTCCAGCTCTTTCGACTAAATTATACATTCGAATGATTATAAATGTGGTAAATACTGATGTTCGATTATAATGGAAATTGAAAACTCATCGCAAGTTGAATTGACATTACAAAATGTTACGTATTAGTAGAAAGGATACTACGTCATTGAATATCACGTGACGTGGCAACGACACGTGCTAACTATGTCCACGTGAAATCATTAGAGCATGAAAAAAATATATATTTTCCCATTTCATAATGAAAAAATATTCAAAAAATTTTTTTAAGCAATAATTGTATTAGGTGTGATAAATTTATCCACCGAGATTAAAACACAATCAATCTTGACGTGTGTGAAAAAAAAAAAATTAGCAGGCTCGTCCAATGATAAAATCGTCATTTCGCGTATATTTGCCTTTGACGTCATTCACTTACATCAGTATAATGACAAGCACAATAAAGTAAGTTGTGTATATATACTCAAATCTACTCCGTTAATGCATTATTGAGTCTATGCGCGATAACTGTGAAATTGTATAGTAATTAACAGCTAATCAATATTGGCAATTTTTGAAAAAATGTCAACAGACAATTTCTCCTCGTCAATTAAAATTAAAAATTTTTTTTTTATTAATTATTTTTAATAAATAAATTAGATATTTTATTAATCGAATTTTTGAAATCAAGTAAATAAGAGCAGTTTTTTGTAAATTAACAATTTTAAAAATAAATAATTTATTTTCCAAGGAGTTTGAAAGGATATATAAATTTCAATGTCGTCTGATTAAATGGACCCTTAATGTTTTAGAAACGACCAATCAAATATTAGGTATGTGTTGGCGTTCTCACATTTACCCTTGAGGGACGAGGTAATAAATCGTTTCTTTCCTGGACCAGTTTGCACTGGAACAGTTATACTTCATTAGATCAGATTTTTTTCCTCCTCTCCTTTTTTTTCTCTCTCTACATCGATTTTTTTTTTTTTTTCTTTTTAAATTCTTACGAAGAATTTTCCTCAATATCGAATAATAATTTAGTGAAAAAAATAAAAATTCTAATTCTTAATCCTGTTTTTCAACAGAGAAAATGTGTAAAGTGAAAGGCCATGGAAAATTTGTTAGAATATCCTAACAACGAAAAAAATTCCCCAACAGAAAAAAAAACCGGTTTTCAAATTCTTTTCACCTGAAGAAAGATTCTAAAAATATCCAAACAAAAATTCTCCTCCATAAAAATTGGGAAAATATAATTTTTTCCAAATCATTAATTTTTTAAATATTATTCATGAAAGATAATCAATTTCCGAATGCGTTACAATAGAAAATAATTCGAATCGATGAAAGATCGTTTTGATAACCTTGATCGATAGGAAATATTATCAATAATTATCCATAAACATCAATTAAAAATATTTCTTTATCATTGTCAAAAAGCAAAAAGAAACATTAAAATAAAGAAAAGAGAGAAAAAAAAATTCCCACTAATATGTTAATTTTTCTCAAAGAAATACAAGAAAATTAATTTTTGACCTTTTTGCTTTATGCAAATATATTGTCGTGAACTTGAATTCGCTCGAGCAAAGTTACACGCCTGTCAATCTTCATAAAATGTGCACGAGGCTCAATATCGTAATTACTGACAATCAAATTTATCCATCAAATCAACACTTGTGAATTATTGTAACTTTTATTTTTTTTTTACTAAAATCCAAAAAAATTAAAATTTTTCATAAAATTGAATTTTAATTTATTTTTTATTTTAATGAAAATTACTTTTCCTTAATTTACAAAACGAGGGGAAAAAAAAGTATAACTAATATTTTGCATAAAGTATAAAAAGGATTTCAGTCGATGCTCAGGAAAAACAGGTAACTAAAATAATGTATTACGAGATATAAGAGCGAACAAGGTCAAACGGCTGTTAGATAATAAGTCGAACAAGAAAAAAAAAAACTACACGAATGTCTGCCAAACTTCAACGATACAGATTAAAAGTTTATTCTTAGATTTAATAATTATAGATCAATATATATGGAATTTTTTTTCGATTAAAAACATTATCGTATATATATTTAATAAGGAAAGTCTGTGACAACGGTTATTTCCCCCATACAATAAAATATAATTACTCTTATCAATTTCTATTTTACTCAAAATTTTACTATTCAAAAATGAAAAAACCAATTTTTATTTCTAAATTAATATATTTTAGAGAATTGTCAAGAATTGATTTTTAAAAAATTTAATTAAATATTGAAGTAGAAGGAAAAAATGAAAAGAAAAGTACAATAACAAGATGAGGTAACTGAGCGAGAGTTTTAAATTGAATTATTGAGAGGGAAGCAGGTGACCCTGCAGGTGACACCTGATCAAATCTGGATCACCGGAGCAGAGCAGTTTTTTGACCTCGATGGTCTCTAAACATAGCTTTGCAAAATTCAAGTGCCAACTCTTCAATGAACAACGAAAACACTATTCTCACAATCAGGATAAATTAAGATTTTCTTTCAAGTCAAGGTGAACATCTCAAGAATGTTATTCAGATTGTAAAAAAAAAAATATATATTTTTTTTTCTAATTTCTTGAAAAAAAAATCCACGAATTGTTCACATTTAATTCTATATTTTTAAAAAAACTAATTTTAAATTCAATTTCTTTCTTTCTAATAAATATAAAAATCGAACAAATTCTAGCATTTTTTTGAACTCTAAAAAAAAAACATCGACTAAACATAATATTTATTTTTAGAACCGATAAAATTGTATGCCAATGTTCTAAATTTCTGGTCCTCTATCAAAAAGAAAAAATTCAAATGGAATTTTTCTACCCTACTACAAAGTATACAATGAAATTTTGCAATTACATAACAACTTGCGCGCCTTATCGATTATAACCGCGTGAGAAATGACAAGAAAAAAAAATTTCTCTTCTTTAAAATACAATTATGTCTTACAACAATAATAATAATAAAATAAAAAAAATAACGATAAACAATCAGATATTTATTATAAAAAAAAAATTAAACAAATACGAATTTCAAAAAATTAAATCTTCACCGCTCTCTCAAACGGAGATTCGTATTGTATAAAGTTCACTGAGATATGACAACTGAAATCGCATTAGTCATTATTGGAGTAAAAAAAAAAAAATATATTCATAATTTAATTGAAAATATTGCAATTATTTTAAATCAGACTCCGCCCTTTGGGAAATAAAATAGCAATAAAATGACGTGTTTGTGTCGATAATGTAGAAAACATAGAAAAATCATTTTTTTTTACTTTCATTATTTATGCAAATTCCCTTTCCCCCTTCCAATCATTAATTCAAATGAGTAAATTTTTTTTCCAATTTTCCTTAAACATTACAAGAAAAACGTTACTCAATGAAGCCTCAAAAAAAAATTCCATTACATAAGATTGAAAATTGGAATTTCAAAGAAAATGAATGAGACATATTTTCTATATTTGAAAAATTGGAGCAATTGACATTCTAAACTTTACGACCTTCGGGAAATATTGATAAAAATCATATTATAAATGAATTATATCAAATGACATACGTTACAAAATAATTTTTTTTTTTTCTAAATTTAATTAGAAAAAAATTGGAGTAGAATCGGATTTTTCCAAAATCAGACTTGAAAATCTAGCATCGTGGAAGGTTTGATCACCTTAAGATAAAACGAAGCGTAAACGAGCCACGCTGAAAGGTTTTTACGGTCGATAACATGTATATATAATTCCAGAATATGGGAAAAATTATTCTTTTTTTTCTCTAATTGGAAATTAAAAAAAAAATTTCGAATTTTTAATATAAAATTGATGATTTTTAATAAATTTTCAAAAAAATCTAATAAAAATTTTCTAACGGAACCATTTTTCTATTATAATAGAATAGACGCGTTCGAATTTCGCCACCGGAAGAGAGCTTTTTTTTCTTTTCTTCCATAGAACCACGAGGATTCAAAAATTGATGATTTTGAAAATTGTAGGGTGAGAATTTGATGAATTTTTTTTTTCTTTTTCCATTCACACGTACCTGCAGCTCCAAGCATCGCCTCGTGCTGTAACGGAAAAGTGCCATTGTCCTTAATAATCCTGTGTGTGTGTCCTGTTCTGATTCTTCTTCACCAACTAAACCGACCCGAATACGCGGAGCTCTGGCGCCCAACTCGATCGGTGAAATCTCTTTTTGCCCCGCTGCTCACTCACGTTTCAACGCATGCGCTTCAATTCCCAAAAAGGTCGAGCAAGCGCAACGAGTAATTAAAATACACAATTCTCATTGGAGAAACAACCTTTGACGTGTCCATCACAATACCTAAATAAAAAAGAAATTCAATTTTAAAATTTAATTATTTTTTTTAAAACTATTTGATAATTATTTATTTACCCTTTTTGGAGCACAAATATTCTAGGTATTCTTCGGAAAAAACAGATTTAAAAACATAATATAAAGTAAATATTTTAATTAACAAAAAAAATTAATCTTTTTTTATTATAAATTTTTAATAAAGGATTTTAACAAATGCTAATAAAGCTTTTTGATTTAAATTATAAAATTATTTCCCATTATTCGACTCACCATACAATGTAGATAATATTTCTAATGCAATAGCATATTTTTTGTATAAAAGTAAAATTAATAATTAAAAACATGACATTTAACTGTAAGTTTCAAATTCTATAACCTTAATTTTCATTTAGAGTGAAAAACAAAAACAAAACATTTTTTTTCGAAGACTTGTTTCCATTTGATTCACATTTCTAAAATATCGGCTATTGTTGAAAGTCTGAAAAATTCAGTTTTTAAACATTATTTTTAATAGTAAAAAAAACATTACATACCTCAAAAAAATTCTTTACCGATTAAATGTAAATAAATGAAATCCATTTGCAAATCCACTTTGTAGAACTTCATTGATTAATTCTTTAGTAAATTGTTTTCCAAATTTTTCAACTTTCTCATCATTATCCTTTATTATTTCTAAAGTACTCAATAAATTTTGCGGTATCTCCACATGGCAAATTGTCGATATTTTTTTCAATGATTTATAATTTGTGATTGGAAATATTCCCGGAATTATGGGAACAGTAATGTTCAGTAATCTGCAATCTTTCACAAATTTAATAAAAATTTGAGCATCAAAAAATATTTGAGATATTATAAAATCGGCTCCTGCATCAATCTGTAAAATTATGAATTATAAATTTTATTTTTATTAATTGTAAGAAATAATTTATATTAATTTAATTTATTAGAATTTTTGTTTTCTCATAATACATACTTTTGCCTTGAGCCAAAATAAATCCTGTTCTTTAGTTTGAGATTTTGGATGCATTTCTGGATATCCAGCAACACAAATACAAAATGAATTAAATTCTTGTCGAATGAATGTAACTAAATCAGAGGCATGTGAAAATTCGCCAGGTTCTTCTAATTCCACAAAAGAATCTGTTGTGAATCAATAATTTGAAATAATTTCTAAATTATTATCATTTTTTTAATAATTGACCTCACCTCCTTGTAAAGCGAAAATATTTTTCACATTCAATTCATTGGCACGATTTAAAATTGTTTTAACGGTTTCTTTTGTTAAACCTCTCGCTGCAAGATGTAATAAAGTATTACTGGGTAATTTTTCAATAATTTTCAATGGTTCAATATTTTTAATATCCAATTTGTTTGCATTTTCTTTGCAATGCCATGTTACTGATTGAAATAATGGAAATAATTTTCTCTTCTCGTCAAAAAATCTGGAAATATAAAATTTTTTAATTCTTTTCTTTTTAAATAATAATTCATTTAATCTGATTAAAATGTTTAAATGAAATTAGTTACCTTTGATAATTTTCAAAATCTTTTTCAGAAACGAGTTCGATACTGTAGAATTTTTCTTTTTTCAAAATTGTTTCCTCAATTAATTTAATTAAATGAGTATTTTTATTTGCCATTTTCGAATAATTTTCCCAATTAAATATATTTGTATCTTTAGAAATGTCTTCTACTTTCAGTACGTTCATTATATCAAAGTAGAGAATAAACTGCGAGTTCCTTCAGATCACTCTTTATTGAATTTTGATTACTTAATCACTGAACTTTCGCAATAATGCGAATAACTGTTTTTTTTATCTAACTTTATAATAAAATTTAAATAACCAGAAAATTTTAAACTAAAAATCAGATTCCTTTAACCAAAAAAAAAACACATTAAATTTAAAATTAAATTTAAAAAAATCAAATTATTCTACCGACTTTTTTTTACTAAAATTTTTTTAATTCTCATTATCATCAGGCAAGTACAAAGTTCTACAAACTTGAGATATCGGAATGTCAAAAATTGGCGGAATGCCACCAGTAACCGTTACACATTCCGAAATTGAATATTTATCAGTAATAGTTCTTATATCATCAATATTTGGAGTAAGTAGCATATTAATTGCAGGATAAATAATAAAACCAAATAATAAAATTGCAGTTATTGCCCAAACGGGAATAGCTACTGCCCAATATTTTGAGGGCCAATAAGATAAACTTAAATAATCATTCAAAAATTCTTCGGGAATAAATGCCCATATTAAATAAAGTAAAATTAATAAATTTGATCCTATATATAATGCATAACCATAAACTGATCTTGGTGCATAAGGAGCTGGTGTATGTTCAGCCATTTTTTAAAAAAATTAATTATAAATTGCAATTATTTTTTTTTGACATTGTTAATAATTATCTGGTTTAAATTCTATTATTGTATCTAAAACAAGAAGTAAACTATCAAAATATGACGTTAGAGCTGTTCGCAATTTGCTTGCTTTCTGTCCAGTAAATGTTCTGTAAATAATTATTTGTTCCAATAAAATTTTTAAATGATTTTTTTCCTTAATTTTGGTTTAAATTTTATAATTTGTGTTTATGAAATCATTTTAGAGTTTTATCATTTTTAAATAAAATTATAATACTCACGCTTCAAGGGAATTGTTGTTGACACTTAAAAATCTTGTAGCACCACTTCTTCGTGGTCCTTTATCAACACTAATAACATCGTAGACTATTTGTGCATCTTTAACCGATGGAAATGATGTCGATACTTTTCTAACGAATTAATTTAATAATTATTCAATGACTATTTAATGAATGATTAAAATTTAAATTAAAATTCATACATTTGATAATCTTCACTCATGTCGTTTGTTGGTTGCGGTCTCAAGTGTGAAAAATCGTTGTGTCACTGCAATTAACATTCAATATTCTTATTAATGTTAATCACTTTTATTAATTTTATAAAATAAAGCACAAAAATAGATAAAAACTTGATAAAATCAACAATAGAACACTGAAAAACAGAGAAAATTATCACGCACCGTACATGTTAAATAGGTTATGTTTTTCTGCTAATTGGCGGTAATGAAAGGACAAATCTAATTGGTCAATGAGCAGACGACAAAATATTGAAAAAATATAACAAAAAATAAAGACTAATTAATTTAATTACAGTAATGAAATTAGAATGAAAAAATAAATCTTTATATAATTTAAAAATTAATTATAGTAAATTAATAATGTGAAAAGTAAATAATTAAAAAGATTAAAATTCCTTCAAGTTCATTGGATTAAGATTAACCAATGAGAATTTCGCGGTAATTTCAAACTAGATTTATAACAATTATTCATTTAACCAATTATTATTATTTAACAATTGTTAAATACAATTGTGTTTAAAAATCAGTATTAGTTTATGCAAAACATTTTTAAAAAGTAAAAGATACTTTAAAATCATTATTATATTGTTTTTTTAAATTTTGTAAATTTAAACTAGATTTTTAATAGAGTTTTTTTTATGCAAATCTTTTGTTTTAATTATTTAATTACACAAAAACTTGGATTGTATAATAAAAAGAAAATAAATTAAATATTTTTCAGTGACATCTTACAGTGAAAGTACAAACCTCAAGCTTAATGTTTTGTTGCCATGTGAGAAAGTGAAATAATAACAACGCTAGAAGACGCTTTTTGCACTCATTGTGTCATTTAAGTAATAAAGTGATTAGTTTTTTTTTAAAGAATAACAGTATTTCATAAAAAATGGGTCGTAGGAAAAGTAAAAGAAAGCCACCACCAAAAAGAAAAGCAATTGAACCATTAGATACACAATTTAACTGCCCATTTTGTAATCATGAAAAATCTTGCGAAGTAAAAATGTAAGTTTCGATTTATATTTTTGCATTTTTAATTTGACATTACTATTTTATGTTTTACTTGTATTTAACTAATTGTTTTCATGGATTTTTACTATTTTACTAATTTGATTTTTTATGTTTCAGGGATAAATCACGGAATACTGCTCGAATATCATGTCGAGTTTGTTCAGAGGATTTTCAAACAACTATAAATTTATTATCAGAACCATTAGATGTTTATAATGATTGGATAGATGCATGTGAATCAGCGAATTGACGATTTTTATTTTGAAAATGAAATAAAAATTAAAAATAATTAATGTGAATGTATTGTTGAACCTGTCACTATACAAATGGGTTATATTTAACAATAATCAATGTTTTTGTTTATTTTTTAGTGTTTTTTTTTGAAAAAATAAATGGCCAATTCTTTAATAATTTGTTTTTACTCCAATAATCCTTTTTTTATTGTTTAAGATATATAAAAAAATAGTAATTATTCATGAAATGACAACTTAACCTCAAACTGTCAATTATAGAGAAAAATTTTAAAAACCATACCTTATGTTGTCATTTGTATTAAATTAAATAAATTAATTCTCCTTCTTTATATTTATTGATTCACTTAAAGATTTATTAATTTCAGTGGTAAAATTTAAAAATAAATAAAATAAACTCATTTCATGTTAAACCCAACCGGATAGCGGAAGTGCGTAATCCTTGGTATATAAAGAAAAACAAAATGGCGAGCGTCTGTATGGCGGTACACTCAGTAGTAAAAGTTCGACTAAAAAAATGCCGCGGAAAGTGAGAATTACCTAGTCGTTCATGCAATTATTCAAGTATTTTGACTGTGTTTCAATTATACAATAGTGTTAAATAATATCAAGAATAAAGGAGAATGCCATGGAGGAAATAAAACTTTTCTCATAATTCTCGGGACGAGAGTCATTTGTGATTTTTCAGACATTGGTGGGTCGGTGATCGTCGCGGCGAACAACGACGCTATGGCGTCCGTCGTGTATGCGTGTCATTATATTTAATTTCTAATTAACAAATAATAAAATCAAAATTCTCGTCATTAATTCATTTGTATACATTGTCAAATTTTTCAAAAAATAATACAGTCAATTATCGTGAATCATTGTGCTTCTCATCGCCGGATGTGATTGATGAAAAACAAACTTTGTGTCTGCTTCTACCCTGTTCTATCCCCAATTGACAGATCCCACCCCAATTCAAGTAAAGGACGATGTACTCGATATCACTAATTGGAGTTGAATTTTTAACATTAAACTCATCTTCAAGAGATGAAAAGTATTCTCGAAGTGATCCTTGAAATACAATTACACTCAGTGTGTTTGGTGCTTCTCAAGAATCAAGACATTTGTGTTTCGACAATTACAATAGAATCGTCTCGTTCACTGAAAGATTTCTCGTGAATTGTTTTTTGCTTCATTGTTGTTTGTTCTTTTTTGACTTTATGGAATTGAGATAAATAATTTAACAACAATTTTAACAGGTATGAAAATTTCTAATTTTTCTAATTTATGTTTCATGTGTTAGTGATGTAAAGAAGTAGTAGTTAGAAAATAATTTTTATTTACTGATATTTACAATTTTTTTTTTTAATATTTTTAATTGCATTAATTAACTGTAGTTGTTGACAATTGATGAATGACATTTGTAATTTTGATACTGATTTTTTTTTTTGATTACAAAGAAAATTTGTATAATTTGACTATTTTATACTGTTTACAGAAGGATAATTACAATGAATGTTTATTTCGTAATGAAAACATATAATGAAAAATTTCTAGTTGCATTTGAATCAATATTAATAATTTTTAAAAATTAAAACTAAAAATGTTTTCGATTCGTTTGGCTATAGTTTCATCAGCGTTTTAATCAACGATTATGTCATTCACCTCAGGACCGAGTAATAACACAAAAGAAAATCTGTGAATATTTATCTAAATTTTTAACCTTGATATACAAGATTTGAATCTACTAAAGAAATAATTATTTTTAAAAAATTTTAATCGAAATTTTTTTTTTTTTTTTTCATTGTAAAATTTTTGTTTCAGCTGATAATTAGAAAAACACATGGAATTCAGATGAAAGAATAGACGATTTAAAATATAGTCAGAATGTCAAATAGTTTGGATAGTTTTTTAACACGAATTGGAGATGTGACAATTGAAAGAGTCACACCCCGTGGTACAGCTCGTGTTCCTGAGCAAAATGTTATTCCATCTGATGCATCAATGAGTGTTAATTTAACGCCAATTTGTCCACCACGTCGGCTTCATGATCAAAGTTCAGATGATTCGAGTGGCGAATTATCGGATGGTGATTTAGAGAAAAAAAATCGAGCACTTCATCTTGACGAAATGGATGATATTCATGCGGAATGTTCAGCTGACGATATGGATTTAGATGAAACTATTGATTCGCAAATTGGCGTCAGAATGGATTCAGAAAGGCAGCACAGAGGTTCATCGTTATTAGATGAGGATGAAATCGACGACGATGACGATGATGATGTTGAGGGTGTGAATATTTTGGACACTCTTCCTTTGGAAGGTTTGTGGGAAATTTAGTTATTTTTTTGTAATTTAATTTGAAAATGATTAATTGGTATTTTTTTTGTAGGTGCGCCAATTGAGGGTCAAGAGGTGACTGAGGCGGATCTTTTAGGAAAGCCATTGTTAAAGGAAATGGACGATGAGGATGAGATTGAAAAAAGTGAGACACAGTCGGGAGATGAGGAAGGACACAAAAGACATGCAGATTCCGATGGTTCAGAGTCAGCGATGAAGAAGCAAAAAATTGATGACGATGATGACGATTCAACATCGGAGTGTGAGACAAAAATGGAAAAAAAGTTGGCGAACATGAGGCGAAATATTCGTGAGGTAATGGACGAGACACAACTTGATGAGGCGACACTATCGGCCCAACGACAGGAAATGGAACGTCTTCGTCGTGTTCAGGAACAGCAGAAAATAATACGTGAGGTACAACGTCAAATAGCAATTAATCGACAAAATAGTAAAACCCAAACACGCGTTATCAGTCTCTTGCAAGGTAAAAATCAAGCAGGCACTACAATTTCACAAACTTCACCTTCATCATCTCAGGTTCGTGTTCCTAGCACCGTTCTTCTCAAAGTGAATTCTGGCTCTGGCGCTGGCTCACAATGTTCAAGTCAAAATCAATCGGGACAGATGAGAAGGCCCATGGAGGGAATGAAGTGGCAGAAAGGACGCGGTGCTTTTCAAGGTGCACAGACATCAATTTCAAAAGTACAGAGCAAACAATCGAGCAGTGGGCCAAGTATGCTGCAACAACGAATCCGAATGATGACACCATCCGTAAGTATTTCTCCAGTTGTTCCCAAGAAGGAGCCAACTGATAGATCAGAGTATTATTCAGATTCCGATTTTTCGGATGCCGAAGTGGATGAACAATTGCAGGAGAAACAAATGCACACGATCAAAAAAATGTCAAATGTACCAAAAATGCCAAAACCACCGAAAGGTAAGGACGTAGTGACAATATCGAGTTCAAGTGAAAGCTCAGACGATGATTGTATAGTATTGAGCGATCCAAGTGGAGGTGAAGAAACTGACAACGATGATGATCCTGCAAATTCGGGTATGCATACAAATGATCGTTACAATATTCCCGATGAACATGGTCGTGTATTGATCAACGTCGGTCATCCAGACACCGAGCCTGATGTATTTCTAGCGCCTCAAGTTGCAAGAATCATCAAACCCCATCAGGTCGGTGGGATTCGATTTCTTTTCGATAATATCGTTGAAAGTATCGAGAGATATCAAACAAGTTCCGGTTTTGGTTGTATTCTCGCTCACAGCATGGGTTTAGGTAAAACACTTCAAGTCGCCAGTTTTTGTGACATTTTTTTTCGATGCACCACTGCAAAAACGGTCCTCTGTATTATGCCAATAAATACTCTACAAAATTGGTTAGCCGAATTTAATATGTGGTTGCCGTATGAGGATCCAAATGCACCAAAACCAGAACCAATCGTTAAAACGGAACCCAGCGTTGATGTTAAATCAGAAATCAAGGAAGAAGGAAATCACAGTGAATTAAATACATCTGAAAGTACAAATCAAGAGAATCCGAATATTTTGCATGAAAATGCATTTCAAAATCAATATAATGCTCATAATGTGATGACTGGATTTGGACCCGATGGTCTAATAAACAAAGGTATCGAACAAAATTCTCTAAATTCAAATTTCCATGGTAATATGAATCCAAATTCAGTTTATGGATCAAATGTCAATTCAATGCCAAATTATACTTCAATGAATCCACCAAATATTCCGGGTAATAATTTTGGAATGAACAATCCAGGTAATATGTATCCCAATCAAATGCAACCGCAAATTTATCCAGGAATGGAGAATCGTCCTGGACAAGTTTATCCTGAAATGAATCCATCAGCAGCTAATCCAATGAATCCTCCCGTGAATCCTATAAATAATTCCACAAATCCATCGGTGAATTCTTCAATGAATCCTCCAAATAATCCAGGAATGAATCCAACGATCTATAATTATGGAAATCAAGCCCAAACATACAACTTTGATCCGGCTAAAGAATCGAAAAATGAAGCTGATCAAAATAAAAAAGAATTGGATGAATCGATTAAAAAAAATGAGACAGATGTGAAAGGGGAAAAAGTAAAAACTCCCTATATGGTGGATGCTCCTGCAGGTTTAGAAATAAGACCCCGTCATTTTCGACTTCATATTCTCAATGATTCGCACAAAACAATGACTGCCAGATCAAAGGTGATTAAAGACTGGCAAAAAAATGGAGGTGTACTACTAATTGGTTATGAATTGTATCGACAATTATCGTTGAAAAAAACAAATAAAGCAAAACGAAAACGTGGCCAACCTGTCAAGGATTTAGACGTTGAGGAAGATGATAAAAATAAAGGATTATTGGAAGAGATGCATTCTGCATTAGTGAATCCTGGACCGGATTTAGTAATTTGTGACGAAGGTCATAGGATTAAAAATTCACATGCAAGCATTAGTTTAGCTTTAAAACAAATGAGAACAAAACGTAGAATTGTCTTAACTGGTTATCCATTGCAAAATAATTTATTGGAATATTGGTGTATGGTCGATTTTGTAAGACCAAATTATTTAGGTACAAAAGCTGAATTTTGCAATATGTTTGAAAGACCAATTCAAAATGGTCAATGTATTGATTCAACACCTCAAGACATTCGATTAATGAGATATCGTGCTCACGTTTTACATGCACTACTCGAAGGATTCGTTCAAAGAAGATCACATTCCGTTTTGCAGATATCACTGCCAAGAAAAGAAGAATACATTCTCCTTGTAAGAATGACACCACATCAACGTAAACTCTACGATACATTTATGAATCAAGTGGTAAAAACCCGTGCCGTTCCAAATCCACTAAAAGCATTTGCTGTTTGTTGCAAAATTTGGAATCATCCCGATGTTCTCTATCATTTTCTTCGCAAACGACAAGCCAATGAAGAGGACGATCTTGATTTAGAAGAGACAATCGGTGAAAAAACACCTCCAGGTGGTGCTAAACGAACAAAAGCACGTCAAACAAAAGGCGAAGGTAAAAAGGGAAAGAAAACAATGAAAAATAAACCCGCAGCCAGTGTACAACCAAATTCATCATCAACAACAACAAATAACGATAATATCGAAGGCGATAATAATTCCACAAAATCAGGAAATTTACCAAATTTCCCAACACAACAAAAAAATCCCCAATTTCCAAATGTTGGCTCATCAAATTATCCCTATCAAAATTATCAACAAAATGAAAATTATTTTCGAAATGACAATTCACAGGGTGAATTTGGCGATTTTTATCCTAATCAAGATCAACAAAGATTTGGTAATCAAAATTTTCAACAATATCCACCGGGCTATAATAATAATTCAAATCAAACTTATCCAAATCAACAGAATTACATTCAAGGTGGCAATGATCAATCATCAAATCGAAATCAACGATTTCCAACGCCAACAAATCCTGAATTTCGTTCCGAACAAAATCAGAATAATTTTGAATCTGGTATTTATCCAAGACAACAAAATTATCCCTATCAAGATCAAGCTCGCAATTATTCAAATATAAATCAAGAGCAAAATTATCCAAATCAAAATTCCAATTTCCCACCACATCAGACGCCAATTTCTGATTATTCCACATTTCCGAATAATCAGAATCAAAATTATCCCACTGGAACTCAACCAAATGCAAATTATCCACGAAATGAAAATCAATCAACTCCACTTAATTATGGACCCAATCAACAAAATAATACATCCAATAATCAAGGATTTAATCAAAATCAAAGTGGAATTGTACCAAATCAACGTCCTTATCAACAAAATCAGAATATTCCTATTCAAAATCAAGGTCACTATACACAAAATCAAATTGTTTCAAATTCACCCTCGGTTAATTTCCCCGGCAATCAAAGTGGCAATTTTCCATCATCAACGAATCAAATTCATTATGGACAAAATTCAAATCAAGAAATTCCAAATCAGAGAATGGGACAAAATCAAGCAATTGCCACCAATCAGGGATTAAATTCAAATCAAGGACATCAGGGAATGTCTCAAAATTCGAATTTACAACAAAATCCTTATTCTGGCAATCAAACGAATCCCACTTCACAAAATCATGGTTATCAAAATCATATGTCACAAAATAGACCATCATCGTCATCATCATCATCATCGAATCATGGATATTCAGGACAACCGGGACAATCGGGTTCTGTTCCAGGACAAATACAGGGTCATAGATATCCTCTTAATCAACCGAATCAAGGAACAAATATCTATCCACCGTCGCAGGGTCAAAATCCCTCAATTGCGCAAAATAATCAAATTTATCCAAATTCCGATAGTCAAAATCAGAATTTTGTCTCAACATCCACATCAACATCGAATGCTAATCCAAATGAAAATTATCAAACACAAAATCCACGACCATCATCGTCATCAGTAATGTCAAATTATTCCAACGATGGTAATCATTCAACACAAGGATCACAATTTAAGGATCCAAATGATCCATTTTGGCAGCAAAATTATTCACAAATAAGACAAGATGATACATATTTCCGTGAGCCAAATACTGTAAATCGATTTCAAAATAATTATTTCCCACAGCAAAATTATCAAAATCAATCGTTTGAATATTCTGGAAATCGTGTTGGTGATGTGAATCAAAGAACAGATGATACAAAAGCACCACGTGGGAATACTGCTATTCATATGCAGAGTGGAAAAGATGTCAATAGTATTGGAGTTCAAAGTCAACCATTGATGCCAAACAATGCTGCCGGCAGAGGTGGTTACAGTGGAACGGATTCAATGCCACGTCCAATGAATCCATGCATTGGAAATAATAATCCAATGAATCAAATGGATTCATTGAAGGACGATGAGAAGGAAAAAGATGAGACTGCCGAGAAGGAGAAGGAGGAAAAATCCGATGATGAAAATCTTACCAAAGACGAGGAGAAGGATCTTAAATGTTCTCCAAGTGGAAAAGAAGATCCTGGAATACCATATGATTGGGTAAGTTGATTTAAATTTTATTATTAATATTTTTATTATTATTTTTATAATTATTTTTATAATTATTACAACAATAATTTTTTTCAGGCCACTGAATTAATGAAAGGCTACGTCCCAGGATTGATTGATGCATCAGCGAAAATGACACTCTTCTTTTGTATCCTGGAAGAAGCGATACGCCTTGAAGATCGTGTTCTCGCATTTTCTCAATCGCTATTCACATTGAATCTCATAGAAGACTTTTTAGCTAGAAATAATTTTAAATATCCCGATGGCACAACGGACGCTTGGGTAAAAAATGTGAATTATTATCGATTAGATGGGAGTACAAGTGCATTGGAAAGAGAGAAATTAATAAATGAATTTAATATTAATCCAAAAATACATCTCTTTCTTGTATCAACGCGAGCTGGCTCATTGGGAATTAATCTCGTTGGAGCTAATCGTGCAATTGTATTTGATGCCTCATGGAATCCATGTCACGATACACAAGCTGTTTGTCGTGTTTATCGATATGGTCAAAAGAAACCATGTTTTGTATATCGATTAGTAACTGACAATTGTTTAGAGAGAAAAATTTACGATAGACAAATTAGTAAACAAGGAATGGCTGATCGTGTTGTTGATCAATGTAATCCGGATGCTCATCTTTCATTGAAAGAAGCAACCACGCTCTCTTGGGAATGGGAGGAAGACAGTCAAGTACAAGATTTTTCACAAACAAAAGATAGTTATACTGATGAAGTGATGCATACAGTTTTAGATAAACATTCATCATTATTGACAAAACAACCATTTCATCATGAGAGTCTTCTTGTTGATCGTAAGGACAAGAAACTTAGTCAAGCTGAAAAACGTTTGGCACGACGTGGTTATGAATTAGAGAAAATGGCAGCTAATTGCTCACGTCCTAGTTATAATTATGTTCCTGGAAACACTGCCACAAGAGGTGAGATTGAATTAAATTTTTGGAAATTTATTTTTTATTAATAAAAAATAATTAATTTTTAGCCGGAGGACTGCAAATTAGAGCAATTCGTGGTGCAGGTGCTGGAGGAAATGGAGGTGGTGTAATTGCCCCAGGGGCAATGAGTCCAGCAGCTGGCGATATGGGACCAACGCCAAAACCTGTCGCTTCTGTGAGACCAATGCAACAACGAGGAGTCGAAGGTGTTGGACCAAGAAGTGTTACTGGAAGTCGATGGATTCCCGCTGAAGTCTGGCAGAGACAAGGCATGAGTGCTCAAGAAATGACACTTCCATTGGATGTTGTTATTCCCACAAATTCACCAGACAAAGGCAGCATTGTTCTAAAAGCCGGACAACGAGTTATGGTCCTTAAGAGTCCAAAGGGTATTTACATGCAACTTGAGTCCGGCAAAATTATTGCGATTCGAACAGCCCTTAAATTAAATCAACAAAAACGGGAAGACGAACCCAAAAAAGGTATGAATTAAAAGTCAAAATTAATTCATTATTCAAATATTTATTAAACCGATTTATTTTCAGGCTTGGCCTCAATGATTCAAAGAAATTCCAAAGCCGAAGTTGGTTTTCCATTGCGTAACAATGCGGCGATTTCAATAATACCAAAATCATCATCGAGTGCCCAAGGTACACGACCACCGCCAAAATCAAATCCCGCTCCAGGATATAGACCGTTCGCCGATAAAGAAACATCGAAAAAAATAAAACCAATTGCTACAGCGACTGCAAAACCATATACAAGTCAAATGAATCTCACAAATCAAGTTTCCCTCTCGAGGCTACCGAGAGTTAAACAAGAACCCCTTGATCAAGCATCGCTTGGCGAAAATTCAAATTCCTCCGACGGATCATTAAGATCCGATCAAAGAGTCGAGGAAGTTAGACTCGAAGATGTTGTTGCCGAAGTGAGTTCCAACGAATACAGCCGTCCCACTCGTCCCATTCATTCCACAAATCAAAAATCCTCACTAATTAAATCACAACATTATCCAACTGACAATGTTTCATGTGTCCAAAATGTACAACAACCAGAATTACCGCCAAAAATTGATAAACCACCACAACCATCATCATTATCCGAATCGAAAGAAATCAATCCTCCCGCTAATCAATTCCAACCAAATTTTCCCAAACAAATGAAGATCAATGAGGAGGCATCGATTTCAGCCCCCCCTCCATCCATTCAATCATCAGTTCCATCGCAAGCAATTCCAATTGAAGCGGCAAATACAAGTAAAAGTTCCGATTCACCAACAACAGCAACAGAGCAAGATATTCCTCAACCTGATATTCATGGTGGTTATCCATACGCACAATATCCAAGGTATTATGATTATGCAGATCCAAGATCGAGATCATTGGGAACGCCGTATGGAAATTATTTTCCTGGACCACCACCTCAATCTGGTAATCCAAGACAAGATGGTACAAAGACAACACAGTCTGATTTACCAAAGCCAGCTGATGAGACACAAGTGACGACGAATAAAGTAGCAAATACATTTGTTCCACCTTCGAATTTAAATTCAACGCCAATAGAGACAAAGGAGGCAAAATCAATTGAAAGTACTGGCAGTCCGTCAACAAATACAACGGCAAATAGAGATGAAAATCTTCCATCAACTACTGCCTTTACACATCCAACAGCTACTAGATATCCGGCACCATATCCTCCAGCTCCATATGATCCCTACGCTCAACATTATCCACCGGCTCCTGGATCATCGGCCGCTTATCCTCCTGGCAGTGAGTAGTTTATAAAAATTTACAGTTACATAGCCTTGGCTTATGACTTTTTATCCGACATATTTTAATAGAATTCAATTTTTTCGAGTTTTTTTCTTTTTTTACAAAATTCTATTTCCAATAATTTTAATGAAATTTTTTCACAAATTCTATTATTTTAAACTATTTTTCAATTAAAAATTTTAATGAAATTCAATAATTGTTTGGAAGTATTTGGAATTTGGATTCCAATGAATTTGGAAAATTTTAATTATAAATCACTTGAAATTCAATTATTTTATTTATTTATTTATTTATTTATGTGGGTAGTAATAGTAATTTTATTTATTTCTAAAATTTTTAACCACAATTTATTCTCTACTTTTTGAAAATAATTCTAAAATTCTTCAATTTTTAATAGATTTAATAAGATTTTTTCACAAATTCAAATATCTTAAACTATTTTTCAATTAAAAATTTTAATGAAATTCAATAATTGTTTGAAAATTTAAAAAAAGTCATCAAATAAAATTAACAAAAATTTTAATTATAAATCACTTGAAATTCAATTATTTTATTTATTTATTTATTTATGTAGGTAGTAATAGTAATTTTATTTATTTCTAAAATTTTTAACCACAATTATTCTCTATTTTTTGAAAATAATTCTATAATTCTTGAATTTTTAATAGATTTAATGAAATTTTTTCAAAAATTCAATAATTATCTTAAACTATTTTTCAATTAAAAATTTTAATGAAATTCAATAATTGTTTGGAAATTTAAAAAAAGAATCGTCCTAAAAATTACCAAAAATTTTAATTATAAATCACTTGAAATTCAATTATTTTATTTATTTAGTAATGAAATAATATATAATTATCTAAAATTTCAATTTCAAAATCTAAAATTTATTCAATTAAATTATTATAAATAAGGGAAAATTGATGGGGAAAATTATATTGTAAAACAGAGAAAGTGTACAATGAAGAAAAATAAATCTATTTAAAATTTATTTATTTCTAAAATTTTCCATCTAAAACTTTTTGAAATTTAATAATTTTAACTGTATACCTAATTCTTCCAAAATTCAATTATTTTTAATGATTTTTATAATATTCTTCGAAAATTCAATTATCTAAAAGCATTTTACAATTAAATTATTTTAAATTTTATTTTTTTTCTATAATTTCTAATAAATTCTCCAGCAACATGAATCACTAAAAATTTCAATTAAAAATTACTTCAAGTTGAAAATTAATTTTAGGGTTTGGAATTTGTTTTTATAGTTTTGTGTAATTAAAATAATTTTAAATAAATTTTTTTAGTTAATTTAAAAAAAAAAAAAGTAATAATTATAATTATTGTAAATAAAAAAATAAATAATAATAAATAATAATAATAAATATAAATAATATAATAATAAATAATATTTTTTTTATTATTGTAAATTTCAAAAATTCAATTATTTTTTAAAAAATGTTAAAATTATTTAATAAATTATTTTTAATTCTGTAAAATTTAATTTATTTTAATTGAACAAAATATTTTTTAAAATTCAATTATTTAAAAAAGATTCAAATAAAAACTCTAAAAATGAATTGTTTTCAGAAAATTTTAAAAAATGCAACAGTTTTTAATTACAGATGAAAAAAATCATTAATTAAATTAATTATGGGTATTATTATCATTAATTTATTAATTATCATTAACTATGGTTAAGAAAAAAATACAAATTAACGCCTTGTTCATCAGGTGCTCCGGGCTATCCAGCCTATGGTGGACCAGCTTACAATGCAGATTACGCTCGTATGTATTCACCATTCCATGGACCACCGCCAGCTGCGGATCCCTATATGCATAGAAGTTATGCTCCACCACCTTCTGCACATCCCCCTGGATATTATCCCCCATTCCCACATCCTCCACCTCCTTATCCTAATTATTCCTTCCTACCACCATATCCAAATCCCAATATGCCCTCTGAACCTCAACCACCCCCTCAGTAAAAATCGAACAAATTGATAGAAATGAAAGAAAAAAAAAAGGAGAAAAACGAATATCCAATGGCTGTTGAAGTTCGAAGATTAATAGACTGAAATGTGTAAGAAGCGTCGAAAAAATGAGCAATCAGTCGCAATTATCGCATCGAGGATCATCATCATCATCATCATAATCATCATCAACTTCGTTGTCAAGTAAGAATAAAAAAAAAAACCCCCTGTGCAATCGTGTGTGTTTTTAAAAAAAAATTTTTTTCTCGGTTCGTTCATCGCGACTGACTCTCTATTAATATATATATACATAAATGCATATATATAAATATATTAGAAATATATTAATTATGACGTTAGAGACTCTTCGATTTGATCTTCTAAAGAAATCGAGAGTATATTTTTTTCTTTATATATATTTTTTTTTAAAATAGAAAATTTTAGTTAAATTAAAAATCAGAATTTATATTATTTAAAAACTTTTTATCATGAAACAATTTATACTAATTGAAATAATTTATATTAATTATAAACAATTTTGTATATTTATTGAAAAAGAAAATAGTTGACATTAAATCAAAGTAAATTTTTAATAATTTAAGGACGTGATTTAATTCATTTGCGAACTGGAAGTACAGTATGTATTTTGTTGTACTTGAAAAGAAAAATTTACACGTGACACTTAATTTTAGGATGTCAGTCGAGGAGTAACTAAAGTCATTCGTAAAAAAAAAAAAAAAAAAAAATAATGTGAGACACAAGAAATAATATTACAAAATAATGCTTCGAATATTTGCAGCTAAAATCATTTTTTTATACATCTCTTCTATAGAAAATATAAAAAGTTGTCAAAACTTGATATATTGAAACTTCATAGCTGTGCACAATTTACTCCAATATATGTATAATCCGTAGACAAAATGAAACAATTATGTGTCACAAAAAAAAAAAAAATCTCAAACTGAATGAAAATTAACGATTAGTTTTTTTTCGTTATTTTTTTTTTAAATCTTTTAACGCTCCTTTATTAAAATTTATTGGTGCTTGATGAACTTTTTTTTTTTTTTTTTTATTTAGAATGCTTGCTAATTTTTAGCAAAAAAAAAAGAAAAGAATTATATTTAGTCGGTGTTGTGATGACAAATTTAATGTTATTCTTCGATATTTTTGTTCTTCTGATTGAAATATTTCATTCAGTTATTCAGATTATTATTTTTTATTTTATTTTAACGGTCAATGGAAAGATATAAAGTTATGATATTTTTTTTATTATTATTATTATTATTAATATTATTATTAATTATTAGATAAACATTGTAAATATTTTTGAAAATATCGATATTTTTTATTCGTTTCTATTGATACGAATAATGAGACAATTTAGTTTAATGATGACTAGAATTTTAGATTATTTTTTATTTAAATTTTCTTCTTTGAATCTTGCCTTCTTTAGTAAAAGCAAACGTAAAATGAAATATTTCTTTCATTTATTATCATTTTTCTTTTTTTTTGAGTCGCATGTTTATTCTCAAATAATTGAATTTTCTCAAATATAAAATGTTGAATAATTTTTTATTTCACTGGAGTTTAGTAAATTAAATAATTTTCACTAAACCAAATGATAATGAATTGAAATAAAAATGGAATTTAATTTCATATAACTGAAAAATATTTTTTATTAATTTAATAAAAATTAATTAATATTAAACTGAAAAAAATTATTTATTTTTTATTTCGATTTGAGGGAATTTAATTATTTGAAGAATATAAAATTTGGAAAAATAAATTTTTTTTTTTTTTTTTTTTTTCGTAAAATCATGTAGGCCAGAATTCATTGTACACGCATTAATTATTCAGTATTCACACTCTTTGAGACATTTAGCAGCCAGTAAAGAAATTACAGCCTCTTTGTCGAGTTGTATATGACTAGGTATTACTATACTAAACGTTACGATTTCTTAAAATAAAATTAAAAAAAAAAAAAATTTAGATAATCTTTTGGTAGTTTGTAGGATTGTTGTTAATTAGGAGTGTCCTACAATTTATTATTAGTAATTGTCGTGGGACTTAACTAAAAAGAAACAAAAAAAAAAAAGGTAAAATGGACAAAAAAAAGAAAACACAAAAAACAAACATTTTAATGAGAGGGGCCACGATATTCAATATTAAATTTCTCTTCGACTCCTACTGTGATATTTTTATCTCAATCTCGTGCCTATTAATTTTCAACTTGTATTTTGCCTTAGAGCAATAATTTATTATTTTTTTTTATTAACTGTGATTTTTGTAATAACGCACTCTTGAAAAAAAAACAAGATAAGACGAAAATGTTAGATTTATTTATTTATTCTTTTTTTTTTTGCATTTAATTTTTGTTGGAATAATATGTGGAGAGGGGGGAGAGGGAAAAAAAACGAGTGAAAAGACACGAGATTTTTTTATCGACTTTATAAAATGGAAAATGCAGAGCAAAAATGTCTGAATGTCGTGGCACTCCCTTAAAATATTATTAACGATTAATTAATGATAGAGCAGTATATTCACGCTGGTACATTATTATTTGCGTGTCTTCCTATGAATCTTTTGCTTGTTCGAAAAAAAATAATTTTTTTAAAATACCATTTTTTAAAAAATACAAAAAGGGTATTTTTCTCCTTTTTACAATAAAAAAATTCTCCCCGAAAAATAAAAAGAAAGGAAAAAAATTAGGAAAAATTATGATGACGCTGCATTTCATCAACTATTATAGAAATTGTTGTGACACAATTTTATATAAGTTTTAATTGTAAATGTACAGGTATTAAGTGTCAAATGGCAGCGTTTTATGATTAAATGAAAATAATATTTGAAAAAAAACAAGCAAAAGAATCCATTGGTGTAATTTACGATAATGATGAGAAAGAACTCTGTCTCTGTTATAGCTTTTTGCCATTTACAAAACTTGTAAATATCCATTATTTACATTTCGTACTTTATTTATTTACATTTAAAAATATCAATTTATTACATTTTTTTTTTTTCGATAAGTCGAAATATCACTTTTCTGTAAAATAAATTGTTCGCATTATGATTGATTGATGATTGTTTTTCATCATATTATTGTTATGAATGAGGAAATCGAAGCTATACATAAAAAAAAAAATATATATATAAATATAAATATATATATATTAAATATATTATACATATTATCTTGTTTTTAAGTCGTTTACCTTTGTATGAAACAAAAATGAGAAAAAAAAAAAACAGTAACATCACGTTACGAAAAACTGCCTAGGATCTATTTGAATGTCACTACGATGTGAAAATTTAGGGCTGTAATTAAAAAAAAATATATATACCCTAATAATACAAGTTCAAAGATATATTTCAGGTTGTATTTATTATCCTTCCAAAATTCCGAATAATTTATTAATCCTTTTTTATGTTTTTTTTTAATTTAAGGAGTTATTGGAGGATTTTATTTTTATTTTCAATCGAGAGAAGTTTTTTTTGTCAAACTACAACCAATTTAGTAAGTATTGATGATGAAAAATTTATTTTTTGTTTGTTAATTGAAATAAAAAATTTTAATATCGTTTTTTTTTGGTGACTGATATTATTTAGAATCGTCATTGAAAGAAGAAAAAGAAACTGCAGTGATTAGAAAATAAACTACAATCAACTACGTTTAAGACCACAATTGATTGAAAATATTTGTATTGGAAATGATTTAAGAATCGATTAGAAACTAGGAGAAAAAGAAGATGGAAATTAAAATTATTGTGAATTAAAACTACAGGATAACATTTGAAATTATGGATTGGAAAAATTATTCCGATAAAGGAATTCATTTTTGGAAAAAAATATTAATTGAAACTACAAAAAATTATAATTACTACTGCTACCATAAATTGAGATAACGATATCTGGAAAATAAAATTGTAAGTATTGTAATATATTTTTTACTTTTGAAATTAATTCCTTGGAATTTATAATTTTGATAAATTGTTTTTTTTCTGTTATAAAAATAGAAGAAATAGAAATTAGTGAAAAGATATATCTTTTATTGAAAATTGAACATAAATGAAAACGCTGCGTTTACTCTTGTCTTCAACAATAACATAATTAGTCGATTGTGACAGTAATTTACTGTCAAGTGGTAGTCTTCCGCTTTTCATTATGATCATCCACAATAACTCGATTCTATATTTAGACAATTCTCTTTATTTTTTTTTTTGTTTCAAAAATTTTCGATTATTTTACGTTTATAAAAAAAAAAAACATTTTACATTTGCGATACTAATAAAGTAATCGGGCGCCTTTTTTTTTAAATCTTCATCGGCGGTCGATTATATCACGTTTTCTTTGCAAATATTAGTCTTTTATAGTAATTTCATTGAGTGCCTATTGTTCAACTTGGAAAACATGTTTACATTCTTTCTTTTTTAAAATGATCATCATGATCTATTTTGAAATTTCGATTTCTTCCTCTCAAAGTAATTATGTTTGTTTAAAAAAAAAATGTAAACTTATTTTTTAGAATAATTTTTGAAAATTTTTATTCATTTTAGTAATAATTTTAATTTGTGTTTCAAATCGGAGAAAATTGAATTTATATTTGTAATTTGAAAAAAAATTTAATTATAATGAAATTAATATTATTCGTGTTTGATAAGAAACATAATGTAATTTTGAGGGGAAAAAAAAGAATTAGTAATGAAAGGAGAAATGGGGATGATTTTAAGTTTATAGTTTCGAAGATCGATGGAATAACAATTATAGTGATTGATGGTATCATGAAGGTGTTTGCCGCAAATATCAAACAATTCATTTCTCATTGTGTATTTTACTTTGCATTTCCTTCAAGTATATAATGAGATTAATGAAAGATATTTCCTTTTTAAAACATTTTTGTCAATTTTAATTTAAACATTTTTTTTTCACATTTTTCGAAATTAAATTTATAGATTAATGGAAAGGAAAAATAAATATAAAATTACAATTTTATTATTTTAATACTTTCTAGATTAAAAGCTAATTAAAAATTTTTGCCTATCGCTTTTTTTTTATTAGTCATTATTGTGTTTAATTAAAATAATCTTTCGAATATTGTTATATAGATCTTTTTTATACTCGAACATTATATTTTTCATAATGAATAGGTGTTTTCTATTTAATTTTAGAAAAAGATGAAGGCTTTTATTTTGGGAATAGAAAATTTATTAAAGGAAATGCGTTAAAAAGGAGAAATACGAGAAAAAAAAGGTGGTTTTTTATTACGAGATAAGAAATTAAAAGGAAAGTAGGAATATATTCTGAATAGGCAGGCGCACTACTCCTTGCTGTTTAATACCATCAGTTTTTCACTATTCAGTTCAGTCAGAACTTCGGTGCCGCGAAATACATAAAATATATTCATAATAAATAAACAAAACATATCAAATTTATTAATTTTTCGAATTAAATTTAAAAAAAAAAATAAATTAACAAAATTCTTTCTTTTTCAACAAAAAAATAAAAAAAGTTTTTTTTATTTAAATTTAACATAATAAAAAAATTATTTATTATTATTAATTATGATAATATTAAATTATTATTAAGATTGAAGTAAAAAAAGAAATTTTAATGAAAACAAACTTTTTAAATAAAAGGAATTTCAATATTTTTTTTTTTACATAAAAAATATATTTAAAAATAGATCGAAATTATAAAAAGGAAATCGTTTTTATAAAACAATAACAATGTTTACATACATATTTTATAAAGTGACGGATATATCTCTCAACGGCTTGTGCGCTTTATGAAAATTTAAAGTGACAGTTAAATATTTTTAAATTATTTAGAATAAAAATTAAAATAAGTGATTATAATTATTTTTGACTTTCAAGACCAATATAGAAGACTGCTTTTAATGTGAGTTATTACATTATCAAGAATTTATTATTGTAAATTGTATTTTTTATTATGAAGAATTTTGTTTAATTTTATAATATATAACATTGAAAATGATAATTCCAAAAAATATAAATACTGAGGAACTAATTTGAAAGATTAACAAATTTTTGTTTATAATTTTTGAATTTTCTAAACGAATTACATTTTTAAAAATTTATATTTTTCTATTGTGTAATTTTTTTCAAATTAATATTTTTTAATTAATATATTTTAATTTAATATCAATAATCATTTGAATAAAGGGAAAATATTTCTTCTTTAAAAAAAAAATAAATAATTTTTTCAAATTCAACTCCATTTCCTCATGTAAGACAGAGGGTTTATTGCGCGAAATGGGATATAAAAGTGGTCCATGACATTTTATACAATTCAGAGGAGTTCACAGAGGTATTTTGCAACTGACATTCCTCCAAAGAGGAAAAAAAAAAGAAAACAGAAAAATTGTAGACTGTATAAACTTGAAGGAATCGATAGGATATGGAAATGAAAGCTCTATCTCTCTCTCTTATTTTTTTTCTCGATAAAAAAGAAATTGAAATGGAAATTTTTGTAGATATCAAGCAAATAGGTACCTGTATTTGACTGACAATTTCATTCGATTTTGCCAACGTCAGAAATACCAGAATTTTTTCTTTGTGCAATTTTTCGTGATTCGCTTTTAATTTTTTTCTCAAAAGCAATTTTGCATAATGAATCCGATTTTTTTTTCTTTAAAAAAAAATTATTAATAAAATAAAAAAAAATAAATAAAATAAATTAAAATAAATTTTTAAAAATTTTATTTTATGATTTAATTTTAATTAATATTTTCTCTATTTAAATTAATTGCAAATTAAAATTTTATTAATTAAATTTTTTTCGCAATTAAAACTAGTTGAACGTTCTGAAGTATTATTTTTTCTTGAAAACAAAAATAGATCGGAAAAAGCTGAAATATAATTGATCAATTTAGACCTCCCCTAAGAAAAAGAAGAAGTAACTTAATAAACTCACCTAATTCTTTAACATAGTTTTTACTATAATTTTTTTTTTACTAGAAAAATAAATTAAATAATTTTAATAATTAAATATTTTTATAAAAATTTTCAATTTCAGGAATTTTTTTTCTTTTTTTTTAAAAAAAAAAAGTTTTCTTCCGACAAACTATATATGGAAGAAATATTATCACCTGTCTATATAGAAAATCTGATTCACAGCTTTTGTAATTTTCTTGTTTGACAAGTACCTACATAGGTACTGGAATCACAAAGCTTTGGAGTTTGCACATTCAATGGATCGATATAAAGCGGCACTCTAGTTTCTGAAACTAGTTTCGTTGTCTTTAGCAAGACAACCAGAAATAATGAATGAACAAAACACAAAAAAAAAAAATAATAATTGAAGTACTTTTCAGATAAAAAAAAAACTCTAGCTATTTTAATTACAATCCACAAATTTTGCTATAGGTATATATACAATTTGAGAAAAACGTCACACCTGTTCCTGACACTAAATTAAATTTTCAATGAACTGTAATTAACAACTTTTAATTACTTAACAATTTTTATTTATTTTTTTTTTATATTTTGAAACTGTTTTACTAGTGAATACTATAAATTTTTTTTTATTACGTGCGTTATAATTTGGGACAATAAATGAAAATTAATTAATTAATTGAATTGTCGTGAAATAGTTTCAATTAATTATCACAATAATAATGAAATTTAATTTATAATAATAATTTATAATCCATTAATTGGGAATTATTTTTATTATTTAATATTTCAATTTTTTTGAAATTATCAAAGTTTTAGAATTTGAAAACTCTTTTATTTTCCTTATTCTTCTAAAGTTTGCAAAAAAAATTTGTTTAATGAAGTTTTCAGAAGTTTTGTTTTCTCTTTTCATTTCATTCCACTTCTTGGCTAGAAAGTTTTTGAAGCGAATAATTCCTACCGCCTATGAATGTTTACTTTACATGACTTTGCCTACTTAGAGAACTCCCACAAATGTCCAACCCCAACTAAAATTTACTACTAATTCAACATGAATTAATAAAGGAATATTTTCCTTAAAATTTATATTACAAAAAAAAAATGTAATAAACATTTTTTTTTAAATTTTATAAAAAAATTAATATTATATAAACATTTTTTTTAATTTTATAAAAAAATTAATATTATATAAACATTTTTTTTTAAATTTAATAATAAAAAATTTTAATACAAATAATATTTTATTTAACAGGATAAAATGCTAGTGGGATTACTGTTTGTTGCCTTAACATCCATTGTGGATGCAAAAATGTACGTGAACATTTCCGGGGACATTGTCTTGGGAGCATTATTTCCGGTACACCGGAAGGGTTTAATGGGTCAAAATTGTGGAAAAATTCAAGTAAGTTGAAATAATTTCAATTTGAAAAATTAATAAAGAGAAAGAAAATAAATTTTTACATGATGATTTTTTTTTTATTTTACAAAAAAAATATATATATATATTTAATGAGAGAAGACAACAAGTCCTTCAAGACTTGAATTTCGAAATCTAATAATTCTCAAAGTGATCCTTTTGGCACTTGAAATTGGCTCGGAGCCAGTTGGCGAACAACACTTAGAATATATCTTGCCTTTTGCTACTTTCGTATAATTGTCATTAATTGTAATTTTCTCTCTCTTGAAAATTACCCTAAAAGCTTTCCTTTACCTCTTGACAATATTATTACAATATTGTAAGAGGAATATCTTCAAAAAAAAAAAAATTGTCGATAATCACAAATTTTTTACAATTATTTATTAATGTTGATCTCTTATTAATTTTTAAATTATTTAATAATTAATAATTTACATAAATATGGAATAATAAGTATACAAAAAAAAAAATAATTTAATGAATTTTTTTACAGCCAGAAGATGGATTACAACCTTTAGAGGCAATGCTCTATACAATTGAACAAATTAATCGGGATCCAACAATTTTGCCTGGAATTCGGTTGGGTGCAATTATTTTCGATTCATGTGACAATTCAAACTATGCATTAGAACAAACGTTATATTTTATCAAAGGTATGATTATATTTCACAATAATTATCACGGATAAATTATTATCAATTTAAAAAAAAATAATTTTACTTTACTTTTTTGTTATTAATTAAATTGATTTAATATTTTTTAAAATGTAATTTAAATTAATAATCAATGAAATTTAATTATCAACTATAATTTAATTAAAAATCAAATTAATAATCAATTAATTTCTATTTAGGTTTTATTGCTCATTTTAATGAGTATCATATAACACAATATGAATGCATCGATGGTAGTGTACCAAAATTTTTTAATGGAGGATTTGATAAAGTTGTAGCAGTTTTAGCAGCTGCATCGAGTTCCGTTACTTTACAGGTAATAAAATGAAACACTAATTTGATAATTATTTTGAGAGAGAAGACGGTAAATTAATTTAATTGAAAATAAACTAATTCCTTTCTTATTGTAATTGATTTTATAAATCTAGATTGCATTTTAATTAAAAACTGAAGTATTTCAGTTTTTCTATAAATTACATATAATTTTATAATTCCAATATTTGTCTTGGTATATTTTTCAATTTTCATTAATTATAAAAAATACATTCTTAGAATTTTATTTTCAATTTATTAAAATATTTAAATAAATAAAATTTCTAATTTTACTTACAAATAAAACAATTTCTTTTAGATTGCTTCGATATTGAGATTATTTTCAGTGCCACAAATTTCTTATATGGCGACATCGCCGTCTTTAAGTAATAAGGAAAAATTTCCACATTTTTTTCGCACAGTTCCCTCCGATGTAAATCAAGCACACGCAATGCTGGAAATTTTAAAGTAATAATTATATTCTACTGAAAAAAAAATTAATAATACAATCATTTTAAAATATTTTTATTTTTATAGACAATTCGAGTGGACTTACGTTTCCGTTGTTTATTCAGACACCGAATACGGAAATCGTGGTTTTGAAACATTAATTTCATTAGCGAGTAAATATTCAATATGCTTTAGTGCCCCACAAAAAATTGATAAAGAACGATTTACAACTGAAGATTATGATAATGTGATAAGAATTATTTCCAGTAAAACAGAAGTCAGAGGTAAATTATTTTTCGATTAATTTTGAATATTTATAAAATATATATTGAATTATTTATTTTTTTTTTGTATTTATAGTTGTAGTTCTGTTTGCTGAAAAGGTTACGACTCTAAAAGTTCTTGATTCAGCAAAAAGACTCGATGTTGGTGAGAGATATGTTTGGATTGGAAGTGACGCCTGGTCCAATTCAAATCATCGAGAATTTTTAAATCCTGATGACAGTCAAGATGAAGAGCAAATTGTTCTTGAAGGTGCTCTCGCTGTTTTACCACTTAATAGACAATTGTACGGATTTGATGAATATTTCATGAATTTAACTCTCGAGCATGAAGAAATTAATCCTTGGTTTCGTGAATTTTGGTGGGAATTTCACAAGTGTGGAAAAAAAGTCAATGTAACTAATCAAATTTTAAATCAAGTAAGCAATTATTATAAAATATTTTATAAATTTTTTCATAATTAATTATTTTTTAAACTAATTTAATAATTTTATTTCTATTAGCATAAAATTGAGAAAAATTGTGAAAATCCGGAATTAAAAATTAATCCTCAAAATGGATATAAACAACAAAGATTTTTACATTTTGTACGAGATGCTGTTTATTCTGTTGCATATGCGTTACACGATTTACATATTGAAAAATGTGGAAAGAATTTTAGAGGATTATGTTCATCGCATATTGATGGAGAGACTTTGTTAACATATTTAAACAATGTTTCATTTAAAGGTATTTTTTATACCTTTTTTGACATTACTTTAAAAAAGTATATTTTTTTAAAAAAAAAAATTATATACATTTTTAAGATGAAGCTGGAAATAATTTTCGATTTATAAATAATGTCGATGGTCCACCAAGATATTCAATATTAAATTATCAAAAGGATTCGAATGGCTCACATCGTTGGCTCGTTGTTGGAAATTATACTCGTAAGTTTTTTTTTTTTTTCTAAAAATAGAATTATTAAAAAAAAAAAATTATTACAGAAAGTGATAAGGGTGAACCAATTTTGCATTTGGATAGAAAAATAATGAAATATCGATATCAAGAACGTGGTGGACGAAGATATTTTCCAAATTCAACATGTTCACGGCCATGTTTACCAAATGAAGTTAAAGTTCGTGTGAAACAGGATATTTGTTGTTGGAGATGTAGAAATTGTGGTCGTTATCAATTTAAATTGGATGATCACAGATGTGAGGATTGTGAGCCAGGTACACGTCCAACGAATGATAAAATGTATTGCGTTGAAATCCCAGTTGAATATGTTGATTATTCAAGTCCATGGGCTGTTGCAACTATGGCTGTTGCTAGTTGTGGTAAATAATTTTGTTTCATTTTCAGTTTTCCATAAATCAAATTAATTTCTAATGAAAAACATTTACAGGTATTCTTTTGAATATTTTCATTTTTCGAATCTTCTGGATTTATAGAGAAACGCCAATAATTAAAGCCTCGGGAAGAGAACTTTCTTCTCTTCTATTAATTGGAACATTAATTTCATTTTTAATGACTTTTGTCGTTGTCGCAAAACCAAGTGAAGAAACATGTGCACTCACAAGATTTGGTATTGGCTTTTGTTACAGTTTATGCTATGGAGCTCTTGTTACAAAAACAAATAGAATTCATCGAATTTTCAATAGTACTACTCATAATCCTCACAACAAGCCAAGGTGAAACATTAAATAAATAATATAAATTATCTTTTTTTGTATAATTAATACGAAAAAAATTTATTTAGATACACAAGTCCAAATTCGCAATTAATTATCACAGGACTTTTCACACTTGTCGAGGTAATTATTAATAGTGTTTGGTTGATAAAATTACCGCCAACTGTAACGCACGTATTTCCAACGAGAGAAACTAGACTGAGAATTTGCCAAGGTTTAGATGATAGCTCCTACATGGTGGGTTTAATTTACCCCTTCATTTTAATTGGTGAGAAATTTTGTCTTTAATGAAATTTCAAAATTTATATTAAAAAATTGTATAAGGGAATTTTTTTTCAGTTCTGTGTACATTTTACGCTGTGAAAACAAGAAAATGTCCAGAAGGATTTAATGAAACTCGACTCATTGGCTTTACAAATTATACAACCATGATTTTATGGTTGGCCTTTGTACCTCTTTATCTCGCATCAACAAGTAATGCTCTCAGAGTTATCACTTTAGCGATTTCTATATCCTTAAGTGGATTAGTTCAACTCGCGTGTTTCTTCTTCCCCAAGGTTTATATTGTTCTCATGAAACCGGAAAAAAATACTAAGGAACTCGTTATGTCACAGCACAGAAGTTCCCCTTATTTACAAACATCATCGGCGCCAATTGTTATCACAACCGGTAATCCTCATAAATTTAAAAATTCCTCTTAAATAATTTTTATTACTGTAAAAAAAAAAAATTCTACTCTTATAGAAAGAACGAAAACTGCGTCCAAGGATTTGGAAATTTCTTCTACTGAACCAACTTAATAAAAATTAATAAAACAATGTGAAAATTGTTTTAAAAAAAAATAGTGAATTTCAACTACAGCAAACCAAAGAATGTGTAAATAAATTATTATTACATAAACGTAAGTTGATAAATGACAAATTAAAGGAGAAGCATTAAAAATGCAGTTTTTTTTTTTTTGATAAAACATTAGATTTCTTTTTATATTCCATTCAAGAATAAACACTAAGACATCAGTATTTTACAGGTCTATAGAGTAACTATCAGATAAAATCGATAAATTCGAAATACTCGTACAAGAACGAATTTATTAATGACTGATTAAAATTATTTTATTTGGAAACGGCGAAAATAGATTATATTAGAAAAAAAAAAAGAAACACTTAAAATTTTTTTTAAAAAATATCTCTTAACAAATTTTTTGTTTTATTATTAAAGCTAATAATTTATTAAATAGTAAATTTGAAAAATAAAGTTTTCTAGAAAAAACTTGTTAATTCTCATTCGATTATATTTTAATATGTTTATATATATATATATATATATATATATATATATATATATATATATATATATATATATATATATATATATATATATATTGTAAATAATAATATATATAAATATAATAAAAAATTTCAAACTTTTTTTTTTCTCATTCAAAAAAAAAAGAATTACTAACAATCTTTTATACAAGAACATCGAGTATCAAAAATTATTATTATATTTGATAAAAACGAAAAAAAAGAATATTTTTACAAAAAAAAAAAATTCCATCCGTTTAATCGGAAATGCATTGATTAATTACACAGTCCATTGTCTGTCCCGCTAGTAATACAAAAAACATATCAATGAAGAATTTTGAATTTCTCTCTCACAAAATAAAATCGAATTCGTATTTTTATCCAATTCAATATCAGGGTATTGTTACGAAAATTTTAATATATTTTCGTAATTTTCCCTGAGACATGCAAATTTTATTTAAAAATTTCCCTTTTATTATTTTTTCTTTAAAATTACGAAAAATTTGAAATTAATAAGTACATATTTTTTCAGTGTAATTTAATATGATTATCTGCCAAGTCACTGATTATTTTTGGAAAAATTATTGAAGAATGAGAAAACTTATTAACAAACGCTAACTTAACTGACTAATGTTATCCGCAGCTACTTCCTCAATAGTAGCACGACACATTGGACACTCGACCAATTGTTTAGAACATATTTCGCAAAATCCACTGAAATATTAAATTTAAAAATTTAATTTATTTTTTACAAATATCAATGAATTCTTATTAAAAAATAAATTGAAATTATTAATCTTACCGATGATCACACGGTAGCAATCTGACAGAAGCTTTTTGATCGAAACATAAGGTACATGAGTCTTCCCTGACGCTCATCTTCCTTAATTGTTCCAAATAAATGTGCCTAGGCAGAACAACTTTATCTTCAGGATCAAGTGTTGCAAAATCATTAAATGTCTGATATTCTCGATCCTGTGGTGGATGTTTAAACGGAATATTACCGAAATTAAACGAACATTGTTGGAATGACATGAAACTTGCTGCAGCAAAAAATCCTGATCTGTAAAAAAAAAATAATGTAAAAATGCTTTGTAAAAATTTTTTTCAATAAAATGAGAAAAAAGGAATTATTATTTTTTTTTATTTACCGGGCAGTCTTAAAAACTTGAGTGCAAGCTTTCAATGGAACGCCATTAATGGAGAATATAATCTCTAGTCTATTTAAATCTAAAAGACAGCCTAATATGTCCCCAGCTTTCCATGTTTTATCGTGATATTTTTCACTTCGAGCATTGTGCCAAATAAGTCTTCTACAACCATCGTAAGCTAAAGAATACTGATCATCCCCGATGCCATAACCTTCCTGTAAATAAATTTTCATTTTATTTTTCTGTGAGAATTAAAATTTTCTAATTTTTATTTTTTTTTTTTTTTATTCTCACATGATTGAGAAATGTACTGTCCTTTGTGGCCCAACCAATTTGCATAACTCCAGTTGTTACGATAAGAGTTTCATAATACCAAACTCCAGTATCAACTTGAAATGTGCATCTTACACTTTCAAATGAATAAGCATCGCATCGTGCCTGGAGGATAATTATCAAATAAAATTATTAAGGCGCAAAAAAAGGTGAAAATTAAAAAAAATTTAAGATACTTACTTCTAAACCATTAGGTGAAATTTTCAGGTACTCGCTTACATCTTTTGTATTTAGCATTACATTTATACCAGTCATATCAACTGTGTCATGGGAATATTTCCGACCTTCCATTAAAACTAAAAAACAAAATCAAAAATACAATACAAAATACAAAAAAAATTTTTAAAAACATAATAAATACATACATAAATTATCTAAACACCATTGAGCACAGAAACCAACTTGGCGTTTAACGTAATTAGTTTCATTAACCCATTTTTCTAGTTCCAATAAGGGATTTAATTTTTCCATTAAAAGTCGTTTCTTAATTGTTATTTTGTTTTCACCTACAAAAAAAAAGAGAAGAGATTTTTGTTAATACTAAAAATAAAGTATTATTTATATTTAATTTCACATAAACTCACTTGTTTGTGCAAATTTTTCCAATCCTATTAAGGAATGAAGCACCACACAAGGTTCAACATCGTTTCGCTGAAAATAAAAAGAAAACAAAAATTTATTTAATTTTTCAGAGAAGAAAATGTTAAAAAAAATTTTAATTTGTAATTACACAAATTACTAACAAGATTTGACACCAAATAATCTAATGTTGCATCAGACAAAATTGCTATACTACTGGGTCCTGCTAATTTTTCAGCAATGCATCCAAGTACCACGCATATATTTCTTTGTTGAGTGGCACTAATTTTCGATTTTCCAGAATTTTGTGACAATTGAAACAATTGCGATAGTCGCATTACCGAGTCCTATAAATACAATGAACAAAATTTAATCGTAAAAAAAATTTATTAATTAATTCAAAAGTCGAAAAAATCAATTTTTTATTTCTAATAAATTGAATTAGTTAATAAATATTTTATTTCAATTAATTATTGTTATTAGATTATTAAATTTTATTAATTCCTTAATAGAATTAATTATAGAGGAATATTGTCAATAAAATTTCAAACAATTGGGATTTTTAAAAATATTTAATTGAAAAATATTTTCAGATAATTAAATCCTAATTATGTAGAAAATTTACGAAAAAAAGAAAATTTACCTTTGAAGGTAATGGACAGTCATCGATTAATAGTGTCATTACTGAAGGACCTAGAGAATTGTGCATTGGTATAACGTTCACCATTGAGCTAACAACTTGTATCCAACCATCTTCTTTGTCAGCAATCGAGTGTAATTTTAACATTGCCGGTGGTGGTTCTTGTTCACTAGGAATAATATTTCAAAAATATAAAAATTATCAAAAGAATTTAATTTTAAAAAAAATTAACGCTGTGTCTATTTAGCCCGCTAACGGGAGGAATGCAAGATTTTGGCTATTTAGCCCGCTTATTTTTAAAAAATCATCAAAATGAGAACTATTTAGTTTGCAGTAAGTAGGATTTAAAATATTTTTTATTTTTATTTATTTATTCTAGAATAATAAAATATATTTTATTATATAAAATGTATATTAAGTGCAATTAAAAATAAGGCAATCGTTTATTTAAATATATTAATGTGATTTAATACAAAGTTTATTTGCTCCAAAATGAATTGTTTTAGTAGGGTTGTTTATTTAAAATATATTATATTATTTAATTTAATTAATTATTTAATTAAAGTTGTGGTAAAGAAACAATTTTTTGTTTAAACCAAATTTATTGTAAGAAAACTGTTTAACTACAGGTATATTTATAAATTATTAGAGAATAGTTTATGGAGGGTTGAAAATAAATAAATTTCTTTGATGGGAATTAGAATCCTTAACTTTTATTTTTTTCGTTGAATCAACGTTGGTAACTTCAGTTTTATCCTTTTATCCTTCATTTTCATCAAATAAAAAAATTAAAAAATACGTATTTTCTTATTTTTCATATAGATTACGAAAAAAATTATTCGGACAAAAAAAATTTTGAATGAAAATTTCCCGTGGAATGCCCCATACGTATTTATAAAATATATAAGAATTTTAATTGTATTTCAAAATTTAATTTTTATTTGGAAATTTAAATTTTCAATAGAAAATAATTCCATAAACTATTTTCTAATAATTTATTAGAAAATAAATGTACCTGTAGTTAAATAGTTTTCTTACAATAAATTTGGTTTAAACAAAAAATTGTTTTTTTACCACAACTTTAATTAAATAATTAAGTAAATTAAACAACCCTAACCAAAACAATTTATTTTGGAGCAAATAAACTTTGTATTAAATCACATTACTATATTTAAATAAACAATTGTCTTATTTTTAATTGCACTTAATATACATTTTATATAATAAAATATATTTTATTATTCTTGAATAAATAAATAAGAAAAATAAAAAATATTTTAAATCCTACTTACTGCAAACTAAATAGTTCTCATTTTGATGATTTTTTTAAAATAAGCGGGCTAAATAGCCAAAATCTTGCATTTCTCCCGCTAGCGGGCTAAATAGACACAGCGAAAAATTAAATGACCTTCAAATAAATAAATTTTAAACTTACTTGTCCACCAAGAGACCAATTACTCCAAGTGTTTCAAGAACCAATTTATCTATGTTGGCAGAAGTTGGAAATTTAAAACCTGTGCCCTCATCTGCATTTGAGATGAGGTCAATATTGTTATCGGGTAAAATTGTATTAGCTGAAATTGCATGATTACTACTTGTATAAGGCTGATGATCGTCAGGACTATCTTTGCACAAACAATTGCCCATGCCAATGGTTTTCAAAATCGTCTATTCTTTTAAATCGATTAATTTTTTCTTTCATGGCACTTGAATTTATTCATATCGCCCCGATATTCCCGGGTCAATATGCACTTTTTTTTTTTAAATTTCACTATTTTTCTGAAAAATTACATTTTCAAAAAATTCAATAACAATAATAAATATACACAAGTTTTTTTTTTTTTTATTCAAAGTAAAAATATTAACTATAACCTCAATTGTTTATATAAAATTAAAATACTTTTTTTTTGATCACCTTTTCTAATTTTATTGTTAACAAAAATTTGTATTATTTTACAAACTGTTTATAGATCCATATAATTGTTATACGCATATGATTCATATTAATGACAAGAGGGTATATAATTATTGACAGATTTAATGATGAGGTGTCAAAACAGAAACAATGATTATGATAAGAATATCAAAAATTTAGACCATGAACATTTTATTTTCTTAATTCAATTTTTTATGGGAACTGTCAAAAATTATAATAATACTTACGTTATCAATTGAAGTACTTTTATATCAAGAAAAAAAATGACGTGAAAAATAAATTTTATTCAACTTGTTTTTAGGTTATGTTTCCTTGATATCGATAATATCGCTAAATAGAAATATGTATTATAATTATTTTGACTTTTTTGACACACATTTAATCATAATGAACATTTTTAATTATTGTTTAAGGGTAAAATACTCGTTCTCTTGTTTGTTTTTTTTTTTTTTTTATTATTTGACAGCATAACCTATAACACTTGTCAATGACTGGCACAAAACGCAACTGCGCTTGCGGTACTATAACTCTCTTATTGGTAGAAAAAGGCGCTATTATTTAAAATACTTTTGTTATAAAAAATATTTAAATAAAAGCGCCTTTTTCTACCAATAAAAGAATTGTAGTAGCGCAAACGCAGTTACGTTTTGTGCCGGTCATTGGCTTGTATTTAATAAAGTGGTTGTATATCAGTATTGATGGGGTTGAAAAAATATATAAAAATATATAATTAAATAATATGTTTTTCAGTAAAGAAGAAACTACATGGTCCAGTGCTACATGGTCCAGTGCCGCGTGTCGTTTAATAGTAAATGCAGCTTCACATCCAATAGAATATGCAAAAGTTTTAATACAGGTAATAATAATTTGCAAGGTTATGTTAATAATTTCATATTTTTCTTTAATTAAAATATAATTTTTAAATTATTTTTATAGATTGGACATGAGCCTATTGCGCCTTATCCGTCAAGAACTCTTTTTGGAAGACCTGCATTAGCTTTACCAAATGTTTATAAATATAGTAAGTTTTTGTTTTTTAAATTTTCTCTGCGAAAAGATTCTTTTTTTTTTTTCATAAAAATTTATTTTCTTAATAAGAAAATTTGCAAGTTATATTATATAGTATGAATTTTAGTTGTTTGTAAATAAATATTTAATTACAGTCAAATATATTAAAAGTGTCGATGGATTCACTGGGTGTTATCGTGGTTTAGTACCAAAACTTTGTTCATCTACTGTTAGTACAATGGTATATGAAAAAACTGCCGAATATATACGTTTTAAACAGGGAACACGTCAAGTATATTCAGAAGAGGAAGATGAAAGGTAAACATTTTTTTTTTATTTAAATAAAATTTTTATTGTAAAATAATTTATAATTTTCTAGAGCTGAGAAATATATTCAAGATTTTATAAGAGCTTTAATTAGTACAACAGTGGGAATTATTGTCAGTCATCCTCTTGATGTTATTGCAATACGAATGATGGCTCAATTTGTAGGTGGCGAAACAAAATATATGTAAGGAAAAAGATTTTTGAAAAAATTCACCTTTAAAATAATGAATAATTGTTCAATTTTATTTATTTCTTATAGAGGTTTAATGCAATCGTTAATAGAAATTTACAAGGAAAATGGAATCGCAGGATATTTTTCGGGTCTTATGCCACGTTTGATTGCAGGTGCAGCGATATTAACAATAGTTAGTTCGTCAACTTATGTCATCAACAAATATATTATAACAGATCGTGAAATGAAAGGTTTCACATCATCAACTATGATGGTAAGCTTTTTTTTTTTATTTTATTTTGAAAAAATTTAATATTATTTTACAAAAATTGTTTTTCTTTTTCAGTTCTTGGCTGCAACTGTTGCTTATCCATTTATTGTCGTTTCTAATTGCATGGCTGTTAATGATTGTGGGTAAGTAATAATTAAATACAATATTGAAATTTAATTTTCTAATTAAATTTAATAACTGAAGTAGTAGGGCGATTTTTTTTTTTATGTAAGAAAACAATTTTTTATTAAATAATTATCAATTTTAAAAGATTGGTAGCTGGAATGCCACCTCAAATGCCAATTTATGGCAATTGGCTCGACTGTTGGTCTCATTTGTCAGCGACAAATCAATTAAAACGTGGAAGCAGCTTACTGTGGCGTTACTATACAGGACCAATAACTGTTTTAAATGGCAAACCATTTCCAATAAGTACAGCAAATCTATACATGAAAAGTGTTCATTAATAATATAATTGTATTTAAAGAACTCTTTTAAACAAAAAAATAATTCCATACTATAAATTAAAGAATTTTGTTGTATTATAAATCAAAATATTAACCAGTATTTTCAAGTGTGTACAGAATGTTAAAAAACTTGAAAAAAGATTTTTTTTTAAATATTTTACAAACAATTATTTAACACCTTCGTTCAAGTGTTATAATTACAGAATTTTCAAGTAATAATTATTATAAAAGAAATATATTTTTGAAATTATATTCTAAATTATCGTTTTAAATTCAAAGAAAGGAAATAATTCGATAATCCACCAGAATGAAAACTTTTATTGTATTTTATTTGCAATAATTCTACTCTTTTTATTTTAGGACAATACATATAATATATATATATATATATTTATTTATATATATATCTTTCTATATAGACTTTTTTTTCATTCATAAAATATCTTCTATCGAAGTATGTAAAGACGCATAGATTATTTTTCACTTAAAAAAGTAATTCAGCCAGCCACGGAAGATTCAATGCTCTTTTTTTTTCTTGTTTTCTCCATAAGTCAGAAATTGATTTCACAATTATTATTTTGCTTAACACATTTTTTTTAGCAATACTAACTTAATGTTACGTTTCGTGTATACAATTCATGGTCCGCAAAGTGCACTGTAAAACTATTCTGACTTTCTCATTCCTTTTTTTTTTAAAGACAGGAATATTATTTTTTTTTAAATATCTTAAAAAATCTGTTGTGTTAATTTAAGCCGTGTCATAAAGGAAAAATCAAACCTATGTAAATCTCTCTCCTAAAAATTACAATTTTCTTTTTGTAGATTAATTTTTTGTTCATTTTCCATTTTTAAAAAATAGAATAATAATAAAAAATACAATTTTTAAGAATAAAATTTTTAAAATAAACTTTCCTTGATGAATCAAAATTTTTTTTCTGATTAATAACAAGATAAATTGCTTTTGTTAGAAATAAATTTTCTCTGATAATGAGAATGTAAAAATTACATCAATCTCTTTGAAGATTGTAATTTGTTTTACACGCATTTATAAATATATAGTGAAAATCAAAAAAACCGAGAATATTTAGATTTTTTTTTTGCATTGACTTGAGTTAGGTTTTTGTTAAAAGGAATCTTTTTTTTTTTTACAATCCTTTAATTATCTTTCGCACTGGCTTGACCGAGCTAACGACCAGCGCCCTCGATCTAGGCAACTCTTTTTCTTATTTTTTAATTAGACTAGCAAATAGAAAATAGATTTAATAAAAAATAAACTTTCGAAATTTATATCGTAAAATTATTATTTTGAACGATAAAAATATTCGAAACACTTTTAAAAAAGTCTGTGAATAATAAGCGTAACACTTAAAAGCTAAGAGAACATCGCAAAATAAAATTCTATGTCATAAAATTATTTTTTAAACTTGAGATACATTTTTTTTTTCATTTACATAAAAAAAAAAAATGTTTTCAAAATCAGAAAATTCAAATACCAAAGTTATTTACAGATTCTAATTTTTTTTTGGTTTTTGCATTTTCTAATTAATTTCTTGTAAATTAATTATTAATATACTTTTTTTTTTTTATAATACATTATGAGAAAGTAAATATAAATTAATACCTCCTCTATTATGAGAATGAAATAATAAAAATAAAACTGAGATAAGCGGAGGAAACGACTAATCGTTGAACAGTCAATTCATCGACTCTTTGGCACTTTTACGGACTATTATCTCAACCCTCTTTGGAATGTGTGTGTGTGTCTTAAAATATGTATTTTGAATTATAATAACGTAAAATTTTTATGAAGATTATAGAGAGAAAAAATTGTACATTTGAAATAATGTTGACGTCATAAATGGACATTGGGTGTCAACTTTTTTTTTTTTTTTTTTTTTGCTAAAGCTCATCTATAGGTGTGTTAATTTTTTTTTTCTCTAAGTTCTGTGATAGGCCTCTTAGTAAAATTTGCGTGTTTTTGAGGTACAATTTCGAGGCAGGATTTGCTTGAAATCAATATTATCGTACGTTAACACATCAATCAACTGACATTTACAAATCAATTTCACACAGCTTTTTTTTTTTTTCTTTTTTTCTTGATTATTTTTCTTTTTTGATTTAACAAATTTAAAACTTAATATTCTACAATCTTTTACTTTCATATGCAATACAAACTGCGTTATGTATAAAGAATTAAAATTCAGTTTTTTTAGTGTTATTTTTTTTTTTTTAAACGGCAAAAATTGTGTAGGTGTAATTGTATATTGATGATAAAAAATTGTGAATTTTTTTTTTTTTCGTCATCAGTCTGACAAAATAGAACAACGATATTTTCATTGAAAAATATCGTTGTCATCTTTGTAATTTTTATGTTTACGATAATATACGTTGTATTTCATATAAATGGTAAAATTGTAAATATTCAGTATAAGGATAAAGATCTTCGATATGACAAGTAAAAGTGAGCTAAACACCAGGATGGGATTTAGATCATGATCTAAAAACATACATGGAAGTTACTGGTCCTCTTCTTTTTTTGCTTGGGCTGGCGTCGCAGGCGTTGCCGGTGTTGGATCGTCGTGAAAGAGTGGATTTTTCACTTCCATCTCGCCAGTCTACAAAAGAAAACAAAAAAAAAATAATGGTACATACTTTAAGAGAACCAAAATACTAAAAAAAAATATTATTATTACTAAAAAAAATAATTAGTAAATTTAAAAAAAATTATTAAAAAATTTTCCTAATTAGTGAATTTTATTAATCGTTATAATTATATTTTGCAGGAAAACTTACTGGTGCCAGACCGGGACATTCGTAAACTGTATAATCTCCTTCTTCATTTTCTTCATCACTCTCTGCCTCGGAAACAGAACCTGGATCTCGATTTGCCGATGCTCGACTGTAAAAATTTTGATTATTTCAAATTAAAAGTGAAAAAAATTGTTACAAAAAAAAAAAAAATGATGAACTAACTTTTCCATTGCAATTATCTGTTGCTTCTGATGCTGAAAATGATACATTTGGGCAGACTGCGCTAATCTTTGATCACCCGATGGTGATACATCCTTATTTGGACCTGTTACACCATAAGCTGGATATTCAATATCAGCTGCTGCTTTTGCAACTCGTTGAAGTCTGGAAATTTATTTATTCGAATATGGTAACTATTGAAATATTCTTTTTTATTTATTGATAATAATTTTTACCTGCACCATGTTAAACTGATTAAAACCACAGCAAACATTGCAGCTGCACTGCAACCAGCAACAACAGCTGAAAATAATTAAAATATAATTAAAATTCTCCTTTTCAATTAATAATTTTTCAATTAATTCAAATTAAATTAATTAATAATTAATTCTGTTACCAATAAAATAAATATCATCATTATTTGCTTTTTCAACAGATAAAATCAAAGGATTATTATCGGCTCTTCTATGCGGTTCTGGTAAATCAATTAAATTAATATTATCATTATTTTCATTGTCGTCATCATGGGGAATTTGTTTTTCCTTCACTTTTACTATCACTTTCTTTGGTTCTTGAATTATTTGAAAATTTTGGTGTTCACTTTTATTATCTTCGTCATCATCAGTGACTGGAAAAAAATTTCAATTATATATACTTTTAATTTTCTATTTTTTTTTATATTTAGATAACTTACAAAGCGAGAAAGGCGTTTCTTGATAGTAGCGAGGATCATTTGGTCCAACTGCAAATGGATGATCATCACTCAAATTTGGTTCGCCAAAGGCATAGGTGAATTCAGGCATATTTTCATATTGCTCTCTTATTTCATCTGATTCTTGTCCCTCGTGCATTTTTGCCAATTTCCCTTGATAATCAATTAATCGTTCTTCCATTTCTTTTTCAAATATTGATTTCTATTCAAAATGATTTTCAAATTAATTAATTATAAATGAATTTTTAGAAATTAGGAAAAAAATAAATTTACCTTGAAAGGATCGTACTCGGGATAACGATCTAGGCTCGGAATATATCTGACGGGCGATAAATCATTGCGATGAATTTGCTGAATGTAGTCTAAGGGATTTAAATTTTGCTTCTGCAATAAATCAATCAAATTTGGTACTTCTCGAGTTTCAAAATTTCTTCGCTTATGAAGCAAATAATCCAATTGATGATCTCGTTGAGATCTTTGATTCAAATGTGAAGGCAAATGAATTCTACGTTGATGATTAGGAGTATCAAAGTATCTCGCTATATCCTCTAACGTGATGTCTTTGATATTTTGTGGCAACTTTGGTACAGCATCTGTAAAAAAAAAAAATCACAGATTTTTAAATTTAATTTAAATTTTCTTTTTATTTTACAATTATTTAATAAGTAAATAAACTAATTGAATTATTCTCCTATACTTAGATCTTTAAAAAAAAAAAATAACAAAATATTAATATTCTTTTTTTTAAAAACAATGAATTGTTTTATCTAATCTATTCAAAAGCTATTCTTATGATTTTTCAATAATCACTTTTTTATTTCAACTTATTCAAAATTTTAAATAATTTTACAAACTATATAAAAAAAATTATATTAAAAAATATAATTCAGAACATTGAAACTAGTTTCAACAATATGCTACTCAAATCAATATATAAATACACCAATAATAATGAAAAAAAATGGAATAATGATTAACAAATAAATTGTCACTAGCCACTGTCGATATAAAATAGTAATAAAAAATTCAATAATTCCATAATTTAAATATGGAACATTAATAAATAATTTATAAATTTATCTGGTTCAAATTTAATTTTGATAAATTATCAAAATAATTTTTGTCAATGCAAATGTATATGAATTTACTAATTATAAAATTTACTATTAAATGTTTATATGCCAAGAATAATAAATTAAAATATTTTTCAGGTACATTTTTGGTGATAAAAGTATATATATTGGAACCTAAAGGGTCAACGATCTGTCAAAAGCTGAATGACCGAAACTTTTTACATAAAGATTGACAGTATTCTCCAACAAAAAATTGAAAATGAAATAAAAATTGAATTTAAAATAGACAAAAATATCTCATTAAAATTGAAGGCGTATTTCTGATGTTGTGAATAGGGAAATTGAGAGGGAGGATAGTAAAAGATAAGGGGAAAAAAAAAAATTCAGTTACTGACCTTGATAAAATTCAAGTTCTCCGGTTGTTAGGCAAATGAGCATTCCAAATGATAGCAAGAATGTCGAGCGAAAGAGTTTGAATTTCATTTTCGTCATTTTTTCCTTTGAACAGCATACAGCTGATATATTCACAGCTTTATCCACACTTGTATCGTTTATAAATTGTTGGTGCCATATGTATGCGCGTCATTCATTCAGCGGCAAGAGTTTGCGCGGTTATTTTGCTTATAATCAATACTCCACGTCAAATTTACAGCCGACCTTTTAAATTTGGCTAAATATTATTATTTTTTCATTCTTTATAGAAAAAAAAAGTTACTAATGTATCAAGTATCGAAATTTTTCCAAAAATTTTATTTTTACAATGTTTAAAAGTAAAATTTAGCAAATTTAGCATTTTTATAAACAAATTAATTTTTTACAAATCATATTTGAATAAACTTTTTTCTTTTTAAAAATTTGGCAAAAAGTTTTCTATTGGGCCTAATAAATTTTTTTAATTAAATAATTAAATTAAAACAATAAAATTGTCATGAAATTAATTTGAATAATAAAACTATTATTATGTGAATAATATAATTATTATTGAATTAATTTTTGAAATAAAATAATAGAACAAATTACGTTTTCTATACACATAGGCGTAATTTAATAAAAGAAAAAATTCAGAAGCAATACAAAAACTGATAATACACGCTAGTCTAATTATTTTTATCAAATTTATTTACAACGCCAGAATCAATTATAATACTCGCAATAAAAAGCAATAGAAAAATTAAGGCTCTTTGATTTCAACTAATTTACGCTTAGAATTAAAGGAATGTACATTTATATTCTTTTTATTATTATTATTATTATGGTATTATAACGAATGAACATTACGGCATTCGTTGCGATTGGAAAACAATATTTTTCTGCTTGAGGGAAATTTTTTTTATTTTTTCTTAATAATATGTTTAAAAAAAAAAAATAATAATAATTCAGTTTATATAAACTTAAAAAATATTTCTCACATTTTCGCATACCTAAATGCAATTTCTTGAAATAACTCAGTACAATGAATAAACGCACTTTATCTACAATTGTCAGCAATAAATATCAGTACATTGGGAAAACTGACTAAATTCCTCAACAAAATTAAATATATATATATATGAAAAAAAAAAATCACTATTTGGCAAATTTTTTTAAATTTAGTTTTTTTTCCCTAATCTACTTATAAACTCCAAGAAGACTAAGACTTTTTTTTTTTTATTTCCGTTTTAATACTATATATCAATTACGGCAGTAAAATATATCTTCGAATGAGAAACTAGTAACAATTTTAACTAATTTAAATTGTTAAATAATTTGACTTTTTGATATGAATTATAACTCTTAGCAAAAAGTCAGTTAGTTAAAAAATATACTAATTCAAATTTAGAGAATAAAAAGTATTATAAAGTAATTGTTATAATCTACTATTTCGAAGATAGTTAATTATATATTTTTTTTTTATATATATATAATATGACAAAATTAATTCTAGTGCAATGAAATTGAAAAAATATTCTTTTATCTTATTTTCTTTTTTTTCAATTAAGACTTTTCACTGAGAGATTGAAAACAAATTTCTGGACTATATTATAATCGTTACGTTTTTCTTAAAAGAATAATAACAAGAATTCGTCTTTTCTATAATTCTCAGCTCTACTTGTACACAATGACATGTTTCAAAAACAAATTATTAACAAAATAAATTTATAGACACGTACATATTTGAAGAGCCCGGACCTTTGGCCTCGTTACTCTTCATTTATATATATATACATATACGCTATATGTACATATGAATATACACGCATATGTGCATATTTTATAAATGAGTATTGTAGGCGATGTTGTTCTTTAAATTTGTGCCATTGCTTAAAGCAAAGGACAATAAACGAATAAAATTGTCTATTTAATTTTCAATTGTCGCAATTTTTCCATTAAAGATTACAAAATGTTTTTTTTTTAATTAAATAAATTACAAAAAAAAATTGTTGACAAACTAATTTAAAAATTTTTTCAATTGAAAATTATAAACAAACAACTTTATGAGTTTTATTTTTTAACTTCTTAGAGTTCTTGAGTTAGTTGATACTGAATTCAAATCTAACTTTTTGTGTACTATCTCAAGAATAAGTTAACAATAATACATGTCAAATCTTTCAGGCAGATATATTACAAGTGTTGTCTGGCAAATTTTCCTAATTGACGTCATGAGTAAATGGAGCAATTTTTTAGAAATTCTTTGTAATTAAAAAAAAATTAGAAATAGAAAACAAAAATTGTATAAAAAATTATTTTAAAAATTAATTAACATTTTTGATAATAACTAAATAAAAAATATTTTAATTACTTTTTTTTAATATTCAGTTATTGCTCCATTAATACAATCGGTCTAAAATATTCAATTTTTATTTATCGGTTTTTGAAGCCAGAGATTCATGATTTTTCAGACAAAAAAACATTAAAATTGTGAAATTTAATTCAAATAAATAAAATGTCAAAATATTTGTTCTAAAGTGAACATTGTCGGGTTATTCATGAAAAATGGAGAAAGAAATAAAATACAAAAAAAATAAGAGAAAATTAGAAGAAACAAGTTGAAAGGATTTAAGCGAAGAATAATTTTTTTTTTAAAAACTTGAAAATAAAAGGGATTTATTTTAAGTCAAGTTCAAGTTCAGGACTTTCCAAAGCGAATGGCTTGATACTTTCCACGACGGGCGTTTGATCTGGATCGACACGTATGCGAATTTTGTTGGTCTCTAACGAACGAGGTAGAGTACGAGGAAGATCATCCTTAAATGAAGTTGGAGTGGGAGACGTGTAGGGTACGTATATTCTAACGACGTCAGGACTTGGCTGATGTGATGTTGCACGTGGAGTTGGCAAACCACCGCTACCTGAACTACCATCCGAGACATTACTCTGAGTATCGAGACTATTGTCATGGGCCTGTGAACGTGTCGCTGAACTGAATACAGAGAGATCGGCCGTCGATGTAACGGATGTATCTGCTAATGATCGACGTGACCCATTGGGTGATGCCCCATCGTCTAGACTTGGATCGAAGGAGAACTTGCTTCCTGCACACACACACAGAAATTTACATTATACCTTGACATTACACTTTTTTTCAAAAAAAAAAAAAGAAAGAAAATATAATTCTATAACTATTGCTACTATACATTTTTTTTTTATCTAAAAGAGTTACAACCATTTGATGTAATTTAATCAATCAAATGTTATTTTGAAACAAAAATTTTTCACGTTAATTAAAAATTATTTTTAAATTTAGTTTTAATTTTCATTTATATTATATAAAATTATTAATGTAAATAATGTAAAAACCGAAAGTTTGTCCAAATGTATGGACTATTAATAAATAATAAAAAAATATATAAAAATTGGTTTTATGTCCCAATTAATAATAAATTATAATTTCTATAATAAAAATTAATTTTAATATTCATTTATAAATTAATAAATTCTAATAACCAGTTTCGAAACGTTAAAAATCTTTCCTATCATAAAAAATCAAAATTCTATAGAAAAAAAAGAAAACAATATAAAAAATATAAGAACAAAAATTATTAGTTCTTAAAATAAAATAAAATTGAAAAACAAATATAAATTTTTATTAAAATAAAAACCATGAGTAAAATTTTTTAAATTATCAAAACAAACTAAAACTAGAAAATTACTAATTACCAAAGTGAAATTTTACAAAAAATTATTTCTTTCATTATTTTTTTTTAAATTATTTGAATTTTATACCTCACATTAAATTATGCAAAGTATATATAAAAAAAATAATACTAAAAACTAATATAGAAAAAAGTTTTTTAATTACAAAAAAATATCTTATTAGTTTTGTTAACACAGGGACAAACAAAAAAAACATGTAAAATGTAATGTCGAGTGTTACGTGTTTGCAGATCGAGTTAAGTAATTAAAAACACCACATACATGCAGCACGTGAAAGGGAAGCAAGTTCTGTTAAACAAGGCTACGATTGAATTCCGGAACAGGAGGACTATAATGCGAAAAATGGAAGCATTCACGATGGATGCCAAGATTAATTGGAATTGTTGAGTCGAGTAGTTCTAATATTTTCTCCATTCTCAATTACACGAGAAGCAAATTATTTTTTTTTATTATTAATTATAATTTAAATACATGTCTAATTTCTAGAAAAGGTAAAAAAAAATTAAATCTATGGCAAGGGAAATCAAAATATAAATCTAGAAAATTATCAAAAAAATAAATTGGTAATTAATTTTAGCTATTGATTAATAGTAATAATAAGATAATAATTAACTTTATTATTAATAATCTCATTTTCCGTTTTGTATTTAAAGAGATTCATATTTGAGAATCTTGTTTTCATTAATTACTAAATATTTTTTTTTTGTAAATATTCAGTGGAATATTGTCATTCGCGATTTTTGAGCAATCTCATATTATCTCTAATTTTTAAATTCCGATCACCAATTTAAAGCCTTGTATTGTAAATAAATACATTGATGTTGGAATCAGAACTATGACTTTCAGAACTTGAACTCTCGCTACTGAATGCATCGCTAGTTCTAGCACTAGTATTAGCATGAATTTCACGAGTGCGAGTGGTAAACTCACCACCAAGACTACCGCAATTTGCCGGCTCCACTGGCGTTGAGCTTTCTCGATTTTCCTCAATTACAGCCATATCTCTTCGATTCACCACTGTCTCACGTGTCACTTGCTGAGCTTCGCTAAATTCCTCAGCGCGTCTTCCCACCTTTAAAAGCATTTTTATTAGAAAAAGATGTCATTAAATAAAAAAAAAATTGGTGAAATTTGGAAAATATACCTTGCTAGTAAATGTAGGTTCTTTAAATGTACCAAATGGATGACGTGGTAATTCATGTGGCAAGGGCGGACCGGAATAATCCAACTTGGCCCGTTTAAGTTCCTCCATACTTCGTTCCATGGCAGAAATTACAACATCGTCATCGTACGAAAAATCTTTTTCTAATTTAATTTGTAAATAATTGCAAAACTCATCTAAACTATCCATTCCAAGTAATTGTCGTTTATGTAATTTCATCACTGTATAAGCCATCGCTGGCAAAATACGATCACCGTCCAAAAGAAAAATATCCCAAATTCTAAGTCCTAGACTCACTGGCGTCTAAAAAAAAAATACAATTTTATTTTTTTATATTTATTTAAAAAGAAAATTTTTTTTTGGTAAATATTTACTCTTTCTTGAAACACAACGAAGAACCATTTCAAAGCATATAGAATTGAATCGCAACCACTTTTGTCTAATTTTCGTTTCAACTTTGGAAGAAACTTTGTCATTATTTTGTCATGGTGTTCTATAAAACGATTTAACTTTGGAAAGCCATCTACGTAGAATCCTGTCAAGTTTCATTATTAATTTAAATATTTGATTTTTAATTAAATTGTAAAAACAATTTTTATTAGAAAAAATAAAATGCAAACCATGCATGCTGTATTTCTTGTCTGTGAGTAAAACAGAAAGTCCCCAAAATGCATCCTCTTCATCCATATAAAGTAAAAGTAAACCGGCTAAGACGGACATACCTTGGCAATAGCCAACTTCCATATTATACATACTATAGGCCGCCAATACATAGAACATGGACTTTTGTTTAATACTATATCTCTCTCTAAAAAAATATAAATCAATCAACATTTTACAAATTGATTACATATTATTAAACTATTGAAAATTAAATTTTTGAAAATTTACCTATAATTAATATGATCCCTATATTGTCTAGCGACATCAGCATCAATTTGTCTTATTTCCGTGGACCATTTGCGTGCCAATTTTAACATTTCCTCATATTTACCAGCCTGTTCCATTTTTAAATTCGCTATTCCTAACAAATTACTCCAAATTTGTCCTCGAAATCTATCTGGAATTCCTTTATATATCCTACGTCGTAATTTTTCTTTAGTAGCGGGACTATCCCATTTTCTTGTCATTTTCTCCCATTTCTTTAGCCTCTCCATTTCCGTTTGCTTTATTTTAATTTCATTTTTATCCACTTTCGGTAATTCCGCGTCACTGAAAAAAATTCATTATTTTAAATTCTTAAAATTTAGGAATTAAATTAAATTTTACGATACTTAAAAATTTGTTGTTTTTTTTAACGGATGTAAATAAAGTACTTACTGTATAAATCCGTATCTGTCAGTTGTGTGATAAACTGGAAGACTCGGGTCTTCCCAAGGATCGATGTGTGCACCATTTTCTCTACCACGATCGTAACAACTGAATATTCTGTCCCTTTCAGCAGCCGATCGCTTCAACAGTTCTTCCTCATTCATCCCACGTGCGAAATTGTAACCAGATTATTATACATGCCGTTTCCTGATAATGAATTAGTCATTCAATTATAAATCACCATCTAATAAAAAAAAATTAATTTCAATTATTATATTCAAATATTTTCAAAATAATGCGGTAAAAATATTACAAAGTTTTAAAAAATAAAAAAAAAATTACTTATAAACAAAATAATCAAGAATCTAGAACTAATGAACTTCAACAAAAATTACAAAACTATTTTGAATTATAATGAACCGTTATTTACAACTTGAAATGACACATATGGTACATACTAATAACTTATAGAAATATTTTTCTAATAAAAACCGTAACATTACAATTTATTTCCATTTTAATTGCAAGCAATTGTTAATAAGTGAATTTAAAAAAAACATTAAATTTTCAATAATAATAAAGCAGCAAGTGTTTCAACCATTTTTCTTTCAAACAAAAATTAAATAAGTAAATTTGGAAAAAATTTTTTAAAAAAAGAAATTGATTAATACATTTTAAAAGTGAATTAATTGCTGAATTGGCAGATAAATGACGAAATAAATAAAAGAGGCGTAAGTATAATGATAAGGTTACTGACTTCTGTGAGAAACTGCAATCTTGAAACGAATACATGTAGTTCGCAAGGCTACATTATTCATTTAAAAAAAATTATTGTTTCTGTAATAAGCACTGAATTACGTTTACTTTTTAATCACTTAAATTAACAAAGTGAAATACGATTATATACTTTTGGCTTTTTTTTTTGCTGATGGAGCTCATTCCTTCTTCTTCTTGTTAACTGACACGTCATAGACTATTAGTTCCATAGAAGGAGTTTCCGCCTTTTTTTTTTTAATTTATTAACGACGACAGAGCTTCTTTTGGACAAAATATAGAAACATTGAAAGCGCGGTCTTTTTCAAATTTTTTAAAAAAATTTTCAATTCACTAAATTGTTTTAAATGAATAACAAATTTTATTTTAAAAACATTTATTAAATCTACTTATCTTTTAAAATGTAACAAATTAATTAAATATTACAATGTAGGCAATTTGAGTTGTTTTTTCAGCAAAAAAATTGGAATAGACTAGAAATCCTCTCAAGTTGACTTTTAAAGAAATTTACTAACATCAATAAAAGATTTATCTTCTTTTGTTGGTTTCACTTTTTGAGAATCAGGCGAAGTATCATACATTGAAACAAATCTTTCTCTTGCTTTAACATAGAGTTCAGATTCCGGGATTCCCTCCTGAAAATTAAAATTTTTAATTTCTTCATCATTTTCGAAAAAAAAAAATTAAATATTTATACTTTTTCTAATTTTTGATACTCCTGTAAGAATTGTTGACATTTCGATGGATTATCGGATGTCAACTCTGGAATTGTCAAGTTTGGAAAGTCCTGATAAAATTTTCTAAAAAAAATGAAAAATTGATGCGATATCAAAATTAAATTCACATTTTCCTTTTTATAACCTATTAAAGTAAATATGTCAATAAAATTACTTACATTCTAATAAGATCTTCGGTATAGTATATATTTCGTAAAGGAGCTTGAGATCCTGGTCTATCGTATCTTGGTTCATATTTTGGAGGAAATGCTTTATAAATAGAGTACCACATTGGAAGTTCATCCTGTTTTAAAACACCTCCTTTCATGAGATTCGTTAGTCTAAAGGAAATTTATTTATAATTTTGCATTAAAAATAGTTTACTGGTCTTTATCAATTTTTCGATTATTATTATGTCCAAATGATCAAAGAAGAAAAAATACAGTATCAAACACAAAATCAATTATTACAAATAAATTCTCAAATCAATTACATAATTAAAAAAAATTACCTGGAGAAAATAGTTCCTATTTTTTCTAATCTACTTTGTGCCATGTTTTTTTAAAAATTACTCGTTTTCAAAAACTTAACCTCAAATCAACAACAAAAAAAAAATCATCAGCTGATGAACTGAAAGTAACAAATACATATAGATAATAAATTCAAAAAGAAATGTCACGTGGCGCCATCATTTCACAATTGCCAACAAAATAATTCTTTTTTTTTTTTTTTATTAAATTTCAATCAATAAATAATAAAAATATATTTTACTATTTTCTATTATCATTGTCTTTAATTTTAGTGTTTAATAAATATAATAACCAATTTAGAGGAATTTGAAAAACAATTTAAAGAAAAATAAACTGGAAAATTAAAAAAAAAAAAGACAATTTCTTTTTGCAAATTAGATAGATGGCAGTGTAAGACGGAGTCTGTCTGTCTGTTTTATAGAAAAATGGCCGATTGTAAGGGTGCGTTTTGCCGAAATATTTCTTTTATTATATTGTTTATAAGTTTGTTTCTAGTGTTGTGAAATGTTGATAAATAATTTCTAGTATTTTTATAATTTATTTTCATTTATACATTTATAAAATATTGTAATTTTTAAAATAATTTTGTACAATTTCTAACCTAAATTTTGTACATTTTTTTTTTGATACTCATTTCAATAATATAGTTATTTTATTTCTTATTTTATTGTATACAGATAGTATCGAAAAAACCAATGGACCTGAATCAACAACCAATATGAAATATGACACTCCCGAGGAATCGAGTGAAAATTCCGCTAATGGTAAATATAAGAGAGAATTAACGTGTGTTATAGATTTTCACTTTTTCCCTTATGTGTATATTGTTTGAACAATAATAATCCACTTTTTACAATTTTATTTATTAAAATCAATTACATGAATTTTATTAAATTTACAAATTTCTCTATGCATCGTAATTTATTTTTTATGTTTTTTTCCCCCCAGAAAGGTATTATTTAGATTATAAGAAATTTTGAAAATTCTTAATTTTCAGAGGAAGTTGAGAGTCAGTCAACGGATAATGATTCAGAAGCACCTTTAAGTCAAACATTTAATAAAGGAGTGATTAAAGGTGAGTGAATAAGTATTTTAATTTACAGTTTAAAAAAAATGGACAGAATATATTAAATTAATTTTTGCTCAATTTTATTAATTAAATTAAATAATTTGATTATTGGTAATTAGGTAATTTATTAGCGTCGTCAAAATTGGGAAGTTCCTTTGCATCATGCGACGTTCCAAACTATATAAAAACCAAATCTTCTCTATTAAGACCATCACAATTAAATTCCGTGGCTAATAATCCAGGACCATCGACGAAAATTGTCCTACAACCGGCAAAATTTCACAATCCATTCGCAAAATTAACTGATAGTGTAATAGAAGGTGAAACGGAAATATCAACAGACACTTGTAATGAGAAAAATAATGAAAAACCATTAGTGGATGTGAAACCAACATTTTTACCATTAGGTGCAAGTTCAAAGGAAAATGAAAATAGTTTAAATAGCACAGTAACAGCAAGTTCATCGGCTTCCAGCTTTGTTTTTGGACAAAATTTAAAAGAACGAGTAACAGTTGTACACGATGGTGAAACATCTGATCAATCAGTAAATGAAGAAATTGAAGAAACAAATGAAAATGGTTCTTCTGAATTATTATTTTCAAATGTTACTGCAGTATCGCGAAGTACAAGTCGTCCTGGTTTAACATTAACTCAAGCAGCACAGGAATTGGAAGAGGCAACAAGAGCAAATAAACGAAAATATAATGAAGTTGCATTACTCACTGGCGAAGAAGGGGAGACAAATGTATTACAGATAAATTGCAAACTTTTTGCATTCGACAAGGTTTTTATTTTTATTTTTTAATCAAATGAAAATGAAAATTTTTGAATTATTTTTAAATATTTATTTTTTTTAGGTGAGTAGTAGTTATAAAGAAAGAGGGAGAGGGACACTTAGATTGAACGATCGAGATGATGAATCTCGTTTAGTTAGTCGCACGGCTGGTACGCAGCGATTAATTCTCAATACAAAAGTATGGCCCGGTATGACTGCTGAGCGAGCTGGTCCAAAATCATTGAGGCTAACAGCAATGGACATTCATGGTGATCTTCGAATTTTCATTGTACAAGCATCGCCGAAGGAAATTGATTTACTTGAAGATCATTTAACGCAACGGCTAAAACGAGCCAAGGAACGTCAACCAAAACGACAAGCGACAGATCAGTGACAATTGTTCGACATTCATTGTGAAATAACAAATTTTAAAATCATGTACTCTTCTACTTACACAATTAGCCGTGAATTGGACGCATTTATGCGTTAAAGCTCATTTGACCTATGGCTTTATTTAATTTAAAGAACGTTTATTTACATCGTTTAAGTCATCGATTGCTATTCAGGTATATTATACTTTTTTTTTTTGAAATAATTTTTTCGTCATTTTTTTTTTTTTCTTTCTTTTATATATATTTTTTTTCAAATCTTTCTATTTTTTACTTAAGAAATCGGAGGGCTCGTAAAGTAATTTTTTTTTTGTGAGATAGGAATACAAATAGAATAAAGATTTTGAATTGTAGCATAATAATATAAATTATAAAATAGCTTGTATGAGGATCAACGTAGAAACTTGGATCTCTCGTTATTGTATTTGTGAATTTTTCTGACGGCTAGAAATTTCAATTAAAAACATACGTTAAATACATCTTTATATTGTATAATAATAATAATAATAATAATAATCTCGCATTATCGTTTACGAAATTTTGCAGAATTGAATTTTAAAAAGAAAAAAAAAAAAACATCTAAATGCAATTAGACTGAAATAATTTTCTAATAATTTTCTAAATTAGAGCATGATTGACAAATTAATTTGTTTCATTTATATTAAATCGACTCTCAAAAATCTCTTTAATTTAGTAAAAAAAAAAAAAGTTGCCAATTATTTTTTACTTCAATTACTGAATAATTAGCAAATTAAAATTAAATAAAGAAAAATCTTATTAAACTAATATTCGTAAAGAGGAAAAGAAAGGAAACTTTCTTTTTTTAATATTCAATTTCATTATATCAATTAATCATCGACTGTAAATACAGTTAAATATTAAAACACATTTTTATCTATGAATTTTCTATTCTATCTTTTGTCTTTGAAAAAAAAAAATTTAATTTAACGTATTGTTGATTAAAAATAAAATAGTTTAGAGTAATATTTTTTATTATTATTTGCGAGATAAAAATAATTGACTACAGTTTGATTTTCAGAATTTTTTTTTGAAAAAAGCATTATGTCAAATGCATTATTAATTTTTTTTTTAGCTGTACATAAAAATATAGATATAGTAATAATAAATACATATGGTGATACTTCTTTATTAGCTGGAGAGATTCATTTTTGCGAGTCATTACCGTATAACGAATGATTTAGTATAATTTAGTTATTATTTAGTAAGATGATCATTCTTCACCCGTGTAATAAATTATATGAACGTGTAAGTGCTGCTGTGATTTCGATTCACAATATAGTACTTTGGTTGCATAAATATACAATTATTTGCATAAAAGTTATATTGCCAATATATTTAATTCCATATTTAATTTTAGGTTTAATTGATTTTTTCAATTTTTTGTTCGAATTCTTGAATTCGAATTTTCAGAATAAAAAATTTATTTAACTATTTTTATACGATTTTATTTTATGTTAATGAATGGAAATTTCATAAAATTCATTGAATATTTGAATTCTAAAAAAATTTATTATAAATTTTGATTTTGTAGAAATTGTACTGAATTTTAGGAAAACTTTTATGAGTCTCATATTTATTAATATACGTTATCAATTTTATTTTCAGAGTAGAAGGAGATGAAAAAAAAAGGAAGTTAATTCTATTTCACTTTCTTTTCTTTTATTTAATTTATTTGCAAGGTTTAATAGAGTTTTCTTTTGTTTTAGATTTTTATTTTAGTAATTGAAATAAAAATTGAATTATCTATTGGAAGCTTTTTTCGGAACGGAATCGTTCCTTTGAGATGTCGCTTCTTTCGTTATTATATCCTATGGCGCACTGTATTCAACAGGATGATATTTATAGACACGGGAGTCTCGTGCATACCTACAAGAACGATTCAGGCGTCAAAATTTTATTTCCAAGTTTTTATTCAAAAAAAAAAAAAAAAGTTATAGTTAAGTTATTTGAAATTTCAAATTATCACTCAATTCTCTAAATTGTCGTAGAGAATTATTATTTATAATTCAAAAATTTGATTCATGAAACCGTTGAAATCTCTTCTTATAAATTTGTAATGCATCGAATTTTGTTCATCTCAGCGACATTTCAAAAATATGCAATTGCACAAAGTGAATTTCCCTTGTGTTAAGTGACAATGTTTTTGATAAAATATTTTTCTATCATTTGTGTTTTTTTAACAAGTCATGTTCTTTGATTGGATGTCTAAAATTGATATTAATAATATTGAATTGGAAAAATTTTTTTTTCCTATTTACGGATTCATTTTTTGGATTAAAAAAAAAAAATTTTTGAATTTGACCTATTTGTTTAATGTCCTTCGATACTGAAGGAATATGTCGAATCATACGCAGACTTTGTTGTGCTCGGTGCCAAATGTTTTTCTGTCAAACTTTAATATTTCGTTCTTGGAAAATGTTGAAAATTTTTCGAATTTTCTTGCTGGAATTTCAAAATTAGTATTATAATTGATAATTTAATAAGCTTTCAAATCAATTATTTTACATTTAAATTTTTGAAATTATTCAGTGTATTGAGAATGTTTAAAAATTAAAGGTTTGAAGAGTTTTGTATTTAAATAATTATCAAAAATTTGAAATATTCAAGATAAAATTGGAATGAAAAAAAAAATTGAGGATTTATTGTTTTTGGTATCAGCGATATTGTAAAAATAAAAGTTAATAAAACTGATTCGGCATATAGTGGTCCAAGTGGATGATATTAATAGACTCGACAGATTCACGTAAACTTTCAACGTATCGGACATCTTGGAGATGAGAGCACATCTCTCTTATTTGAGACAAGTATAAGTAAAAATCGAATCCGTCTCTGGAGAGAGAGAGAGAGAGTGATATTAAGCGAAAATCAGATGCCAAAGAGATGACTTGGATCGATTACCTCGTGCTCCGAGGTAAACGTAAGACTTTATTTTGAGGTGAACCTTAACATGCGAATGAGTCAGTTCATTTCAGTTTGTGAAACATGAATTTGTTACACATGTTGTGATAGTAACACAACTAGACGAAAAAAAAAACATAAAAACAAGAGTGGGGAAAAAAATAGAAGAAAAGATGACGACAACGTGAGATGTGAAGAAAGAAAGGAGGATATTGTCTATTTATTTCTACTCTTCATTCAAAAAAAATCAATTGAGACAAGATGATGTTCACTGGCGGTTCACATGCTAAGAGAAGAAATGCCGGCGATGGATCTGCAAGAAAATCATCTGTGGAACATCGAAATATCACACAATCTCGTATGGGACCAGAGGGATACACTTACAGGTGAGAAATATTTTTTTCATAAAAAATATTCCTTATTTAACAATTCATAATGCAAAATATTTGAAAATAAACTATTTCTATTTAATTTTTCCATTTTTTTGAAAAAAAAAAATTAAATTTGCCTCTTAAAAAAAATATTTTAAATTCTACAAATTTGAAAATAATGAACAATTCTAAGGTTTCTTTTTTTTTTAATTTTCTGAAATTAGAAATAATAAAATTCTAATTAACTTATTCTGAGATAATAAAAAAAAATAATGATGTGGAAAAATGTAAAAAAAAAAAATTCCAACTATTTGTCTTCGTCTTGTTTATTATCTGTCCTTCGTTTTTAAATTAATGAGATCTTTAATTCAACGCGTCTGACTAAAATCTAACGTAACTACTTGTGTGAGTAATACAAGTCCGGCTGAGATTCTCTTTATAATTATATAGTCATTATAATTGAATAACATTCTTATTACATCCTTTCCAGTAATTTATCTATAAATGTAACTTTTATTCAATATTCTCTTACGCGGCAAATTATCCTTGATAATTATATAATAATGAAAATGTTAAATAATTAAATTTAAAAAAAAATTAATATTTCTTCTCTTTTTGCAGAACAAGAACACCAACTCCATTTAATCCTGCGGATCTTCCACCGAGTTCATCGACAAATACTTATGTATATAAAACTCGTGTTCCACGAAGGGTTGCGGAGGCTTCAGCTTTATCTTCACCTGCAGAAAATATTGGTGGAGGATTTCCAATCACTAGAAGACGAGGAGCTGTGAAACAAAATAAAGTTCATATTATTCGAGGCCACAAATTAGTCGCTAAATTCTTCAGACAATTTACATTTTGTACATTTTGTAAGGAATTTTTATGGTAAGATTTTTTTAATTTCACAATATAATTCATAAATAAAAATGAATTAATTTTTTTTTTATAGTTATTTTTGATAAATTAATTTTTAGTTAAAATAAATAAAAAATTGTGATTTAATGGAGAAATTATATGTAAATGTGGTATATTAATTTTACACGTTATAACATCGTTTTAGTATATATACCTGAGTATTTTCAAACATTCATTCTCCGCACTGATGCATTTAATGAGATTTTCTCTACCTCGATCGTCAAAGCGAATCAAAATTTATCGCTTTTTCTCCTATAAATTTATACCAACTCTGCCCACGTATACCTCAACTTACAAACTTTAATTCATAAATTCGACACATAGGTGGAAATAAACTTAAATTGATTTTCTTTCCGTCGAATTTTATTTTATAATTTTCAATTAAATAGAAAACTTGACATTGATTAATTAGAAATTTAATTTCTCTATTTAAGCAAATTTTGATTTAATAAAAATTAATTTAATGTGATTTAAAGATTTAATATTTTTATCAATCTATTGGAGAATTTCAAATAAAATTGGAATATATTTCTTTTACAGGGGATTTGGAAAACAGGGTTATCAATGCCAAGGTAAAAATTTTTAATTCAGTAAAATTACATTCGGAATTGGAAATTATTAATATGAAAATAAATATTAAAATGATAATTTTAAGAGACATTTTTTTTAATTTACAGCTTGTCAAACTGCGGTTCATAAAAAATGTCACGACAAATTATTAACAAAATGTCCTGGAAGCGGAAGAGAGTCAGAAAGTACCATTGTAAGTACTGGAGGTAATATTGTATAGCAAATTTTACAGAGGTACAAATTGTAACTAATATATTTATTTTTTACGCATGCTATTAATTAGACTCATTTTATTTGCAGTGCACTTACATTAAAATATCATTTGCGTATAGTCAATCTTCTTTTTAGAAGTAAAAAAATATCTAAATTTAAAAAAAAAAACAGGTCTTAGTAATAAACAATTAATTTATCAAACTACCGCTATTTTAAATAAAAAATTGAAATTAATTTTATGGAATTTTATCAAAGCAAATCTTATTTGATTGACTGTACGCATTCAGTAATGCCACTTGTTGCAGACAATTAAGAGAAGAATTCCAACTAACCAAGGATATTAATAAGAGAAAAGCTTTATATCTAAAACTCAATTTTCATCTAAAAGTCATTCTTAAAATGTAAACAAATTCAACATTTTATGAGACAAAAAAAAAATTATTGCTTTTAAAGAAAATATTTTGTACCATATCAAATACAACATTTTGAATATTGATTTATTATAAAATAATTAACGGATTGATAAATCTATAAATATTCCAATTTCAAATATTAAATAAAATCAATTTGTAATTAGATATTTAAATATTAATTCTTTGAAATATTAAAAATAATGGTGATGGAAGAAGGCTTTTTGATAAAATTATGATGGAAAAAAAATTAATTCGATTTGAGTTATTATTGTTAAAAATTTAGAAGATGCTTCAAAGTCGTTGCTTATACGTGGATTGCTACTTTGTCTTTTTAGAAACCTAATGCGTCTTTTACCATGTTTAATGGCAGTACTTGAGGGAGCGATTCAAGGTGGACGTACCACACAGATTTCGACCTCATACCTTCATGTCTCTAACTTTCTGCGATCATTGTGGATCCATGCTTTATGGATTTTATCGTCAGGGCTTGAAATGTGCCGGTAAGTCAAAATAAAACTTTTTAAAAAATCTAACAAAAAAAAAAAAAAAGATAAATTATTTTTACAACGCAAGAGCTCGCGTATAATTATTATTTTTAAATATTAACTCTATCCATAATGTTTTTTATCAAAATATTTTTAAAAACTAAAAATTAATTTCTAGTGAGAATTTGAAAAAATTTAATAATTATTTATATTTTTCAATTTGTTGAAAAAATGTTGGACTTTAAACTATTTTTGAAAAGGAATCTCACTTTCCTTTTTAATCTCTTAGTTCCGAAAAAATGAAAAATTCGTAAAAACCGGAAATTTTTATTAAACTAGTTGTTTATATTTAGTATTTTATTTCAAAGATACATTCGAAGTAGGTCAATAATTTAATAACAACTTTTGTTTCGACAAGCAAATTGTTTTCGTCATCAGGGATTAATAAAAAAGAAAAAATTTGTTTCTTGAAACGTGGGCCGTTATTGAATATATTGACGTAATCTAAATACGTCTACAGAATTATTTTTATTTTGCTTTTAGGAAAGAAGTGAGACTGTAAATGACTATCATCATGTTAAATAATAATTTATTGTTTTACAAATTTAGATGCATAAAAAAGTATTTAAAAATTGAATCGTAAAATTTCTAAAGTAAATTTCTAAATCAAAAATATATAAAAAATCTTAATTCGTAAAATCGAATAGAAAAAATCCAAAATAACTTGGAATAGAACGAATTATTTAATTTATTTATTATAATTAATTTCTATAGACTGAAATTTTAATGGTCCCTTAGATTTAAATTCTATTAAATTAAAATTTATTCTTATGGAATTTCATTTAGTCGAACTAAATTAGTACCGAAATTTCATTTGATAGAATTAAATATATTTAATCGAATTTTCATTTAATTGAATAATTAAATGAAAATTACGTTTTTAAAAAAGAATATTATAAATAATACCAGGGGAAGAAGTGAAGAAAGAATGTATTTTAAGAATGCCAAAACGCACGCAAATTCTACACACGATCAACACTGTGTATGCCATAAATAAAAAAGTTGTTTAAAAAAAAAGAGATTTTTAAAAAAATACAGTTTCTCGATCGACTTTACATCTGTTGATTCTCGTGCACCTATAAGTTTGGTTTGGTGTCGATTTTATTTATGAACATCACAGAAGGAGTAGGGTAAAGGCATACTAGTGACAGTAGCATTAAGTTCGAACGCGCATGAAGAATTGTTACGGCATGCAAAGAAGTTTGTCCGCATGATGCATATTTGACTAGTAGATTTTCCCTGTTGCAATTATTTGTAGTCGTTAGTATATTAGAGAGACTAGGAGTATAGTTAGAGATGCTAGAAGCCTCATATACTAGAATTCTATTATTACACTGGGTCGGTGGCTTAAACTCAGTCTGTGGTGGCTCCCTGAACCGTGAGAACGTTTTTTACACCTGACTCCTGAGATCGTCCTCGTGCCATTGATTATAATCAATTTTTTTTTTCCTCCATTAAAAAAAAAAAAACAAGCGCCGGAAAATTGAACAATCTACAAAATGCCTTATTACGGAGACGGAAGCTCATATTATTATGGGACCTTCGCCAATCACAGCTCCCTGATGACAGGCACCGGGCGGTAAGCCTTTAAACCTGAAAATTAATTTTTCTTCAATTAATAATTATTATAAAATTAAATATTTTCAATTTATTTGACAATTTTTCATTAATATTTTGGTGTGAAAATGACGATTTATGGATTTTTAAAAATATTTCAATTAAAATTGAAAATAAAAAGTAATTATTGAAAAAAGTAATTTTGAATGTTAAATTAAATTTGTTTATTAAGTTTCAATTTTAATTTCAATTTGGATCGTTTTTTATTTGAATTTTACTTAATTTGAATTTTAAATTGAAAAATAAAATCTGAATTTAAATTAAATTTTTAATTTTTGGTAAAATGAAACTACTTTTTTTTTTTATTTAAAAGCTTGTTTCTGTAACAGATTTTACTTTTGGAATGTTTATATATAAATTTTTATTTAATATTACTGATACACGTGCCTATTTTATTTCGTGAAAATCCATAAATGGTCACACATTTTACTCAAAAATTACAAATTCAATTTTCATAAAAAAAAATCTTTCTGAACAAATATTATTTTATTAATATTAAAAACAAATAATAAATTAATTATTAGAATATACCATTTTTTAATTTATAAAATTAAAATTTTATAAAGGTGTAAAATAAATATTGATAAATTGATTATCGATCGAGAAAGAAAATTAATCAGAACTTGGATTATCAAAAAAAAATTTCAAATTTCAAATATGAAATCTCAAATAAACTAAAAATGAAATAAAATTTTCCTTCTCAGTAATGAAATCACGGTTAAAAATAATTTTTTAAAGAAAATTCCTAAAAAAAATATATGATAAATGTCATCAGTTTTGTGCAATAGGTTTACTGAATTTTTGAGTAAAAATTTACTTATTCAAATTCTTTTGTTAAATTATTGAAGAGTAATATGACGATAAGGTTCAAAGTTAAAAATTTAAAGCGGCCATGTGCCAAAATAAGAGGCATTTATTTTCCCTCGATAAACAGAGAAACTGGCTTAATTTTGACAACTTTATTATTTAAATCTGAAATTGGATGCATTTGTTTCTTTTGTAAGAAACAAAAAAAATTGCAAAAATAAAATTCATAAGGAACTTGAAATAATTTCCCGAAAAAAAGAAAATGGTCACTTTTCTCAATATTGGCAATTTGTCAAAATTCTCTTAAATTTCGCATCCTCAGGGACATCCTTCAAAGCCACTGCCACGGACATTATTTTCTTAAAATCAAATTCATTGGTGGAAAATCAGAATGACGGTTTTCACGTCGTCATTTTTCTATTTGCAAATTTTTGTTCTATACCCATTAGCAATTAAGAAATAAATTATCGTGATAATAATTTATTTGAATAAATTATATTTGGATACTCATTTATTATTCTAATTGGATTAGGAGAAATGAATTCAATAGACTGGAAGCCAATTAAGCTTAATTTTAATGCGGAATATATACTTAATTAGGAAAATTATTTTTTAAAAATGATTCACATTTTTTTTGAATACATATATTTAATTCAAATTTTTATTTTTAAAATAATATTTAAAAAATATTTTTTATTCACGCATTAAATAATTTTTATTAAATTAAAATTCTCGTTTTTTAAAGAGGGAAAAAAAATATCCTTTTGGGGGGGAAATTGATTGAGAAATAAAAACGCCGAAATGGAGTATCTTAACAAGTGTTGAAATGTTTTTAGACTGAGTGAAAATAACGTGTTAAAATTAAGCTTCTGGTGTCTAATGGTGTACTGAACAGATCACAATCCGATAGAAGGGCACTTAAACCATTCAATGAGAATATAGTGAAATATTTATTTTGAAAATGCAATTTTAAAAAAATCCTTTTCGAAACTAGAACGTTGAAAATTATTTTTGTGTGAATTTTCATGTAGTAAAAATAATATACTTTCCAAGAATGAGTGAAATGTCCTAAAAGCTGCCAAAAGCCTTCGGAGTAAGTGCAAGATACCGTGGACTTTCTCTGAATCTAAAATAGAAAATTCATTTCCTGAGTTTAAACCCCGAAATAACTATATTTATATAAGATAAAAAGAAAAACGATAACACGAAGGAGGACAACGACTCGAAATAACTATTAAAAACGTATAGGTATGCACGAAGATGAAAAGTGTCTTCGTTTAAAAATATTTCAACCCAAAAAAAAAAAAATGTTTTCTTTTTTAAAGAAATTTTTTTTTAGCCTGATAATCCAAGATTCGTTTTTTTTAAAAAATATTTTGTTTTCAAAAAAATTACAAAAATAAATATTAATTTCTGTAATTAATCGAAATGATATTTGTTTAGAAAAAAATGAAAATTACTAAATAATTTTTAAATTAAAAATATTTTAGTCCCTTTAACGTCTCATTGGCGAGATTTTCTCCTCATCTATCGACAATATCAGAATCGCCATTAAGTAATTTACGAAGATATTCACCTGTTACAATAACCCGACGACCTCGACGAACCATTGACACGGCCGATATTGATGTGTCAACGCCAAGAACATTAACTCACGAGAGTTCTCGACACAATCTTCGTAGAGACAGGCCAACAATAAAAATTAGATCCCAAGCATTAAAGGATAATCCAGCATTGCGTGAGCATTATGAGAAACATGAAAAAAATGTTGGCGAAATGTTGGTTGAAAAATTTCTCATCAAGGAGAAAAAATATGATCGTGACAATAATATTGGTAATCTTCATTTAAATCAACAACAAACAATTATCAATAATGATTCAACAAAAAATGATCTCACTGAAGCTATACAAAGAAGAGTTACACGAAGATTCACTCGAAGAAGATCATCAGCTGATGTGCAATTAAATTCCGAACAATTGGAACGTGAACTTGCTTATGCTCAGGTACAAGCTGAAGTTTTGGATACTTTGGTTGCTGAGGAGCAAGCCGAAATGGAAGTTGAGGCACGAAAAGCATTCGCCAAGAAGAAAACCCATCGATCAACTCATAATCTTCCCCAAGTGGAGGTGTGCACTAAAATCATAAAAATTAAATTACTTTTTTTTAATTTAATTTCGTTTATACAATTTTTTTTTTTAATTATTTTTTATTATTAATATTAGTAAATTAATTAATTTCTACAGATTATTCAAACCAATGAAATGGTTTTCGACAACGACGACGAAGAGCTGTCTCGAATTCGAAAGAAAGTGAAGAAGAAGAAAAAGCACTTACCAACGAGTCAGGATCAACAAGTTTTCGTTCAATCATTAACAGAGGACTCGGATTGTAAATCAGAGAACAAGGATGATGACGATAAGCCAATACAAAAATTCAAAGTCGAAGCATGTAATAGTGTTGGTGATTTTTCGACACTTTGGATTAAAACATCATCGGAAGTTGAAGCAAAATCAATTGAACAATTTAGAGAAAGTGTTCGACTTCCAGCACCTACAAGACTACCAGTCAGCAATTTAGAAACCGAGACCAAAATTGTCTTGCCGATTCCAAAGACTTATGTTAAAGACAATTCCAGAAACAGCGTTTATTTAACGGTGAAAAAAACTGATGAGAATTCATCACGAGGATTTAATCAGTCCAAGATGTCGAACGATACTGGCGTAACGATCGATGAACTTGCCAAGATTGATTCTAAAGATATCGTCGATGATACTTCACTAGAGGTCAAAAACATTTCTGATACCTTGGCCGTCAGTCTTACTCCTAAGGTGCGGAAGTCTCTTAATGCGGATGCAAAAAATGATTTCCTCAATAATGACGTTCAAGAAATGAAAAATAATTTTGATAAAACATGTCTTGTGATCATTGATAAGACTGATAATTCTCAATCAGAGAAAAAAATTGAAACTGAAAATATCAAAGAAGAAATAATTGTTGACGAACAGAAATCAAAAACAATTAAAAAATCAAAATTGGGGAAAAAAATCGAAAAGAATGAAAAATCATTAGAATTAGAAGTTTCATCGAAAGATAAATTATTCTCTAAAGAGAACACACCTAGATTAGAGTCGCCAATTAGGGCGAAGCTCGCCTCTAAAGATAGCTCATTAAAAAGTCACCCAGAGGGGGTGTCATCACTATCGAACGAAATACCAACCGATGGAATAAAATCACCAGAGCTTTCAACGAATGACACATCATTCTCAAATGAGAAGACACAAGTATTGGAGTCATTAATTACAATAAATCTCGAAACACCGGAAAAATTCAGTCCATTGGCTTCTAATGAAATTTCATCAAAATCGTCCGATCGAGTGAAAAAATACAAATCCAAGGAGAAAGTATCAAAAAAAGAAATTGAAAAAATTTTACCAAAAAAAATCGAGGAAGTGACATCAACAAATGAATTTTCAATTAATCATGAAAATTCCCAAGACAGTGAAGTGAATTCGGAAATTGATTTCTGGAGTGAAATCAAATCCGAAAAAAAAATGGCAGAAAAGTCTGAAGCAAAAGTAGCAGTGAAAAAAGAAGAAATTATGAATAATATCGAGGAAAATGGAATAAAATTAAATGGTATTGATAAAAAATTAGAACCATTGGATTTAAGTCGTATTCGTGAATCAATGAAATCATTTGAAAGTCCATCGCTTCCCACCTCTGGTATCTCAACACCATTATCGGAGATATCGCAAACAAATTTTTCCTCTGAAGGATTGAGCCTCTTGTCAACGGACACGTCAATTATTGATGAGGACGATGGCTTGGCAACGCCAACAAATGAATCCATCACTACAATGAGTAAGTGGAACAAACAAGATAATCTTTCAAATTTAACAGATTTGGAAAAAGATTTATCAACTTTACCAATGAAAAAAATAATTAACAGTACAACAAGCAGTCCTGCCGATTCAAAGAAGAAGAAGAAAAAAATTATTAAACGTAAAAAATCCAAATCTGATAAAAATGATGTTGACAGTGTTAAAAGTTCAACGAAATTATCAAAGAAAAAAGGATTCACACCTGATTCAACGATGAAAATGTCAAATGCACGTTCATCGCCTCGTGATGCACCATGTCGTCCATCGGATTTAATGAGAATATTTTATACAACACCAAGACAATTAATGACAGCAACACCAAGAGATTTGCGTAAAGTGAGACGAGCTAAAGTTAAAAAACGAAAACCACCACCGAGAAATGCTTCACTTAGCAGTGATAGTACTGGAAGTACAACAAGTACACAAAGTACAAATACAAGTACAGAAGAGGGATGCAATTCAATGGATGAATTGGAACAAAAAAGAATGGCTTCAACACGAAGCAATGATTCTGGATTTGACGGCTCGCCAAGACTCTCGAGTACTTATATTTCTATTTCTAACTTTTATTTTTTTTTCTTTCATCCTTTTTGTGTTTCAATTTTGCATCAGCATGAGAATTTAATGATTGCTGTTTTTAAAATTCTTCTTTAACATAGTTTTCGAGAAAAAAAAAAAATTAACAACTTTACGGAAAATCCGACTGAAACCAGTTTTGGAATTTGTATTTTTAAATTTTTTCAATTTCTTAAAACAAAGACGAAAATTGTTATTTTTTTTGTTCTAATTAAAAATTAAATTTTCTCAATTTTGAAAAACAAAAATTAAATTCGTAAAAAAAATTTTTTTAATTTGGAAATATAAATTATCGAAATATGGAATTTCCCCCTCAAACTACAAAGATTCATTTTCTCCTGTTGAGTAAATATGCGAGGAATAAATTTTCCCAATTATTAAAAGTCTACTTTGAAATTAATTATTTCGTTATGACAGAAATTTGGCACTGAATTTTAGGAATATTCCTAAAATTATAATTTTTTTTTTTTAATCCATTTTTTTTTCAAAGAAACGTATATATCTTTATAGAGAGTTATATATTTGAAAATTTTTAACTCTTACAATAGAAATTTTTTTTTCTCTCCTTACTGGTAAATGATAAAAAAAATTTTTTTTTTTAAATTTTTCATTTTGGATGGTGCTTTTAGTTTGCAACAATTAAACTTATACAAAAATACGACAAAATTTTAACTCTATCGTTCTAGATAATCTCTATATGAACACTGTCTGGTGGGTGTCTTACGAAATGTTTCTGAAAATTGTCCAAGGACGTTAAATTATATACTTTTAAAACTGCTGACCGCGACAATCTCATAAATGATTAAAATTTAAAATATTTATTTAAATATTTAGCGAAACATTAATTTTGACACAGTCATTCTATTTCTTATATTTAAAATTCGAAATAATTCAATTTATTGATAATTCAATCAATAGTAGAGGAAAATATTTGTTACAATTAAATTTACATAAAAGAAATCCAAAAAAATGTTTTTATTAAGAAAATAGAGTCTATTTTAAAATAAGAATAAAAAATTCTATTCTAAAAAAAAACAAAAATTACAAATTAAAAAGGAAATTTTAATTTATTTTTTTCAATAACTTTCATAAAATTCAAATTTTTATTCCAATTGATTAATTTTGTTCTAGTTAATTTTATATTTTAAAAATATTTCGAAAAATTTTGATTTTTTTTAAACACGGCAAAATTTAAACAGCCAAAATACATTTGTCTGCTTTCTAAACAAACAAAATACCGAGCTCCTGCGAAATTTTTCAATTTAAAAATAAAAAAAAAAATGTTTTTACATTTTTTTTCTCGCAAAAATATATCTTTACAATATTTCTGAATTAAAAAAAAAAAAAAATTAACTAGATTGCGACATGGCCTGCCATAAGAAGTGTGAAAAATTAACAGGAAATCTTTGTGGATTAAATCAAAAGCTTGTTGCCGAAGCTTTACTATCTTTGAAAAAAGGTGAGTTTTTTTTTTTTTTTTTAATTTTCAAATTAGTAAGGAAGAAAGAAAATAATGGGAAGTTCATGTTTCAAATCGTAATCGGAGATAGAACTGACGTATTGCTTACATCAATTCAATAGCAGTGGCTTGTGCCAATTTCCTTTTTATTTGTCGCCTATTTTTGATTCTTTATTTACTCTCTGTTGTAACGAGAAACTTGCGGGCAAATAAAGATTGTTTCTTTGTTACAATTTTTTTTTCACTATTTAACTCGTTATTATAATTAATTTAGAGCCAAATTGTTTGAAAAGTTAATTTATTTTTTTTTAACTAAAATTTTTTGTATTTCACATCAAATTGAAATTAATAATGTATGAAAAATTTATTTAGTTAATTAATTATTAATTTTTTAATTAATGTTAAAAAAAAAAAAAATTGAAAATGAGTTGTAATAAGTAGTTGGGAAAGAGATCAGGAAAATGGCAAAGATTTGTTAAACAGCAGAGAAAACTGCCAATGCTACGATTCACTAACAATTTCAAATTCAACTAATCTCACTCAGTATTTTCGCAGACTCTGTGAAGCTCGAGAGGTTTTTTCAAAAATTCGAAAATTGTTTTATTAAAAAAAAAAAAAGTGTCATTATGGAGAATTTAGTAAAAAAAGAAACAGGTATACATAATTTTAACTACTTGGAATAATAATAAAAAAGATTTCATCAATAAATTTAAAATGTAATTCAAATTTTTTAAATTTATAAATTAAAATTAATTTAAAAATTTATTATTATTTAAATTAAATGAGAATTTTTTTTATTTTTAGAAAAAAAAGTGAACAAAATTATAAATTAAAAGAATTATTCTAGTAGTTAAAATTTCATACAGATGGTCCCTGTTATGTCAAGGTCGGAAGGCGACCCTTTTTGAGAAGACGTCTACGAGCTTTCGGTGATCCTTTCCCACTAAGTGAGCATTCACTTTATTTTCATTTTTCAAAAAGCCAAAAATAAATCCTCATTACTAAATTTGTGAAAATAATTTTCAATAAAAAAAAAATCGAAACAAAAATAATTTTCAAAAATAATTTCAGTATCAAAGAGAAAGTGAAAAACTCTCGCAATGATAATAGTTTCATGCAACGTCGGAATTTAAATTTAGATTCAAATTTTCAATTGGCTATTAGAAATTTATAAGAGTTTAAAGGAGAATATGACTCATTTCCAAAAATAAAAAAAAGAAAAAAAAAGAGGGGAATTGCATTTTTGTGGATGAAAGTATGAGCATGGTGCTAAATTGACCTTGAAAGTGTGATAATCTTCCGCATTCACTTTATGATAACACCTGCCATTAATCAATCAATTATGCCACGTGTCTGAAACCCATCGTTTGGTTTGTTCGTATACTTACGTATATGTCAATGGACGCCAAGTCTATTTTTGAAAAATGTCACAGGGCCAAAAGTACTCTCTATAGGTATACACATCAACCAGCTTGAAAACGAATCTTTCTGGCAATTAACACACAATTGCAAGCAATAGAATTATCGAGATTTCAAACTTTCCTAAACGTTCATCGCATCCATTTCCATTGATCAAAATCATATCTGAAATAATTAATCAAATTTTTAATAAGAAACTTTCAAATTATAATTTTTTTTTGGTAATATTCCAAATATGTCAATTTAAATTATCATTACAAGTAAAAAAGTAATTTCACACTAATTATTGGATGATTAAATAATTTTAATCACTTTTAATTTCTTAATTATTTCAATTAATAAAAAAATTATAATTTTTTCTATAAAATATAATTACGATTTCCATTTGAGTTGCATTCAAAAAAAAAAAAGAGAAGTTGTTTTATGCTCGATTATTTTTGCTATTGTTAAAAAAAAAATTTCTGTAAATTGTTGTATTTTGAGTTACTATTGCATTCAACTCTCACCGCCTCATTTAATAAAGTGTTCAACACAAAATATTTTTAGAACCGGCAATGCTCCATCTTGCGTTTGAAGCAATGCAATTACTCACATGTCACTCTATTCCTCTTCTCTCAGACTTGTGATTGTAGTTTAGTACTTCCTCATGGTCCTATCCATTCTCTCGAGTACAATGACTTGACTTTCGTACACACGCAGCCTTTAAAATCGAGAATTCATTTTCTAGGTCAAATCACATCATTGGTACGCTGCAATTATTCTACCTCTGAATGAAACAAATGTGATGATGAAGTCAATCTCACACCTCTCATTGTTTACATTATCTAGAAGAAACATATTTTTCAATTAAAATCATAACTTTTTATAAATGAGCAAAAAAAATTTATTTCACACATAAATTAATTACAATAACACAAATTTTTTTTCTAATAATAATAAATCATAATTAATTATTAATATTAATTATATTATTAAAAATTATTATTTTATAAAAATTAGCTAAATTAATTATCAATTTTTTTCTGTCTTATAAAAAATTAACTTTTTTGTGTGAATTAACTAAATTTGCATGTATTTTAATTTTCTTAAAACAATTATTTTTCAGTCTATAGGTGGTATAATTAAATTATAAAACTATTAAAATAATTTAATTTCTTTTTAATAGTCCCATCACAATCGTTAGAAAATCATACTTCTGATAATTTTCACACGAGTGGACGAATTACACCGCCAGCTACAAATTTGCCAAGGTTTAAAAAATACGCGGTAACAGATTTCAATTTCTTAAAGGTGAGAAAATTAAGAATTTAAAAAAAAAAAAATAATAATATAATAATAATAATAAATAAATAATAAATAAATCTAAAGGAAAACATATAAAAATTAAATATTTTCAGGTTTTAGGGAAAGGAAGTTTTGGAAAAGTATTGTTGGCGGAATTACGTGGAACCGAATGTATCTACGCGGTAAAATGTTTAAAAAAGGATGTGGTCCTTGAGGATGACGACGTGGAATGTACTCTAATTGAGAGAAAAGTACTGACATTAGCAACAAGGCATCCATATTTATGTCATTTATTCTGTACCTTTCAAACAGAATCACATCTTTTTTTTGTTATGGAATATCTTAATGGTGGCGATTTAATGTTTCACATTCAAAAATCAGGTAGATTCTCAGAAGCGAGAGCACGATTTTATGCAGCTGAAATTTGGTCAGGACTTAATTTTTTGCACAAAAAAGGAATTGTATATCGAGATTTAAAACTCGATAATGTTTTACTTGATTTTGAAGGTCACATAAGAATTGCCGATTTTGGAATGTGTAAACTTCAAATTTTCTTGGACAGAACTGCCGATACATTCTGTGGAACACCTGACTACATGGCGCCTGAAGTAAATATTTACATAATTAAAATAATAAATTTTTAAAATTCATTTTCAAAAATAAGAGATCATAATGAAATTAATTAATTTAGTAAAATAAAAAATTTTTTTTTTACCTTTGCAGATAATAAAGGGTTTAAAGTACAATCAAGCCGTGGACTGGTGGTCATTTGGTGTTCTTCTTTATGAAATGCTTACGGGACAATCGCCTTTTTCTGGCTGTGATGAAGAAGAATTATTTTGGAGTATATGTAATGAGAGGCCTTTTATTCCTCGATATTTGTCACAAGATTCAACGAGCATGTTAATATGCTTATTAGAAAAAGATTCCGGTAAACGATTACCAGCTCATGAAATTGCCGTTCATCCATTCTTTCAGGTATTATTCTTTCTCTTATTTGACAGCTTTACCTAGAAAAATAGAAAAATCCAAAATTAGTTTTTTCCATTTTTTGAAATTTTGTAAAATTTAATTTAATTTTTAAAAAAATAATTTTTCGATATTTAGAGCATAGTATGGGATAAATTGGAACGAAGACAATTGGAAGCACCTTTTAAACCAGCGGTGGAGCATACTCTTGATACGAGATACTTTGACACAGCGTTCACGGCAGAACGACCGCGACTCACAGCTGTTCCAGAGGACATCCTGACTTCGATGGATCAGAATGTGTTCAGAGGATTTTCTTACACAAATCCAAACGCCACAGACTGAAAATCGAATTTAACAAATTATTAAAAAAAAACATATATATATTTAAATTATTGATTGTATAGTTTCGGATATTTTATATCTTGATTTCTATTGAATTCAAGAAATTCATTTTATAAAAAAAAGAGACTATTATAATTGTAAAACGAAAATTTCTCTATTTAATAATATTTAGCATTGATTATAATTTAATTCAAAAGGAGTACAAGGATTTTTCAAAATTAAACCAATTATATCAAATTTTTTAAAAAGGAATTTAAAAAATCAAATTTAAAACTACATTTGTTAATATAATTTTTCTAGTTGATAGAAAATTTTCTGAATTAATTTGGTAAATATATAATTTTGTTTCATATACAGAGTTTCTAAACAAAGAAAAGTCGCAATAAGATTCGGTAAAAAAAATTTTCGAAAAATTTACTTTACCCGAATTCTAATAAATTTGAAAAGATCTTTGAACTCAAATAGAAATCATTTTCTAACGAATTTCCAATGTTAAAATCTATTTATTTATATTCTTCCGAATGGAAAATAAATTTGAAATCAAATGAATGAATGGACTGGCAACTTTTATACAATGTTATTTTTTATAAAATTGTTGCTTTTTCGTTCAGCCTCGAACGTGATCGAAATTTCACGTTGTTTTTTTTTTTCAAGTATGTATGCCGCGATTTTTGAATGAATGAATTTAGAACTATTAATATAAGTTTTATGATGCGATAGTTTTTCGAAGAATAATTGTACAGAATTTTGTATTCAAAATAAATCGTTGAATATAGTAAATGAGTGTTGGTATAATTTTTTTGTACCTTCTTTTTTGGACTGATAAAAAATTCGAATTAAATATTGTGATTACTAATTTATAAATTTTTAATTATAATTTTTTATTAAAATTTCTTTTCTTCATTTATTTTCAATTGATTAAATAAATAAATTTTAATATTCATATTTAATTTAATTAGTTTATTTAAAAAAAGCGGTATTTGGAAAAAATTCGAATAAATACAATAACAAAAAAATATATTTAAATAAATAGAATATTTTCGGATTTTATCAAATTTAGCTTGAAAAGAGTTCGATATGGGAAAATTACAATTACAAAAATCTAATCTTTAGTGCAAATATAATTGCAAATTTGCCACTAAAACCGCGTTCGTCTAACCATCTTTCTCTTCGTTTATCAAATTTTTTTTTTCTTTTACATTTGGCTCCACACAACACTCTAAGTTTAGATTCGTAAAGGCGTCGGTGAATTACGTTCCTATATTCAAACCACTACAGTTAAATTTTGAGTAACTTGATTTTTCCAAAGTGCTCTTAAAAATCTCGGAAAAAAAATTTAAAAAACTTGAAATTTGCCAAATTTTCAAAGTAAAAGAAAAAAAATAATTTTTAAATTAGAAAAATATTATTAGATAGCAGAAAATAATATTTAATTTGATTAAATCTAATGCCTAAATAATTAAATGATATAAAAAAAAAATATTAAGGGCACAGTTAAATTTTTTCTTGGCGACAATTTGATTTCTTACATTTGTTCGTTGACCTATTAATTAACTTAACCTGATCTACTTGGCGTCTTAATTAACAGCTCTTAATTAATTCTACTTGCTTCATTATGATAGAATAATTAAAATTTTTTATTTTCGAAATAGAGTACTTGATCAGATATATATTCAACTAAAACTTGAAAATCATGATTCTATTTTAAGTGCAGTCTCCTCCACGGCACATTATGAGCTGTGGATAATTTTCATTTTTCTCTTTGCAACGAAAGGCGAATCAAAAAGGAAATAAAAAAAAGTCAACTCGCGGAGTGGACGTTTATTAATAATGATGTCGACAAAATAAGCGACAAATATTAATATGAATTTTAATTTTACTTTAATTATAGTTTTTATTTTTAATTCTTATAGAGAACTTGAAATTTTAAAGAAATAAATAATTTTCCTGTAAAAATGTGTGTTCGTTTTTTTAAGAACAAAAAAAGAAAGAAGAGGAATTATTCTCGTTCAGGAATAAAAAAGAGAAAAGTCGAAATAAATCTTGATGTAAGAATAAAATTAGCTCCACTTGTCGGCTTGGAAACTTTAATAAAATAGATTACTACGAATAGAAGTGATTTCTTTACAAGAACTGCCATATCCTTCAACAGCGATATATTAATTCAAAAAGAGTCATCGTTCAAACTAATAGAATGTAAGACATTAAAAGTAAAGTCATAATGTTTCATTTTCAACACGCCTTTATACTTAGCCTTTTGGATTAAATGTTTTAATGAAGAATACAGACATATTTGACGTTAAAGCGACTGCGGGCGCCCGCAGGGCCGCACAATATAACCGCGATTCAGGAAATTAAAAATTATATCCTGTCTATTAATAGAAAATCTCGTCTGTCTCGCGATCCGACCCTATAGGATGAGGAGTTATTTTCAAACCTCATCTCGCGAGTCGCTACAGTTCAGTTCAGTGCTTTCCAAGTTTCGTCGAGTAAGTGCGCGGTTACCGATTTTAGTGATCAAACAAAAGATGCAATAAATATAAATGACACTTGAAAAATGCCTCGACCTTGTTCTAAATAATTTTCATTCATTGAAAACAAATCCTTTTTGAAATTCAAAAAAAAATTATTCTTATCAAATTTTTTTCCAAAAATTATGATTTTTTTTTATAATTAAAAAAATGAATGATAAAATAAAATGAATTGTTCTGGATTGTGAGTTGTTTTTTAAATTAACAATGGCAAAAATGTTCAGTTCATTGCGTTTGGCGACGATGCGTTCGCATAAAAATCGTCAACGTCCAGGTAGTGTTGCAACTTCAGCAAGTTCGGATTCGGTGCGACAGGAAGAAATTGCCGGTCAACAATATTATCCCTCGGGATATCTCACTTTTGATGAGGTGGAAAACAATGGACCATGTCCAATCAGTGTCTCATCAAAGGTGGCACAGGTGAGAATTGAGCGAGAAGGTGGTAGCCTTGGTGTCACCTTACGTGGTGGAGTTGCAAGAGCATTGATAGTGACGAGTGTTAAATCCGATGGACCAGCAGCAAGAGAAGGAAGAGTAAGACCCGGTGATCGTTTACTTGCAGTCGATGAGACAGAATTGCGTGGACTCACCTTGGCGGAAGCACAACGAGCTCTTCGAAGAAGTTCTGATTCTCCAGTTGCATCCCTCACAATCGAATACGATATTGCCAATATGGATGAGGCTCGAGCCGCTACTTCCGGTCCACTACTCGTTCAACTCGAGCGAGGACCTTCCGGTGATTTTAATTATTTTCTAAAATAAAAAAAAAAAATTTATTTTAATTTAAATAAAATTTATTTCAATAGGAGAATTAGGACTCACTGTAAGGGAAACTCCAAATGGCGTCTATATTGAGAGTCTTCGTCCAGCGAGTATAGCTGATCGTTGCGGTGCTCTTCAACCAGGAGATCGTCTTCTTGCCGTTGATGACACTCAAGTGCAAGATGCAATTACAGCCGCAAAACTTGTTCGTAATTCAGCTGATAATTCTCGAATAGCGAGACTTCAAATTTTACCCCGTCCACCAAGTTCTTCAAATAGGACAATTAAACGAAGGGCTCAGGCTCAAAAAATTTTACATCAAACCCTCTATATGAAGGAGAATTTAACAATTGTCCTAAGGCCCGATCACAAAGGTTTGGGACTTGTTTTGAAACTCTCCGAAGATCATTTGAATTATATTGTTGATCTTCTTGAACCCGGTGGACCAGCTGAGAGAAGCGGTGTTCTTCTACCTGGTGACAAAGTAATTGCAATTAATCGTAGAATTTTACGTGATCTTCCACCATCGGAAGTTGCTATTTTACTCGAATCCTCACAGGTGAGGATTTTTAATTTATTATCTAAAAATCATTAAATGATGGATATTAATAAAAAAAAAATGGGCCAATAAATTTTTTCTAGGTTGAATTAGTAACGGAATATAAAGTTGGAGGTGCAGTGGTACCAAGCTCGGGGATATTCACGGTAAGAGTTGCGAGACCATCTGGATGTCAGCCAGATTTGGGTCTCACAGTAAATGAGGATTTGGAAATATCAGAAGTACGTCGTGGTTCCTTATCATATAGAACTGGAAGTTTATCGCCAGGTGATCGACTTTTGGCAATTGATGGTCAAAAATTGGATCCTGGCGATCTTCGCGAAGCAGCTCAATTACTTCATCAACCTGGAAATTCCGTTGTTGGCCTCACTGTTCGAAAACCGGATCTAGTATTAGATACAAGGTAATTCCAAAATTTTCATGTACCTTTTCTCCTAAAAGAAAAAGGTAAAAAAAAGATTAATTTCGCATCCAAAAAAAAAATTTCAATTTCAGGGAATCGAATATAACCGGAGATTCAATACAACAATATCCAAGTGGTATTTTACGATCAGCAAGAGAAAGTTTGCCAAGTGTCGATAGCGCTGTAGACTCGTGGGGAGAAATTGGAGAAGTTTGTGGACCAGAAATATTGAGGCTCTGGGATACAGCATCCATTGACAGCGGTCAATTAGAATTGCCAATTCCTCCTTTTATCAGGTAAATTTCTTTTTCCATTACAAAAATTCAACAATTATTAAATTTAAATTCAGTTCCAGTCCTCAAGAGCGCATCAGTCCTGATACACGTGATCAACAGATAGTTCATGTTTCTCTACACAAGGATCCGGTTTACGAAGATTTTGGATTTTCAGTTTCCGATGGTCTCTATGAGCGTGGAGTCTATATTAATCGTTTAAGACCAGGTGGCCCTTGCGATGGAATTTTAAGGCCCTATGATCGAATTCTCCGTGTAAATGATTCAAGTACCGAAGATTACGATTGCTGTCTGGCAGTTCCACTAATTGCGGCAGCTGGTTCACGTTTGGATCTTACAGTAGCGCGACCATTATCTGATAAATAAAATAAAAAAATGTATTATTTATTTTTTAATTGAATAACGAGTCTCCTGGTTATATTTTTGTACACGTGGGTTTATTTATAAAAATATATGTATAATACATTATTTTTACCTAAAACACTTTCTCCCGCATACATATCCTAGAAAAAAAAAAAATTGCATACTTTCAATCTGTACAATATTGCTAATTTTCTCTAATGCACGAGAAAATAAAAGTCATTATAATTAAAATGATGTTAATTTTCACCTAACTTTTCTGCAATTACATTTTACAGTCTATAACTTTTTTTCTATAAATATTTATTTCCGTCAGTTTTTCTAAATCTTCAATTTTATAAAATTCAAATGACTGTAAAATGAAATGCAAAAAAAAAATGATCGAACCAGCGATCAGTCTTTATTTGACAATCAATATTTAGAAAATAGTTTCTTAAAATACATCGTCAAAAAGAGGAACTATGGTATCATAAAAAATATATTATAATTTAAATACGCTAAACTGCATAAAGTCTATGTAATTCTTTGGCCGTTCCATTAATCATAAAATTATTGTGGCCATTCTGATTTAATTTTTGATATTGAGGAAGTGTCTTTGAATTTTTTTCAACTTTTCGCTGATCATATTTGGCTTTATTGTAACAAAGAACACCCAATATAGCCAATGTCATTCCAAAGACATTTAATCCTGTTACAGGATTTCCCAATACAAGTAGAGTCACAGCAATAACGAATATTCGTTTACTTGCACTTGCCACAGCATATGTTAATGGCGAAACAATTGATAATACCGAAAAGGCAACAATATTTTGTAACCAATTTAAAACACCGTCAAGTGCAAGAAGTCCTAAAATTCTCGAATTCACATCAACTGCTGTACCTGTCTCTGGATTATGCAGCAAACTTCGAAAATCTGACATTAACCACACTGGAAGAAACATAAATAATGCTAAGCGACCTAAAACGAGAAGAAGCCTCAAATGATGAATTCCCGTTTCATGTAGAACCTAAAAAAAAAATTCCAATTAATTTAAATTTAAAAAAAAATTGTGTTTGTAATCAATATATTTTATTGTTTTCTATACCTTTTTTGAATAAATATTTTGTAATGAAAACGCCAACGTTGAAACTAAGGCGCTGATAAGTCCCAACATGTTGAAACTTAATTCGGTTAAAGTTGCTATTGCAACTCCTCCAACAATTGGCATCAGACTCAAGTAAACAGACCATGTTTGCTTTTCACGTAGAATTATCCTCGAGAGCAGCACTGAGAAGAAAGGCATTGTCGCCTTTACTGGGACAAAGCCAAATTTCGTTTAAAACTTCTCAGAAGAAAATGCGTATTAAAAAAAAAATGTATATTAAAAAATACTATATTTAAAAAAAAATTCCAATTATTGTTAAAATTTTTTTTCTATTTAAGTAATTTTATTTTATAATGCAAAAATGAATTTAAATTTTTTCGAAAAAGAATAGAAAATTAATTTTTTTCACAGAACGAAATAAGTACATAATTATGAAAAAAAAGTATGAATTTTTTTTCACTTATTGTTACGATAAGATAAGAATCTAAAAAGCAATTTAAACGAACATTAAAAAATTATTTTTATTTACAAATGTTTCAATTGTTTGCATATGAAACATTATCCTGATATTGATATTGTTTTGTAATAGCTTATATTAGTTTAAAAAAAATACAGATATTTTATCGATAACTGATTTTAATTTTAAAATACATAAAATATAAAAAAGAAAGGAAAATTTTAAGTTTTTAAGGTAAATGTAATATATTTTTTTTTTTTTAAATACTTACCAGTATGAGCATAAGAAACAGGCACCTTCCAAATGCTGACGTGGCCGAATACGCTGGCGAGGAATTTGCCTAGTGCTAAAGGTACAATTAAACGAAAATAATAACCCCAGGTTATGTCATTTGAATATTTTCGTACTCCCCAAAGGTTAAAAAATGGACCTGAATAAAGTGTGATTGAGGTTAGTTGAATCATTGTGGCTGTCATTGGATATGGAAACTCCGATAACAACATCTTCCCCACAACATTGTTCGAACTAGAAATAATGTACCACAATATACAGAGAAATAATATTGTTAAAACTTGACGATTTTCTCTTGAATCCTTCATGACTATTTAATATAATGTATATTATTGTTAAGAAGGCCCAAATGTCACACATTCACAATTTTTTTAATTTCAAACTATCTCCACTTCATTTACAATTCTTTTTCCTCCGAATATTTCGTGTATATTATTTAAATTAACTTCATTAAATTCCACGTAATCAATTTTATTTCTTGTTTGTAAAATTGAGGAAATATTGTAGGAGGAAAGTAGTACAGTTTAACTGAGTTTGACATTCATTATCGGTTTTCTTTTCTGTTTTCGCTCGCGAAGTCATTGCCTCCTAGTGCCCTCTGACGGGCGTTCGTATTACTAATGTTAGATATTTTTCTTACCGATTGTTGCGAACAGTAGAAAACGAAAGGTTAGGTTGTAGTAAATCATTTAATGCACCAGAAAACAGTAAAACTCTTGGTAAAGAGATGAAAAGTCATTTTACCGAACTTGTAGTGTGTTATACAATCCGTGAGATGGAATTATGTGTTCCTTTAGTAAGGAAATTAAAAATTTACCAATTGATACAAAAAAAAAGGAAAATTAAATTTAAACACTGTTTATAACCTAAAATTCGTGAGTACAATTTCTTTCTTTTTACACAAAAAAGTGATAATTCAAATTAAAATAATTCAAATGTAAATTGATTCTTAGTACAAAATAATCAATTTCGTTTATATTTACGAATTCGATTAATGATTATTTTCTTCTTGTCCTCATGACAATAATTACTTATTTGTTATTCAAAAGGATACTTGTATTTATTTTTGTTATCATCTAAATAATTTTCTTTCTTTATATATCAAATTATACTGAAAAAATTTGTTTTGGAATTAATTTCTTATTTACTTTTCGATGACAATATTATAATCATAATAGTAATAATATATGCTTAATTAGCTCCATTTTTGCTATATTGGAGAATTTATATTTTCGTTTAAAATTTAATCATATAACGTCTATTTTAAATTAATAATCTAACATTTTTGTCGATTAATCCAATTTTCTAGAAATACACTTTTGAAAAATAATTAAATTCAATCAAATATTGAATTTATTAATTAATATTTAAAAAAATTTCTATTCACCTCAAATCAATATTTCTCTCTCTCTAATTTAAATAAAATTCTTTTAAATTATTTCAATTTCAATTATTCGTTTGAATAACAAATTTATTTGAATTAATCATTTGATTTAATTATTTATTTGAATTAATCATTTGTTTTGTAAGTATTAGATGTTGAATATATATTTTTTAATCAACTATTCTTTTAAATCGATTATTTATCTTTTTATTTAATATTATACCAAATTATAATTAATTTTTTCAGATTACATTTTAAAGTTAATTTTTAAAATGAATTATTTAGTAAATATTAAGAAACAAAAAAATAAGATTTAAAAAAAAAAGAAAATTGATTCCCGGATGATTTCATTATAAATTTGACCTACTGACCCAAGTGGCGCCTAGTAGATCATTATAGCAGAATCTATTGTACCTTCCCCCTCTCTCCTCTTTACCGAAAACTCACAACGACCCTTCCCTTTTCACCCAAATATGTGTCACCACTTATATCTGAAAATAAAGAGGTCACCTTTTCTATCTCGCGGGTTGCTCTCAACAAAGATTTATCTCTAAAAATGCATTTAATCCGTAAAGTATATATATATATATATATATATATATATAATCCGCGGAAAGTTTCATCATAAAAATTCTGTAGCATTTCCGCAACACACATTTATTGAAAAATGTGTTTTTTTTTTTTGAATTTGAAAATTCAATGCAAAAACAAGAACGCGACTTTGTGTATGTATGAAGCGGCTAACAAATCCTGAGAATAATTTTCGCTAGTGGGGTCGAATCAATAAAAGGGTTGACCCAGAGACCTAGATATATACGAAGCTTCCAAACTCTCAAGACCTCCATTGAAAATTATAAAATGGTGCACTGGTTTTTTTAGAAACAAATGACCTTGTTTTAATCTTAATTTTCACGCTTTCGTTATAAGGTGAAATATATTTTTTTTAATAATAAATCATTTGTCGTTTTATTTTAGATCGCCTTAAAATTGTGACTTTTAAAAAATTCGTGTTATTTTCAAAATAGAAATTTTATTTCCATATTCATGTTTGATGATAATGTCGCAAAATCTATTCCTAAAATATATACAAGTGTACTTAATTAATGATTGTTCCAAATATGGTAATTTCCATTAATATATCTAGTTTCAATTAATCGATTGGCCCATATAAATTTCCAATTTAATGGTTGCTCCAAATAAATATTCATAAATACATTTATTATAATAATTAAATAATTAATCAATTAATTATTTATTAATTTTCAGCTTCGATTGAAAAGCGTTCAAAATAAAAGAAAGTTTTGTAGAGGGGGATTACCACTCTTAAATCAACCCCCGTCATAGAAAAATTGACAAAAAAATCCATTTTTTCATAGACAGACTTTTTCATTGCAATTTCTTGCACAAAATACACCGAAAAGTGTAGAAAAAAATTGACAGCCAAAAACGAGTAGAGGAAGACACCTATTACCACCAAAAAGTCATCCAACCCAAAAATCCAAAAACATAAAAAAGTTCCAAAAAAAATTCAATTTTCCTTAGGCACAAGATTTTAATGCAATTTCTTGCACAAAATACTCCTAAAAGTGTAGAAAAAAATTGACAGCCAAAAACGAGTAGAGGAAGACACCTATTACCACCAAAAAGTCATCCAACCCAAAAATCCAAAAACATAAAAAAGTTCCCAAAAAAATTCAATTTTCCTTAGGCACAAGATTTTAATGCAATTTCTTGCACAAAATACTCCTAAAAGTGTAGAAAAAAATTGACAGCCAAAAACGAGTAGAGGAAGACACCTATTACCACCAAAAAGTCATCCAACCCAAAAATCCAAAAACATAAAAAAGTTCCAAAAAAATTCAATTTTCCTTAGGCACAAGATTTTAATGCAATTTCTTGCACAAAATACTCCTAAAAGTGTAGAAAAAAATTGACAGCCAAAAACGAGTAGAGGAAGACACCTATTACCACCAAAAAGTCATCCAACCCAAAAATCCAAAAACATAAAAAAGTTCCCAAAAAAATTCAATTTTCCTTAGGCACAAGATTTTAATGCAATTTCTTGCACAAAATACTCCTAAAAGTGTAGAAAAAAATTGACAGCCAAAAACGAGTAGAGGAAGACACCTATTACCACCAAAAAGTCATCCAACCCAAAAATCCAAAAACATAAAAAAGTTCCCAAAAAAATTCAATTTTCCTTAGGCACAAGATTTTAATGCAATTTCTTGCACAAAATACTCCTAAAAGTGTAGAAAAAAATTGACAGCCAAAAACGAGTAGAGGAAGACACCTATTACCACCAAAAAGTCATCCAACCCAAAAATCCAAAAACATAAAAAAGTTCCCAAAAAAATTCAATTTTCCTTAGGCACAAGATTTTAATGCAATTTCTTGCACAAAATACTCCTAAAAGTGTAGAAAAAAATTGACAGCCAAAAACGAGTAGAGGAAGACACCTATTACCACCAAAAAGTCGTCCAACCCAAAAATCCAAAAACATAAAAAAGTTCCCAAAAAAATTCAATTTTCCTTAGGCACAAGATTTTAATGCAATTTCTTGCACAAAATACTCCTAAAAGTGTAGAAAAAAATTGACAGCCAAAAACGAGCAGAGGAAGACACCTATTACCACCAAAAAGTCATCCAACCCAAAAATCCAAAAACATAAAAAAGTTCCAAAAAAAATTCAATTTTCCTTAGGCACAAGATTTTAATGCAATTTCTTGCACAAAATACTCCTAAAAGTGTAGAAAAAAATTGACAGCCAAAAACGAGTAGAGGAAGACACTTATTACCACCAAAAAGTCATCCAACCCAAAAATCCAAAAACATAAAAAAGTTCCAAAAAAAATTCAATTTTCCTTAGGCACAAGATTTTAATGCAATTTCTTGCACAAAATACTCCTAAAAGTGTAGAAAAAAATTGACAGCCAAAAACGAGTAGAGGAAGACACCTATTACCACCAAAAAGTCATCCAACCCAAAAATCCAAAAACATAAAAAAGTTCCCAAAAAAATTCAATTTTCCTTAGGCACAAGATTTTAATGCAATTTCTTGCACAAAATACTCCTAAAAGTGTAGAAAAAAATTGACAGCCAAAAACGAGTAGAGGAAGACACCTATTACCACCAAAAAGTCATCCAACCCAAAAATCCAAAAACATAAAAAAGTTCCCAAAAAAATTCAATTTTCCTTAGGCACAAGATTTTAATGCAATTTCTTGCACAAAATACTCCTAAAAGTGTAGAAAAAAATTGACAGCCAAAAACGAGTAGAGGAAGACACCTATTACTACCAAAAAGTCATCCAACCCAAAAATCCAAAAACATAAAAAAGTTCCCAAAAAAATTCAATTTTCCTTAGGCACAAGATTTTAATGCAATTTCTTGCACAAAATACTCCTAAAAGTGTAGAAAAAAATTGACAGCCAAAAACGAGTAGAGGAAGACACCTATTACCACCAAAAAGTCATCCAACCCAAAAATCCAAAAACATAAAAAAGTTCCCAAAAAAATTCAATTTTCCTTAGGCACAAGATTTTAATGCAATTTCTTGCACAAAATACTCCTAAAAGTGTAGAAAAAAATTGACAGCCAAAAACGAGTAGAGGAAGACACCTATTACCACCAAAAAGTCATCCAACCCAAAAATCCAAAAACATAAAAAAGTTCCCAAAAAAATTCAATTTTCCTTAGGCACAAGATTTTAATGCAATTTCTTGCACAAAATACTCCTAAAAGTGTAGAAAAAAATTGACAGCCAAAAACGAGTAGAGGAAGACACCTATTACCACCAAAAAGTCATCCAACCCAAAAATCCAAAAACATAAAAAAGTTCCCAAAAAAATTCAATTTTCCTTAGGCACAAGATTTTAATGAAATTTCTTGCACAAAATACTCCTAAAAGTGTAGAAAAAAATTGACAGCCAAAAACGAGTAGAGGAAGACACCTATTACCACCAAAAAGTCATCCAACCCAAAAATCCAAAAACATAAAAAAGTTCCCAAAAAAATTCAATTTTCCTTAGGCACAAGATTTTAATGCAATTTCTTGCACAAAATACTCCTAAAAGTGTAGAAAAAAATTGACAGCCAAAAACGAGTAGAGGAAGACACCTATTACCACCAAAAAGTCATCCAACCCAAAAATCCAAAAACATAAAAAAGTTCCCAAAAAAATTCAATTTTCCTTAGGCACAAGATTTTAATGCAATTTCTTGCACAAAATACTCCTAAAAGTGTAGAAAAAAATTGACAGCCAAAAACGAGTAGAGGAAGACACCTATTACCACCAAAAAGTCATCCAACCCAAAAATCCAAAAACATAAAAAAGTTCCCAAAAAAATTCAATTTTCCTTAGGCACAAGATTTTAATGCAATTTCTTGCACAAAATACTCCTAAAAGTGTAGAAAAAAATTGACAGCCAAAAACGAGTAGAGGAAGACACCTATTACCACCAAAAAGTCATCCAACCCAAAAATCCAAAAACATAAAAAAGTTCCAAAAAAAATTCAATTTTCCTTAGGCACAAGATTTTAATGCAATTTCTTGCACAAAATACTCCTAAAAGTGTAGAAAAAAATTGACAGCCAAAAACGAGTAGAGGAAGACACCTATTACCACCAAAAAGTCATCCAACCCAAAAATCCAAAAACATAAAAAAGTTCCCAAAAAAATTCAATTTTCCTTAGGCACAAGATTTTAATGCAATTTCTTGCACAAAATACTCCTAAAAGTGTAGAAAAAAATTGACAGCCAAAAACGAGTAGAGGAAGACACCTATTACCACCAAAAAGTCATCCAACCCAAAAATCCAAAAACATAAAAAAGTTCCAAAAAAAATTCAATTTTCCTTAGGCACAAGATTTTAATGCAATTTCTTGCACAAAATACTCCTAAAAGTGTAGAAAAAAATTGACAGCCAAAAACGAGTAGAGGAAGACACCTATTACCACCAAAAAGTCATCCAACCCAAAAATCCAAAAACATAAAAAAGTTCCAAAAAAAATTCAATTTTCCTTAGGCACAAGATTTTAATGCAATTTCTTGCACAAAATACTCCTAAAAGTGTAGAAAAAAATTGACAGCCAAAAACGAGTAGAGGAAGACACCTATTACCACCAAAAAGTCATCCAACCCAAAAATCCAAAAACATAAAAAAGTTCCCAAAAAAATTCAATTTTCCTTAGGCACAAGATTTTAATGCAATTTCTTGCACAAAATACTCCTAAAAGTGTAGAAAAAAATTGACAGCCAAAAACGAGTAGAGGAAGACACCTATTACCACCAAAAAGTCATCCAACCCAAAAATCCAAAAACATAAAAAAGTTCCCAAAAAAATTCAATTTTCCTTAGGCACAAGATTTTAATGCAATTTCTTGCACAAAATACTCCTAAAAGTGTAGAAAAAAATTGACAGCCAAAAACGAGTAGAGGAAGACACCTATTACCACCAAAAAGTCATCCAACCCAAAAATCCAAAAACATAAAAAAGTTCCCAAAAAAATTCAATTTTCCTTAGGCACAAGATTTTAATGCAATTTCTTGCACAAAATACTCCTAAAAGTGTAGAAAAAAATTGACAGCCAAAAACGAGTAGAGGAAGACACCTATTACCACCAAAAAGTCATCCAACCCAAAAATCCAAAAACATAAAAAAGTTCCAAAAAAAATTCAATTTTCCTTAGGCACAAGATTTTAATGCAATTTCTTGCACAAAATACTCCTAAAAGTGTAGAAAAAAATTGACAGCCAAAAACGAGTAGAGGAAGACACCTATTACCACCAAAAAGTCATCCAACCCAAAAATCCAAAAACATAAAAAAGTTCCCAAAAAAATTCAATTTTCCTTAGGCACAAGATTTTAATGCAATTTCTTGCACAAAATACTCCTAAAAGTGTAGAAAAAAATTGACAGCCAAAAACGAGTAGAGGAAGACACCTATTACCACCAAAAAGTCATCCAACCCAAAAATCCAAAAACATAAAAAAGTTCCCAAAAAAATTCAATTTTCCTTAGGCACAAGATTTTAATGCAATTTCTTGCACAAAATACTCCTAAAAGTGTAGAAAAAAATTGACAGCCAAAAACGAGTAGAGGAAGACACCTATTACCACCAAAAAGTCATCCAACCCAAAAATCCAAAAACATAAAAAAGTTCCAAAAAAAATTCAATTTTCCTTAGGCACAAGATTTTAATGCAATTTCTTGCACAAAATACTCCTAAAAGTGTAGAAAAAAATTGACAGCCAAAAACGAGTAGAGGAAGACACCTATTACCACCAAAAAGTCGTCCAACCCAAAAATCCAAAAACATAAAAAAGTTCCCAAAAAAATTCAATTTTCCTTAGGCACAAGATTTTAATGCAATTTCTTGCACAAAATACTCCTAAAAGTGTAGAAAAAAATTGACAGCCAAAAACGAGCAGAGGAAGACACCTATTACCACCAAAAAGTCATCCAACCCAAAAATCCAAAAACATAAAAAAGTTCCAAAAAAAATTCAATTTTCCTTAGGCACAAGATTTTAATGCAATTTCTTGCACAAAATACTCCTAAAAGTGTAGAAAAAAATTGACAGCCAAAAACGAGTAGAGGAAGACACTTATTACCACCAAAAAGTCATCCAACCCAAAAATCCAAAAACATAAAAAAGTTCCAAAAAAAATTCAATTTTCCTTAGGCACAAGATTTTAATGCAATTTCTTGCACAAAATACTCCTAAAAGTGTAGAAAAAAATTGACAGCCAAAAACGAGTAGAGGAAGACACCTATTACCACCAAAAAGTCATCCAACCCAAAAATCCAAAAACATAAAAAAGTTCCAAAAAAAATTCAATTTTCCTTAGGCACAAGATTTTAATGCAATTTCTTGCACAAAATACTCCTAAAAGTGTAGAAAAAAATTGACAGCCAAAAACGAGTAGAGGAAGACACCTATTACCACCAAAAAGTCATCCAACCCAAAAATCCAAAAACATAAAAAAGTTCCAAAAAAAATTCAATTTTCCTTAGGCACAAGATTTTAATGCAATTTCTTGCACAAAATACTCCTAAAAGTGTAGAAAAAAATTGACAGCCAAAAACGAGTAGAGGAAGACACCTATTACCACCAAAAAGTCATCCAACCCAAAAATCCAAAAACATAAAAAAGTTCCCAAAAAAATTCAATTTTCCTTAGGCACAAGATTTTAATGCAATTTCTTGCACAAAATACTCCTAAAAGTGTAGAAAAAAATTGACAGCCAAAAACGAGTAGAGGAAGACACCTATTACCACCAAAAAGTCATCCAACCCAAAAATCCAAAAACATAAAAAAGTTCCAAAAAAAATTCAATTTTCCTTAGGCACAAGATTTTAATGCAATTTCTTGCACAAAATACTCCTAAAAGTGTAGAAAAAAATTGACAGCCAAAAACGAGTAGAGGAAGACACCTATTACCACCAAAAAGTCATCCAACCCAAAAATCCAAAAACATAAAAAAGTTCCCAAAAAAATTCAATTTTCCTTAGGCACAAGATTTTAATGCAATTTCTTGCACAAAATACTCCTAAAAGTGTAGAAAAAAATTGACAGCCAAAAACGAGTAGAGGAAGACACCTATTACCACCAAAAAGTCATCCAACCCAAAAATCCAAAAACATAAAAAAGTTCCCAAAAAAATTCAATTTTCCTTAGGCACAAGATTTTAATGCAATTTCTTGCACAAAATACTCCTAAAAGTGTAGAAAAAAATTGACAGCCAAAAACGAGTAGAGGAAGACACCTATTACCACCAAAAAGTCATCCAACCCAAAAATCCAAAAACATAAAAAAGTTCCCAAAAAAATTCAATTTTCCTTAGGCACAAGATTTTAATGAAATTTCTTGCACAAAATACTCCTAAAAGTGTAGAAAAAAATTGACAGCCAAAAACGAGTAGAGGAAGACACCTATTACCACCAAAAAGTCATCCAACCCAAAAATCCAAAAACATAAAAAAGTTCCCAAAAAAATTCAATTTTCCTTAGGCACAAGATTTTAATGCAATTTCTTGCACAAAATACTCCTAAAAGTGTAGAAAAAAATTGACAGCCAAAAACGAGTAGAGGAAGACACCTATTACCACCAAAAAGTCATCCAACCCAAAAATCCAAAAACATAAAAAAGTTCCCAAAAAAATTCAATTTTCCTTAGGCACAAGATTTTAATGCAATTTCTTGCACAAAATACTCCTAAAAGTGTAGAAAAAAATTGACAGCCAAAAACGAGTAGAGGAAGACACCTATTACCACCAAAAAGTCATCCAACCCAAAAATCCAAAAACATAAAAAAGTTCCCAAAAAAATTCAATTTTCCTTAGGCACAAGATTTTAATGCAATTTCTTGCACAAAATACTCCTAAAAGTGTAGAAAAAAATTGACAGCCAAAAACGAGTAGAGGAAGACACCTATTACCACCAAAAAGTCATCCAACCCAAAAATCCAAAAACATAAAAAAGTTCCAAAAAAATTCAATTTTCCTTAGGCACAAGATTTTAATGCAATTTCTTGCACAAAATACTCCTAAAAGTGTAGAAAAAAATTGACAGCCAAAAACGAGTAGAGGAAGACACCTATTACCACCAAAAAGTCATCCAACCCAAAAATCCAAAAACATAAAAAAGTTCCCAAAAAAATTCAATTTTCCTTAGGCACAAGATTTTAATGCAATTTCTTGCACAAAATACTCCTAAAAGTGTAGAAAAAAATTGACAGCCAAAAACGAGTAGAGGAAGACACCTATTACCACCAAAAAGTCATCCAACCCAAAAATCCAAAAACATAAAAAAGTTCCCAAAAAAATTCAATTTTCCTTAGGCACAAGATTTTAATGCAATTTCTTGCACAAAATACTCCTAAAAGTGTAGAAAAAAATTGACAGCCAAAAACGAGTAGAGGAAGACACCTATTACCACCAAAAAGTCATCCAACCCAAAAATCCAAAAACATAAAAAAGTACCAAAAAAAATTCAATTTTCCTTAGGCACAAGATTTTAATGCAATTTCTTGCACAAAATACTCCTAAAAGTGTAGAAAAAAATTGACAGCCAAAAACGAGTAGAGGAAGACACCTATTACCACCAAAAAGTCATCCAACCCAAAAATCCAAAAACATAAAAAAGTACCAAAAAAAATTCAATTTTCCTTAGGCACAAGATTTTAATGCAATTTCTTGCACAAAATACTCCTAAAAGTGTAGAAAAAAATTGACAGCCAAAAACGAGTAGAGGAAGACACCTATTACCACCAAAAAGTCATCCAACCCAAAAATCCAAAAACATAAAAAAGTTCCCAAAAAAATTCAATTTTCCTTAGGCACAAGATTTTAATGCAATTTCTTGCACAAAATACTCCTAAAAGTGTAGAAAAAAATTGACAGCCAAAAACGAGTAGAGGAAGACACCTATTACCACCAAAAAGTCATCCAACCCAAAAATCCAAAAACATAAAAAAGTACCAAAAAAAATTCAATTTTCCTTAGGCACAAGATTTTAATGCAATTTCTTGCACAAAATACTCCTAAAAGTGTAGAAAAAAATTGACAGCCAAAAACGAGTAGAGGAAGACACCTATTACCACCAAAAAGTCATCCAACCCAAAAATCCAAAAACATAAAAAAGTTCCAAAAAAAATTCAATTTTCCTTAGGCACAAGATTTTAATGCAATTTCTTGCACAAAATACTCCTAAAAGTGTAGAAAAAAATTGACAGCCAAAAACGAGTAGAGGAAGTCCCATATTACTTAAATTCTTTACCAGCAACTGAAAATACATCTAAAATGATTATGCAAAAAATTTGAAAGCACTTAATATTTGCGCAGGAGCTTGAATAGACAAAAAAATGCCTTGTACTTTATTGTTGTTAATAATTTATAATAATTATTATTTACCAAAATTTTTTTTAATGGTAATAATTTGCGAATAATTTTTTGTTAAATAGTATTAGTTTTCATAACTAAATGAAAATAATTCAAATAAACATCAATACAGGAAGTAAATATTTAGTTTCTCTTGAAAGAAATTCCAAACAACTGTATTTTTCCTTATTTCGAAACAATATAATTCTTAAACTTCAAAGTAACGGAAGTTTTCGTTTCTCAAACATGTATATATTTCTTTTCTTAAATTTTTCAAAAAGCCTCTGAAAGAAAAATGAAAAACTTTTTTTTCCTAATTATATATATTTTCCGTATTTAGAAATCGGATATTTCTAAAGGAAATAATCTTGCTTTTGATTTGGTTATTTCAAAAGAGAGATATATATTTTTTTGTTGTTGTTATTGAATACATATTTTAGTAAAATGTCTTTTTTTAACTTTTTATCTTGATGTTGTATTCGCTTATATTATAAGAAAAGCCCTGGTCGTTACGGGTAAATGAATTCTAATAATTGGTCAGGCGTAGATTATATATTTAAAGCTTGAGTTTGCTTTAAGCTATATAAGCATACTTTTCAGCTTCCACGTCGCTAAGCTATAAGGTAAATTTACCTGAAACACCGATATTTTAAAAAAATCACTGAAAAAGTCTAAAAATATATTTTAGCCGCAGGACCGAATATTTTTTTTTTTAGCATTTATAAAAGCGTGAAAATGAAAAAAAAATTATTTTCCATCACCTCTTTATAAATAAATATATAGGGTGCATTATTTTTCCATAAAAAATAATTAATTATAATTTTTATTTTAAAGTGTATTTTTTTTAGAAATAATTATTTTTTAGACAAATTTTCATTTTTTGAATTAAAATTTGTCAGATTTTCTTTTCATACGAATTTTTACTTAACAAATTTTTGGTTTGGTAGAATTTTTATTTTATAGTCATTTAATTTACAATACTTTTTATTTGAGAGAATTTTAATTTAACAGAATTTCTCATACATCATTAAATGATTTTTTTTTTCATTTTGATATAATATATAAAATGCCCCATTGATATTTGTGATAAGACAAAAGTATCGACAAAGATGGTCGGGAGTGGCGTAACCCGGTTTTCATTCCATACACATGTTCTCTCCCTGCGGATGCCTGGAAAACTAGAGTAAAACGCATGCGCGTCCATATTCGGATCAGGCCAGAATAATCCGATTCGCGCCCCATAGCTAAGGCTTTTGATATACATATAACACTATCACTGTATTAGCAATCAGGGTCGATTTAAAAATTTTTCAATTTCTATAAAGTCTGTTTTTTTATTTTTTATTTTAACATCATTCTTATATAAATGTATGATTGTTCAATGAAAAAATTGTTCTTCTATTTTTATCTGAATTGCAAAATTATTACATTGTTTTAATTTTTTTTCTTCTATATGGTAAAATGACGCAGACTGTGTCAAGCAGCGGTTATAAATGTAACTATTTAATTTTAGAATCTTTGAAAATCTATATGTTTTCCTTAGATACATATATATATATATATATATGTGTGTGTGTGTGTGTGTGTGTATAATGATAATAATTTCATATTAAACCAATAATTATAGTTCAGCATTAAAATAATACGAAAATAATAAATTTTGAAAATACATATATTCTCTTTTTATAGAACTTTTTAAAATATATTTATTGAAAAAGTAAAAAATATATTTTTTAAATCTACCTTACCGACTGATGGTAAAAAATTTTTGCGAAAAAATGAAAATATAAAAATTACCGACATAGGAATCTACCTTACCTACTGATGGTAAAACAGTTTTTGGAAAAGTATATAAATTACCGACATAGAAATCTACCTTGCCGACTGATGGTAAAGAAATTTTGCAGATATTTCCCCCCCCCCAAAATCAAAACTGTTTACCATCGGTCGGTAAGGTAGATTTCTATGTCGGTAATTTTTATTTTCAAAAAACCTGCTTTACCATCAGTTGGTAAGGTAGAATCCTTTGTCGGTAAGGTAGATTTCTATGTAATTTTTATTTGTATCAAATAATTTTTATTCGAATCAAATAAACTAGTAGTTAAACCAATAATTTTTCTATTTAAAATGAAATAAAATGTATAATTGACTCAAATAAAAATTATTTTTGTTCAAAGAAATATTTATTTGATAATATATATATAGTTAAACAATTGATTATATTTGAATTAAATAATTTTTTTTGCAGTATATCAATTAATTTAAAATATTTTTTTTAAAAATACAGCAAAAAAAAATGTTTTTCTAAATTTACATTTTATTTTTCAATTTAATTAGTGGAATTACGTGTGACTGAATAAAAAGAGATTTTTTTTAGGCTCGTGTATACTTCTTTTTCGTATATATCATTCTAAGTGTGGTAGCACTGTTCCACACCCCTTAGCTCGACCCCAATGCCCACTTACACAGTGCTCACCTTCTCTTCTATGTTCTATCGACGAAACTCAACGTCTCTTTTCCTAGTGTTAGAATATACACGCGATTATACACATACACAAGTCTGGTTTTTAGGTCATGGAATCTGGTACTCCAGAGAGCATACCGCACACTTATATATATACATATACATATATATATATGACACCTAACATTCACCAAGTGCACTATAAAGGGTAATAATTGACCCTTATTGTAGACCTAATATGTGTATAGTAATATTTAAGCCATGATTATTTAGCCAGTGTAAGATGAATAATATTTTATATTACAAAAAAAGAAATATTCTGAATTTTTAAATATATGAGACCTAGTTTAAAATATTTTTTACTTAAATTCAGTATTTATTATTCTTAAAATTAGAATATATTCTTGGTACTTAGTAAATATTGTAATTTTAATAATATATTACATACTGAATTTAAGTATAAAATATATTCTAAATTTCAGAATATTTTTTTTCGGTGATATATATGCCATTCTATTCTTTATTTTCATATAATGAAAAAAAAATTATTTGATTCAAATAATCGTTTATCCTGATTATTATCATATAAATATTTTTTTTTAGCAAATAATTATTTCATTTGAGATGATATTTGTTTCAAATACAGAAATTATTGATTTAAATACAATTTATTTAATTGAAATATAAAAATTATTTGCTTCAAGTAAATATTTATTTAATAATATTAAAGTAATCGAGTAAGTATTTGAATCAAATAAATTTTTTTTCAGTATATATAAAGAAATAAAAATTTGTATTTAAAATGAATAAAAATATCAAGTATAAATTAATGTAATTAGCAATTTAATATTGCTGTTTAGATAACTTGCATATTTTCTGGCATTTACTGTTTAGAACGTAATAAATTATATATATATATATATATATATATAAATGTAGTGTGCAGGGAATTGTTCGATTGGAAATATTTTAATTGAAATGTCAAGAGAATGCAGCCGGAATTATTTTTTTTAGATATATATTTATTTATTTATATATATATATATATATATATATATAGTATAAATTAAAACATTTTTGGTGTCTAATATTAATTAAAAATAAGACACTTCTTCTAATTCAGAATATTTTATAATAATAAAAAATAGTAAAAAA